TTCCTCCCACAGTCCAAAAACATGCAGTCAGGCCAGTTGGACATGCTAAATTGCCCCTAGGTGTGAGTGTGTGTGTGACTGTGTATGTCTGTTTGTCTGCCCTGCGATGGACTGGCGACCTGTCCAGGGTGTATCCTGCCTTTCGCCCAATGACAGCTGGGATAGGCTCCAGCACCCCACCGCGACCCAGTAGGATAAGCGGTTTAGATGATGTATGTATGTATGTATGTATGTATATTTTTCAATCTTTTTTTCCCGTAGAATCATAATATTTTGGTTTTAAATGTGCCATTCTAATTGGCTGCCATGTATTGTGCCTCATTCAGAAAGCCATCCAGGATTGAACACTACATATAATCTCAACATAAATGGGAGGGGCTAAACTGCTATGACATCAGGCTGTTTTTGCAGTTTTGCGTATACGCAGTATGACCACATACACACTGTACAGACTGGGGAGAGAATGGCATGTCTTGATGCTTTAATAGTGTTTACATACTACAACAAACTCTTTTATTTCCAAAAAGTGATAGATTTTTTTTTCATGATTGGGGCCCTTTAAAAGTGAAAACATGGACTAACCAAATTAAGTGTTTTTTTTTTTTCTGATTGATGTATATTCACACCTTAACTTTGTAAACTGTGAAAGACTGATGGGACAGGCAGACTAAACCTGGAAGAGTTCAAACACCTATGGAACAAGATCCAACAGTGGAAGGTACACAAACCCGTTTGTTCAGTCCTTTTCAAGTATGAAATATGCATTTGGAAAACATGCTTGTAAAGTTTTAGAACACAAATAGATTCCAGAAGTCTTGTATTCTCTATGTACTGTGTTTTTCCTACAGGTAATCTTCACTCGCTACGACAAAGACAAATCCAGCACCATCAGCAGCTTTGAGATGAGGAGCGCAGTTGCTGATGCAGGTGCAGCACTCGTTTTCCTCAGCAAACTCCACAAGAGAAAGAGTTTGGTCTTGTTTATTTATGCTTTCATCACTCTGTTCATGGTTTGGTTTCCCCTCAGGGTTTCAACTTAACCCCCAGCTCCATGACATCATCGCTATGCGTTACGCCAGTGAGCACCTTTATTTGGATTTTGACAGCTACATTTGCTGCCTGGTGCGCCTTGAGGGCATGTTTAGTAAGTGCACAATCAACATTCAGATAAGAACGTATAGAACCGATTGAATTGTGAATTGGAAGATAAATCAAACACACACTCTGCTGGTGCAAAGCTCACAAACTTCACAAAAATCAGACTTAACAAAGCTGAAAATGCTTGTACAGTATACCTGTACACCTTTTTAATAAAAATAACGCATGGCAACAACTTCCTAGGGCGGCATGGTGGCACTGTCGCATCACAGCAAGAAGGGCCTGGGTACCACAACTTAGTAAGGTGTGAAAATGAAATGGAACGGGATTCTAGTGTGTGGCACAATTCCTCATGGCCACGACTCAATAAGGTTGGGGAACAAGATAATTAAGTCATGGCCACAGCTTAGTAAGGCTGGAGAACAACTTAATTAAGTCATGCCCAGGACTTAGTAAGGCATGAAAACGAGATAATTAAGCCATGGTCACAACTTAGAAAGCTATGAAAACACGTTTCTTAGGTCATGGCCATGCATTAAAGATCCCATTCCCACATCTTAGTAAATTGTTGCTATGCACTATTTTTTTTAAGAAGTGGAGCTCAGCAGCAGAGCTCTATAAAACATATAAATGTTTATCTCTGAAATCCTTAACAAAAATAATCAAAAACATACCACATTAGTTTGACCATTTCTTTTTCCTAAAAAACCCAGAGGTAAAGTAAAACAAACAAACAAACAAGTAATAATAATAAGAAGAAGAAGAAGAAGAAGAAGAAGAAAGAAAGAATCATAAATAAAATATTGTCTTACAGGAGCATTTAAAGCCTTTGATGTAGATGGAGATGGAATTATCAAGCTCAATGCTCTTGAGGTAAAAGACTGTTCTAAAATGAAACTTAGCTTTACTGCTTAAAAGTGAAGTTATTGCCTGAAATGAGCACTTAAATCTCTCATTCTCTCATTACCTGCAGTGGCTTCAACTGACCATGTATGCGTAGGGTGATGACCACAGTAATCCAAACGGCTTCCCCAGTACATCAGAGTGCCAGTCTGAGGACTTTCCAGCCTTTAACACAAACACAAATAACAGTTACAGATTCATATCTGTATTTTACCTCTACCGGTGGACGCTGCTGACCCCCTGGAGCCAGAATGCTTCAGAGCGGGAGAGAAAAACACACTGGACTGAAAATGAGACGGACTAGAGCCAGTTTCATTTCAGCACACGCTGTCTGAGCAACACAACACTGTGATGCAGGCCCTTTATTTTTGTGACTGACTTGCTATGATATGGTGGTAATGTTTAATGTTCTGCAGTGATATATTTCTTTTGCTGTTATTTGGTGTCTTGTAATTACGTAATTCAAGTTATTTAATCAAATAACTATATTATTTACATATACACAGTCCAAAAGTTTACAAACATCTGCTCATTGAACGTTTCTCCTCAAATCAAGTGTATTAATAGGGAGTTTGTTCCACTTTGCTGCAGTAACAGCCTCTACTCTTCTGGGAAGTCTTTACACTAGATGTCGGAACATTGCAGTGAGGACTTAACTGCATTCAGCCACAAAAGCATTAGTAAGGTCAGGTACTGATGTTGGATGATTAGTTCTGGATCACTCCAACTCATTCAAAATGTATTGGATGGAACTCCATTGCTACAGAAAATACAGTTCCACTGATCCACAGCTCAGTGCTGGGGGGCTTTATACCCCTCTAGCTGACTAGTGGCATTTGACATGGTGACCTCAGGCTCATGTGCAGCTGCTACAGCGTGTCCCATTCTTTTGACTGTGCTTTTCTATGAAGATTATATAAGCTGAGTAAGTAGCTGAATTCACTAATTACAAGAGTTCTCTGGATACCTTTGGACAAAGTAATTTTTTTAAAAAGCCACACAGATTATTTTACCATTGTTATTGGTCAGCCGTTGTACTGCCATGTTGCACCTACTGACTCGATTTAAGTAAAAATTTCAGAGGTTTCACAGTGTTTTAGAGAGATTTCTCGCTCAACACAGTGAGGATCAGGTGCAACACAGGAACTCCAGTAAATACATTATTAGTCATAGTCAAGTGCATTCAAATTCTGAAATTAATCATTCATAAACAGCAGCAAGGTCTGCCAGACACAGGCTGAGACTGATCCTGGGAGAAATCACAATATTCACAGCCTATGGTCAAAGCAGCAAATGCAGGTGTTAAAAAGGAGCCTGAGTCTAGAACCACAGCTTAACCCCTGTGAACAATCAGTTTGTAAAGAGGAAAAGCTCAGAAAACACACAAAATAACAGTAATCTTAGTGTAATATTACAAAAAAGTAGGTTTTCCTTTTCATGGAGCTACTGTTCATTCAGATAACTGACCCTCATTGTGAGGAGCCTATCAATGTATGAAATGCATCCACACATCTATGGTATTAAAGTGCCTGTGACAATAGGCTGATGTTTTTATTAATAAAATGAGTCTGTTTTTCCTTTAATAGCACATGATCGGCTTCATTTAAGGTTCATTTCCATGCACTCAGATATTTTATATTGCCATAAACTGACTGTACTGCCATGTGTGGCACATTAATGCAAATACTTAATGCATGATTCTGCTTTCATACAAACAAGATATTGTTGCTGATGAAACAAAAGATTAAATCTCAAAAAGAAGTAGATTTATTTCTGACAGTGACAATATGATATTGTAACAACAGCAATATGATATTTTACTATTATTGAAACATTTTACTGTCCTGATCTTCTCAAAAAGGTCTAATGCTAAAAGAGAAATGGATAGAATTTACATTATTTGAATTTATGTACTGTGATTGCCTGTTGTTATTGGTGAATTATTTTTGGTGTGCTAAACAACAGCAAACATTGAATTTTGTTCACGTGTAATTCTTCTCTACTATTGTTATTGTACACTGAAACCACTCCATGCGTTTGAAGGCAAAGCTGGTGGCCTGGGACCTCCAGGATCAGGACTAAGAAACTTTGCTATAGATTAGCGATTCTCAACTAATCAGCTCATTTACAGCCCATGATTAAGTTAAAGTTGCTGTGTACAGGGTACAGGGCAGTGGGCCTCCAGGACCAGGGTTGGGAAACACTGCTCTAGATAACGTTACTATCCCTTATCATATAGCAGTAAGCTGATCTCTGTCGTTTAACCATTTCATGTATCTAAACATATTCATTGGTTTATTTAAAATTTCCAGTCCCTCCTAAAATAAAGGAGGTTCACTTTAAAACTTTGTAGAGGAGATAAACTTCCAGTCAATTTTTAAGACTAAGATTTGATTTTTTGACCATAATAATTGTATCTTCTGCTGGATAGATATTGACATGCATTTATAGTTAGAGATTTTGGAGGAAAATGCTTGAATAGTAAATACTTAAAATTCCAAATATGTTCACGCTTACTAGCAAACACATTACTAGTGGGGTCATTTTGAAAGACAGGAATATTGAACTCCTAATTAACAACTTGATCTTGTTTGGCAACATTTCTAAAAAGCTCCCCATCCTTTCAGTTTTCAAAATAAACTTCCTTTTTTGCTTCTCTGAGATGTGTAAAAAGCCTCAAAGCAAAAAACGTTATATAAACTTATTTTAGATTTGGAGTGGTAGAGACAGACAGACACTCCCTTAAAAATGTGTCCGTTTTTTCTGTTTTAGCTACTGTAATTTCCTTTCATTTATTGTCTTGACAATCTTCAGGACTTAATTCCATACACTGTATAGTATTTTATTACTGTTGTTTATGTTGCTCTATTGTGGTGACGTCTTTTCAACTATAAAAAAAAATCTTTAAAATTAAAAAAAAATATCGTAACGCTACAGACAAGTTCACCTCCAATCCACACTGTGGCGCTGAACCCACAAGGTGTCCATCACATTTTCGATCAGGGAACAACAGAGTGCGGAAAAACAATAAGCGAACTAGCTGTTCGTATTTTTATAAGTTAAACTCGTTTTTGTTCGTTTCTTTAATTAAAATGTGCTCTGGCTGTGTGCAGAAAGAATACCCAGACAGGGTGAGTCCAGAATCTACCTCCTCCTCACTGCGATGAACAGACGTTGAGTAACTTAGACGTTAATTAAGACCCGAAGCTGATCTCAGCTTTTCATTCGACAGCTGTTAGTTCGAATTTTCCCGTTCCACCTTAAAAGGTGCAGCATCAGGCGCCAGAATGTAACTGTGGCACCATTTAAGGTGGAACGGGAAAATTCGACCAAGAAACTGGCAGATAAGGAGCTGGATTCAGCTTCGTAATTAAAACGGAAGTCTCCTGAAATAAGCTAAACTAAATAAGATACATTCACATTAATCTCGTTAATGTCTGAAGCGTTTCTCCTCAGAAAGTTTATTTAGAGTTTGTTTAGAATCGTTTCCTGCGCTTTTATATGCGCATGCATGACGTGTTCATGTCCAAAAGTATCCTCCCTTTAGCGAATTCAGACACTTTTAAGGGACACTACGACCAAAATGAAAAAAAAAAAAACTTCTGGTTGAAAAACCCTTTTTATGATGTATCGTGAATGTGGGAGGAACTTTTGAAGAAAGTCAGATAGATACGGAGCCCCTAATGTGACATGGTGATTAATTTTTAATAAGATATTAATATATTGAGGCCACTAATTACTATATTAAGGCCACAATTTATGAGAAACTTAAGTCGTGGCTGCCGTATAGGAATTTGTGGCCTCAATATAATAAATCGTGGCCATGGCTTATTAAAAAATAATGTCACGTTAGGGGTTCTGTAGATAGATGACAGTGAGCTAAAATGTTTCTTCATAGAAAAGTACTAGCGATAGTATGTGACCCTCTGGAGCAGCTGCATGTGAGCCTATTGAATACCTTTAGGATGAGTTGGAGCACCATTTGTTATGCAGAGATAAACATCCAGCATCAGTACCTGGCCTCACTAGTGCTCTTGTGGCTGAATGCAATCATATCCTCACGACAGTGTTCCAGAATCTACATGTAGTAGTCTTCCCAGAAGAGTAGAGACTGTTACTGCAGGAAATATTCCCCATTCATTTGTCATTCATCATAAATGAATGGGTCATCAAGACATTTAAATAGAAGCACTAAGAGGCACTGACTAAATCTACATGAATATGAATACAGATCTGAAGAAATGAGATTTTTCTCAAAGCTGTTAATTAGTCAAAGTTAGTTCTTACGTTTTCCTTGTTATCTACTATTTAATCACATATGTTGTCATCATTACTTAGACCTATCTAATCTGCTTATCTGCTTGTGTGATCTCTGATGTGGTTTTCATTAGCATGCTTGTGCATCAGTTCCAGTGATGTGTTCTCATTGGGATGTTTACAGGGTAACACCTGCCTAGACAATGGCTCTTATCTCATGAACTTTCTGGGCTGTGCCAACTGTCAGCAGCGAGACTTTGTACTGATCAGTAACAAGACCATGGTGGATGAGGATGAGGAGGAGATTGTCACTTACCTGCGTAAGTTATAAAATAAATGGAAAAGGAAAATGAAATAAAACATAAATCAATAAATTAAACATAAATTCTTACAAGATGTTTCTCAAAGCAGCCTAACAAGCAACACTTATCTTTCCCACAGACAAGTGCAAGAATTGTGATCATGTCATAGCAAGACACGAGTACACCTTCACAGTGGTGGACGACTATCAGGTAAGGACCCTCTGTGAGAATTTCAGACCAACTAGAGCTTTTCAGTTTTTTAAAGTTTACAGTTTTACAATTAGCCAAGACGTGTTTAGTGCCTGTAGTTTGTTTCTTTTTTGCATTGAAGTCATGAGAAACGTAGCTAATAAATAAAAAAAGCTTATTACACCACTTAGCATGGTGTAAACTTAAACTGCATACTTAAATCATCACACTCTTGCCTCAAACCATGTTCATTTGTTAAAGTGCCCATATCATGGAAAAACATTTTCCTTTTAAAATAAAAGACTTTAACATAGTATGTGAACATTATTTAAAAATGTACAGTTCACTTTCAGGTTCATATGGTCTATATATAATCTAAGCTGCAAGAACAGTGTGTTTTGAGCCTTTGTTTGATTGTTTATGTTTAGGATAGAGGTGGAAAATATGTAAATGTGATTTTTTCCTTCAAAATTCAATGCTGCATGTATATTATGAAAGGGTAAACAGACCATAAGTGCACTGCAAGTTATACATTCTAAAAATAGGCCCACATGAAATTACTTGTTATCTTTTTTTCTCTTTTTTTTCCAAGGAATACACAATGTTGTGTATGCTGTGTGGAAAGGCTGAGGATTCCATCAGTGTAATGCCAGATGATCCCAGACAATCTGCCCCACTGTTTTAGATCGGTATGCACAGAGCAGGGAAAGAGAAAAGAGACAGGAAATCCTTCCTAAATAGGCGAGTTTGTCCCTGTTCTGGGGAAGTACCACATATGCAGGGTTCCATCCATCATCAGCTCTGGAGAAGACCATCATGTCCATGTCTAATTTTTTTAAAAACTTTATGTATGGTAGTATGTGGTAACATAGAGGAACCTGTTAACTAAAACTGAAATACAGGTCTGAGACAAGCTTATGAGTTTATGATCTATGATAAGGCTATGATCTGCTGATGTGTACAGTTGTATACAGAAGCGCTCCCTGTTTTGTTGATTTTCTAAGTGAAAATAAGTTGACACATCTTCTGCAGAGGACACACTGCACATTTTAATGCAGTGTGGTAATGTTTAATTGCTTAATTTGATATGGAGGGGGGCATATTTAAAATTTTTATTTTTTTTTCAAAATCCAACTTTTTAATCAACAACCAGAGGTGTTCAAACTTTTGCTTACAACTGTAACATACAGCCTCAGTATTGTTTCTGACATGCTGTCCCCTTATGAACCTGGTTGTTGAAACTAAAAACAGTATACAGAGTGGATATAATCAATGTGCAACTACCAGGCTTCAATCTAGGGTACTGCTAGAGTATGAATGATTTGGGGTGGACAAATAACAATAAAAGAAAATCACTGAAATTGTGTAAATAGGCCCTGTTTGTTTGAGAGATGAGAACATGTACTTCAGTTCAGTCACTGTTTCAGTATTTCTGCTTGCTGTATAGACACCTATGTATGGTAAAATTACTGAATACTAAATTTATTAAACTGTATTTCTAGTATAGACAATGGAAAAAAATACAAAAAATACTTTTGTATGCTTTGTCCAACAGAAATAAAATGTGCCATCACACATTATAGTAACTGTGGGCTGATATTTTTCATGTACATACTTGCTGATGCCAATACATAAACATTTAGGACTAAATCATTTGTACTGGCATTACATGAATATGTTGTGGGTTATGAATGCAGTAAAATGAATAAAATGCAGATATTTTAACACAGTAGCCCATCATCACCTAAACATTCTGCTCTTCCAGAGTACAATAAATCATCATATATCGGTTTGAAATATTGGTCAAATCCAAATATCTGTCACGTTTGACTTTTTTCTTTAACATCTGCTTATTGCAAAATGATTCCAATATCATCATGCATTCCTAAATAAAGCATGTAAATGTCTTTGTAAATAAAGATGACTACATGTGATGATGTCTTGCACAGTATTTATTATGTTTATATGAATACACATACATTCCCACGTAGTAACACTTTTTTTAAAGAACTGAAACATGTTTGTTAGCAAAATACATTACATGAAGCATGAAGTTTTCCCTTAATGTATTTATATCTATATACAGTTTAGATTCTGTACATTTCTTAAATAGTACGCCATGTCACTACTGTGGGTCTCTACTGATGTATGTAAATAAGTACCTTCAGAGGTCAAAAGAGACTTACCAGAACTAAACCACTAGTCTAACTACACAGTACACACAGAGTTCTCAGATATGGTGGTATGAAAGCATGATGCTACTGTCAATCAGACTTTTCTAGTTATGATCTGATGTTCAGAATAATTACAATCATTTGACATGCACCTCTGCAGGGGTCATTTACCTTTCAATCAGCTTTCAGTATAAAAGAATGCAAGACACTACAGAACCATATTAATGTAAGTGGGTTTTTTGATTATTAAATAGATGTTACACTGATTTGTTCAAGTAATATTGTTATAGTACTTATAGTGTTTTGTTCCAATTCTCATTTTGAGAGAAGAGTTACTTGCACAGTTTGTTTGAAGGGTCCACAGTGCTATTCAGCAGTTCAAGAAGTTTGTTAATAATGATGCAGGTATTTACAGGAAGATATTGCAAGCACTGAATAGATAATACTTGGCAATTGCAAAGTTGCTGACCCTTAATAACGTGACGGCAAAGTCACTCAGTAGCAAGTAGTTGAGCTACATCGTCATTGTTAACACATCTAATAAATAAATAAATACATTCTATAGATGATATAGTTTACAATACATACATTCCCTGAAGTACATATGTACACATGCTTGCTTAGACCGTATATGTCTATACATACAACAATTTTACACAGCATGGATGGCTACCGTTTGACATGAGAGCTAAATAAAAGACCAGCTTGCACTCAATGACAAATTATGGTTGCGTAAAAATAATGGTAAACAGAGAGAAATGAAAATAATAATAATGATGATGGTGATGATTGAGGCAAAATCCATATTAATAAACCAATGCCAAATCTGAGGTTGGAGCGCTCATTATTTGGAAGCATGCATTCCCTCAAAAAAATACAGTATGTATTTAATCCGTAGATTTTAAACAATCAAATAAACTTACATCAGGTTTGGGCTTCAAATGCATATCTGGCATCGATTTGGGCTTAGTAATATGTAAACAAGCATTTGTAAAGAATGAAATGGTTAGAGAGAGAAAGAAACATTGGCACAAAATATATGGACTCTCTGAATCCATACATGAGACATGAGCAATTCATTTACAAGGCATAAAGATAAGAAACATTAAAAGCAAGCGATAGAATGCCAAGGGAAAGGAGAAATGGAGAAGTATAGAGGAGCATGTGAATGCCAGAGGTATGATTAAAATGGCATATACATCATGCTTTCAAGTAATCTCAACCATCACTTGAGGCTTTCTGCCAAACAATCTTTCCTTTTTTTCGCTCCACATACTTCTTCACTTAATAAGAATACATGAGGTCCATCATTACCTATTTATAATACCTTCCTCCTTACCCAGTGAAAAGCTGCTCAGAACTGTACGATCCTTTTAAAATGAGTAAAGTCAGCCGAGGTCCAACAAAAACATTTTCAGCACTGTTCATTTTATTTGTTTACCTTTGTAGTGGGCTTGCTCTCTGGGCTTCCTGTTCTCCCTTTGGCACAGTATCCCACCACACGATTAGCTCGTACTTCACTGATCCGAGGGGGCGGAGAGCCTGAAATGCTAATAGGTGATTGGCTGTGGCATCCCTCGAAGCGAGAAGGGGAGGAGCTTAGAGAGCGCTGTATGGAGGAAGTGGTACGCTGGTAGCGAGAAGCAGCCATGCCTCCTCGTTCTTGCATCAACTGAGTGAGGTTGTCCAGGAGATCTGCATCACTAGTGCTACTAGCTCGGATACGGTAGCGCCTGCGCCTACGATAGAGAATCAGGGAACACCATGACAAATGCCAACAGTTAGTAACAGTAACAAAAATAATTAAACCACAAATTTAATTCAGATTAGTTTCAACAAAAAACAAACTACTTGCACATGGTTACACATACATGGCCAGACACATACATATGAAAAAAACAGTCACATGCAAAAGTTTGAACACCCCAGATTAAATTATGTTTTGTGTGAAAATAAGTTCATCCTCTACAGGGACCAACTTAAAGGAGAACTTTGATTTTTAAAAATATTATATGTCATCAAATGGTTGAGATGTAAACAAAGCCATTCAGAGTGGTTTGGTGTCAAATGCTCCATTCTAAAGAAACTTGCTGAGTCAGAACTGTTCACAGTGCTGGTGGTAGGAACTAGATTTAGCCAGTTTAATTCTTCTAAAAGCTACATTACAGAAAGTTATTACATGAAATGACTATGAATATGCTGCCTGATGTCTGAGACACATTGTGGTAAAGTTTTGGCTTAAAATGTATTTTAGTCCATTACTTTTAATATACTTAGGCAGTGAGGTACATGCAGGGCATTGTGAGTTAAAACAGTCCCCAAAGAAAACGTATTCTTTCAGATTTATGGAAATTTTATTATCATCGGCATTACATGTAAAAACTCAAAAGACATGTGTAGGTTCCTAGGTGGTTTTGGCTAGTAAATAAAATGGCTATATTTGTGTTGTAGACATTGTGACCCCTGGTTCCTATCACCACCACTGTAAAGAAATCAGTCAGTAAATTTCTCTACTATGAAGCATTTCACAGCAAACCGCTCTGAATGACTCTGTTTACATCTCATCCACTGAATTACGTAGAAATTTAGCAAAAATGGTGGAATTCCCCATTAAATATGCCATTTTTTCTACAGATTATAGTGAACAATTTGTATTTATTTGCTGAGTTTAACATATTAGAAAATAATAAAACATAAAATATGAAACATGCTATTTTACTTTTATTTTAATATGTTAAAGTCATCAAACAGTAACAGATGCATTAAAATATGTGGAAGTGTGTGCTCTGTAGAGGATGTGTTATTTTCACTTAGAAAACAACAAATTGTAGTTGGGCAAGAGGCACCCAAACTTTTTAAACCTACCACTGTATATCCTTTAAATTTGCTTTATTAACTAAGCATAACTATGTTGTTATTTGTCTGTTTTATCTTTCTTTTAAAAACTAAACTGGGACAAAGCTGCAAATTAGCTTTAGCCAGAAGCCTTATATACATTAAATTTTCCAGAATTTTATGTAATAAGAAATAAATACAACAATAATAACTTCATATGTATAGCACTCTTCATATATAGAAACACAGTGCTTTACCAAAAAAAAACAAATAATACAAAAAAAAATAATATAAAAAAATTGACAGGTAGGTCATCAGCTACATCTTTCTAACCTGTTCTCCCCTCCAGGGCGGAGAGGTGGTTTTCCTGGTGGGGGTCGTGGCATGAAGCGAGAAGAGAGCTGCTCTGGCACTAGAGTGGGGCTTATGGGCCTCGGTATCTTACTCCTGCTGGAGAGCGCACCTGAGGAGGAGGAAAGTGAGAGGGGATCATCTCCCTGATAGTCGGAGCCACGAGAACCTCGCTCAGAGGGGAAGGAGAACTTGTCGCGGAGCAGTGCTGAGGGGAAATGCTCGCAGGACAGCGAGAGAGATGGAGAGAGGGGGGCGGGAAAACTCCTCCTGGTAGGGGAGTCTGGGTCGCGGACCGGAATGCGGCTGGTCCGTGGAGACAGCTCCCGTGGCGAAGCTGGAACTGGAGAGGCAGGAGCTGCATCAACAGTGTCTCCGGTCGTCTCGCCCTGGTTCGGAGTGGTGGAAGCACCACCATCTGGACATCCTGAGTCACTCTCCACGTCTTTCTCAGTTGCCTTGACAGAGGTGAGGTGATCAGGGGGCTGAGAGGAGGTTTTGGACGGTGAACCTGTTGGCATATGGTTGGGTTCCTCTTCTGCAGGGACTGATGCAGTGTCCTGCACAGGATCACTTTCACACTTTTGCTGAAGCTGGGACGTACTGTGGAAATGCGCTGGACAACTACAGAGGCAAGTGGTTATAAGAGAGAAGACAAGAGGGAAATTAGGATCTCAGTTTGTATTCACTTGACCCCTGAGTCCTCTCTAGTGGTTCAGTTTGACTAAATAAGCTGATATATGTCAGAGAGGTCATCATACTGCCCACATGTTATTGTTACTATGATAAATTACATCACAATGGTACTTCTAGAACACAGAACTGGATGTATCATAAAAAAGACTTTATAAAACAGATAGTTCTAGTCCTAAAATCTGCTTGGCTGAGCCGCATTCGAAGCCGTTGTAAAATACTCAATATACACAAATCTATGACCACCTCACAAGAACTAAGTTCTGTATTACTGCGCCACGGCATGAAAAATCCTTGTGCTGTTAATGGAATATTCTTTGACTCTAATCCTGCCCGCATGGACCATGGCTCTCACAAAAAATACAAGGAGCTGGAATTAAAAACATGGTACCGTCTGAATCAAAACAAGTCACATTATAATAATATTGATAAAGTTTCCAAAGTTATTTTTGGAATTTTTCCTTGTTTTTCCAAAATTCCGATAATATTAGAAATATGAACTAAAAAGTCAAACAGAAAAAAATTTGTGGCCAGTTTTCCTTACTGTAATTTTTAAGTCTTTAGGTTTAAACGGGTTAAGCTATAATTATAGGCTTTGCATTTATGAAATGTGAAAACACTTCCATTTTTTTTTTTATCATTTGCAAACAGAGTTTACTGACCTGCTCTAGTTGAGTTCTGCTAAGGTGGACCACTGACGCTGGCTGGAGAGTGGGCAGCCTCCTTAGTCCAGTCACCCCAGATAACCCTGTTAGACCTTGCAATCCAGTTAAGCCGGACAGACGGGCAAACGGAGGGCCAGTGTGACAGAGAGCTGCATGGAGTTCCCCAGAGCCACTAAGGCTGCTGGCCCGCTGGGGCAAGGGGTCCGACCAGGTGCGAGGCAGAGCCAGGGGGCTAGAGGAACGAGGAGACACCCCAGAACCTTCCTCATCAGGCTTAGAGCCAGCAGAGCCACTACCGCCCTCCAGCTCAACGAGGACCCATTCCTGAGAGTCCCCTTCCTGTGGGACTGGGCTGAGGTTAACTGCTACATAGCCGCTGCTGGCTGCCCCCTCCTCATCCTCCAAAGAGCCTTGATCGATGCGACAGCCAGTTCTGTCCTGGACTAGTCCTGGTCGCTGCTTTCCTAAGCTTTTAATGACAAAAAAAAGAGGGAAAAAGACATATTTCAGCATTTCAGGTGAACACAAAAACTGATTAACTCTAAAATACACAAAGTAACGATAAGTAAGGATGAGCATTTCAACTATTTGCAGTATTCAAATATCTACATTTTAAGTGAACAGTGTTTAAATATCCCAAAAAGAAAACATTTTAATTTGTTAAGAATAAAAAAACACAAAAAGTTTAACATTAGTTCATTGCAATAATGGCTGACTGTTTAAAGATAACTTTTAGGCATATTAGATTACATTACATGACCTACAGAACAATTCCTGAGTGCAGTCTTACACTGTCTTACACTGTACAAATCTGCCTAAATGTTTTTTTTTCTATATGTTTATATCTACTTGTTTGAAGTATTTCTATGTAAAGCTCTGCTTAGCTGTTGCCATTTTGATCAAGATGAGATATCAGCTGATTATGTCCTGACACAAAGCTTTACAAAGCTTCTCAGAGTAAAACTGCTGATCTAGAATCAGGTTTCTTTCTTATTTACTATTATTTTACTGACAGGAACAAGTCCTAGATCAGCACTCCTACTCTGAGAAGCTTTGTGCATACGGGCCATTGTCTGCAGTTCTACCTCAAACGCCCAGTCAAAAACATTTAAAATGATAAGAAAATAAATTATTTATTACTCCAAAGTCTACGTGCCTGATTTGAATCTTCTCAGGATACCTGATTACCTGATAAAGATGAGCTTAGATGTCACTATATTCAAATAACAAAGGCCAACAAAAAAAGGAACCGACCAAACTTTTTTTTTTTTGCTAGGAAATGCTTTTACTGTGTGTGTGTGGTACTGACTAGGCCTCCAGGAAGCGTTCAATAGTGGGTTTGGGTTCAGGAGTCAGTCTCTTGTCCAGGCCCATACTCTGGCTATGACGTATCCTCCTCAACAGCGGAGCCACACGATCGATGAGTAAAGTTTCAGAGCGCACCCGCCTTGGAGAGCCTTGAATGGAGCCACTGTTGGGGCTTTGATTGCCCTCTTTACTCCTCTCCTCTTCACTAGCCACCTGAGGCAGAAAAAGAACTTAGCTAAATCAAAACAGAAGCAATGAGTGATGGGTTTCCACACACAGTAGTCTTCCTTCAGCTTATGAGAAAATGACAATAAACTCACTCTAAAAGGTGACGGGCTAAAATTTTCTTTTCAGTTCTTTAAGCATTTCTATTTGCTCCACTTTGCCCTTCCTAGTACCTTTCTGATCTGTGGCTGAACATGATTGCGGTTGCGGTCTCGACTGCGCTCCATCTCCTCCCATACATCAGCTCCCTGAGCATGCTGTGGTGGGATGGGGGGGCAATTGTCCGCTTCACTGAGCCGCTCGCCCTGAAGGACATCCTCTGTATTCTCACGCTGCATGTCACCAGGGATTGCAGAGGCATTGGCCATGCTGGGAGGAAGAACATGTCAGTTATATACCTCTGTTTTACCACTAAGACAAAACAACAGTATTCTATAGAGATCTGAACAAAATAGATATCCCCTCCTTCCTAATTATGTACCAGTAAAATTCAGAAAAAAAGGAACATTTAACCATTAAATGCATATTTAGCAACCCCTGATCTCAATTCCCTTCCTTTAACTGGACCCTAAATGACAACGAAAATGTCAAAATTGAACAAAACATTAAATTCATTGCTATCCTTTGTGTGGAGCACTCCAGGCACTTAAAAAGGTTTAACTCGAGGCGGTCAAGTAGCCTACGTTTTGAAGGATTTTTCTGCACAGAACAATCAGACGAGAGGTGCAGCCAACCTTCAGAGACAGTTGTAATAGAGAAGGGTGTTGCAGCTGCTGAGTATGGATTAAAATTATCATTACATAAACAAAAAACAGCTTTATTTATAGTGCCACAATGCTTTTTATTTAATTACAGATCACCTTTTAAAAAGGCAAGTGGCAGAGCTTTCTGCCTTACATATTGAACCTATAGCTAGCTAGCACAGTTGATCGACAGTTACAATGCTACAATGCTAAGCAACCTCAAAATGCAGTGTAAACCTCTAGAAAAAAAGACTGTGCATGCCTCATATAGTTTCAGCCTTTTCACAGTTTTAATGCAAACCTTAGGGGTTAAACTGCCATTGCAGAGATGAACTAGAATTGCTTAGTTTGTTATAAACCTAGTCAGTGTTGTGCTGATTTCTATAAACCTACCCCATGTATGCTGGTGTGAGACGAGTCAGCTGTTGGGCTGTGGTTGCAAGAGCTGCAACTGTGAGGGAATCCTCCGAGCCAGGTCTCTCCCAGTCATAGGGGTCATTTTCAACAACATTGTAACTCTTCATACTGTTCTCAAATACGGACATCAAGAGCTGGAACACAGCAGTCACAAAGAATAAAACACCTGCTCAGCACTGCTATACTTATTGACAGCTTCACCTTAGTGAGACAGCACAAGGCAATGACACCTAGTCACAAGTTATCATTTGACATATAAGAAACAGCAAAGTCCAGTAAAAGTACCTGATAGTCAGGTTTAGTGAAGTAGTCGAGGTTCGAGATGTGGTCAAGAAAAATGCTAAATTCTGCAGGAAGGTGCTTAAGCATGAGGCGATGGTCATACGTCTCTTTCAAATTACCTACTTGCTCCTGAATAAGAAAGAAAATAATAAAATGATGAGAAATTAAACAGAAAAGAAATATGTTTTAGGTTTTGAGCACCAAGTCAGACATGGTATCAGCCAAACACTCAAACTACAAGACAGAAAATCATAAACCATATCAACTACAATAAAGTGATCATTAGCAGGTAAACATGTAGGCAACAGCAAAGTCTGGTGAGCCAAACTGATGAAATAAGTTTATACATACTTTATCCTTGACTTTTCTCCAAGGTAGTTGGCCCACCATGAATTCCACAAGCATGTAAAAGAGGGACCACAAGTCATCATGCCGACCCATCTCCTGCACAGAGAAGAGAGGATAGAAGAACGGAAATAAGCAAACATGAACATAACCCTTCATACCTGCATATCCAACTGTGCTATACCCTAAAAAAGGGGTGACAAACTGGGTTCCTTCCAGGCCACAGCAGTGCAGACTCCTTCAAGCAGGTGTAGTACTCATTAAACACATCTCATTCAACTTAGCAAGGCCTTCATGAGTTGAACTCAGAGTGATAGAAGAGTATAACCATTAATCTCTGCAGAGCTTTGGCCTGGAAAAAACCCAGTTTGACACTCTTGCCCTAAAACATTAGGGCCCAAACACAGCAAGCCAACGGGGAACTAATGCCAACTGATGCCGATTGATGATCATCTTCCCTCAGCTCGCCGCCACAGCTTGTCTCCGGTGAAAACTTACACTTGACCACAATGCAAAGACTACAGCTGACAGCCAACACGTACGTACTTAACTTGCCTGCGTGAAAGGGAAACTCTCTATAGCAGGAGCTGGCAGTAGTCTGTAAAACTGCAGCATACAAAGTAAAGGATATACTGTTTGATTATCTTATAAGCTTCAAATGTCTGTGGTCAAGCTCAGCCTAGTGAGTTAACAGCCCTAAGCAGGTAAAAAGGGAATACTTAAAAGTAATAGATTTGTATATCAAATAGTGATATAAAATGCCCAGTAGCTACATATTCATAATTATATGACAAAAAGTAAAAACAACCATGAAACGACTCATGCATCAGACAAAGTGGTATCATGTTAAAAAAAAACTATCAAAAACTATTAATCAAATTACTTGAATTTATTACTTCACACTCTGTGCTACACTAAATCCGATTACACAGGACCAATGATGCCCTAATGTAAGTGTTTTAAGTAAGTGACAATATCCACAATATAGTAGTAGAAGAACAAGAATAGAAAAGCATAGCATGACATAATTACCAAAACAACAATAAATACTGTCATATTGCCGAATCCTACTTTGCATACTTCACAAAGGAGTTGAAAAATAAGTGTGTCCTCATTATGCGCCCTTTTTGGTGGTTGTGCTTTCTTTAGATACTCCACTTGTGGGTACTTCTCACAATGGCACTTCAACATGCTCAATCGGCCGAAAGCGCAGACAAGAGCAGACTAGATTTGGCTTGGTCTGTCAGAACCCCAAGACACGTCTTATTCCCATAGCTAAAGTGTCTGAAGTCTTAGATGCTTGTTACATTATCTTCGGCTAAATTAAGTAATCACTCATCACATTTACAGCAGTGACAGCATGAAAACAAACAGTGAGTATACCAAAGTATAATAGAGCACAGAACAAACATAATTTTAAGTTGACAAATGATACTTAAAAATGAATTATTCCAAAATAAATATTTCACACCCCTAACTTAAAGTTAAAGTTAGGTGTATGACTTGAAGGTGAATGTTCAATGAGGGTTTGAGTGTAGAATATTTGAGACTGCATATTATGACCATGTGTGAGATAGAAGCTAGAATTTATATACCTTGTTCTTGTGAGCGTTGATCGAGGCATAACGTACAGTTCCCCTGAATCCTGCCACTGGACGAGGCTTTAGAGAGTGAGGAGGAGTGTACAGAGAAAACAGTAGAAATAAATAAGAGTGGTTCTTACAATGCAGATTATGTGGTAAAGGCAGGATTAAAACAAACACTCAGGTCACTTACTGGACGGACTTCTTGACAGGAATTTGTGAACTGGCGTGCCAAACCAAAATCAAGCATGTAGCAGGTTCGGCAGGTTGTCTCCAAGCGTCCCATGGCAAAGTTGGACTAAATAGGAAAACAACAGCTGATTTAGGGGGCAGCAACAACATGTAAAGGCTCATTTAGACTTTATTTACACACGAAAATAAACATGTGTTTACTAGTGGATTCGTTATAGAAGTGTTTGAGAATAAACTAGACAGTCGTGCACATATGAAGAGAAGGTTAGATTTATTCCAAGACGTCTTTATAAAGAGATGTTTGCAGGTCACCAGTTTGCCTCCTTCTCCCACAAAGAGCAGCAGCAAACACCAATTGTACAGACTGTTATCACCCTCAACTGGTCCCAAACAATCCCCGCCCATGTATCAAGGTCATGTACCCGTGATAGAGTGGCATAGAAAAGTATAGAACATTCTATGATGACCCAAGAGGATCAGGCCCTTTGAGACAGAATGGCTATTCTGATACATAGAATAAGCATATATGAGTTATACAATTTACCACAATCCAACACACGTCCATTTTAAACGATGTAACTGTCACTGCCAACATACTTCAATGCGTCCTTAACGTTCATGGATGTTAAGCAATACATTCACTAGAGGGCAGTCCAGAGTTAAAAGTTTCTGACAACAACAGACATGGCGACAGTGGAGGACGTCATAAGAGACAAAAGAGGCAGCACTGTAGACGGTGGTGGACTGTGAGGCCATTAATTACTTCACAACGTGTTCAGAGAATTTTTTTCACTTATATTATCTATAAGAGAAACTGACTGTGTCTCGCTTGAACTATTGGCTACACTGCCCCCACGATTTTCAGTGCTACTGCCCCGTTTCGTCTGTATCCGGAAGCTTTCAGAGAATGTGCACAAATATGGATGAAATGAACGCAAAGTACAGACAGAAAGCTCCGTCTGTATCCATGTCTATATTTAACGTTAAGCATAAATGAGCCTTTAAAGGGCATGAATACATTCACAATTGTAACTGTATTCTTTACGGGTTTAAAGAATCTCTTTAAAGCCTTAATAAAACATTGCTGCAATAAAGAGTATGACAGGCACACATACTGTCCATTTGGTTACTTTGCTAAGGTTTTTATTGTCACAGTACTAAAACTAGCTGTAGTGATTCCTGATTGTAGCAAGATGTAACTAAATCAGCACTGATGCTAAACATTGGCGCCGTTTTCTCACCGGTTTTATGTCTCTATGAAGGAAGCCCACCGAGTGGATGCTCTCAATGGCCTCCAGAATCTGCCGGCCAAGCCTGAGTGTGGTGGACACAGAAAATGTACCATGGGTCATAGTGCGTCGAAGGTCTGCCAAGTTCCTTCCCTGTAATCACACGTTAGTTAGTCAGTTAGTCTGCTAGCTTTGTTATAATTATGACTGAAATACAGTATGTATATGAATATACAGTCATATGCAAAAGTCTGAACACCCCTGGTCAAATTACATGCTTTGTTGTTTTTCCAATGAAAATAACCTTCTACAGGGAACAAAATTAAAAATAGTATTTTCCTGCACAATTTAGTGTTCTATTTGCTGAGTTTGACATATTAGAAAAAAATAATTTTTAAATATAAATTGTGCCATAACTTTTGCACAGCAAACAAACAGTGATTGTGTGTTAAAATGTGCATAAAAGTATTTTCTGTAAATGATGTGTTTACTTTTTTGTGGATTTTCAACTGAATATTATTTTGCCTACGAATGTATATATATATATATATATATATATATATATCAATTACTACAAATTACTTCTCTTTTAACTGCAAATGACATTATATCATACCTGAAGTTCCATCACCACATAGTTGAATCGGTCATTACGTCCACAACCAACAAAGCGGCAAACATGGTCCTTACCTATAAACAAACATCAGATCAAATCTTATTAGCATTTGAATTAAAATTAAAGATATTTCATTTGTGGAGACACTGGCACAGTGGGTCAGTGTTCAGCATCATTAGCCATAAAGCAAGGGGAATGAGACTGCAGGTCTGCAAGGCCACAGAGCTACAGTTTTGGCTGTAATCAGCTAAATCTCAGTCATCAGCTAGACGTAATCATGTTAAAGCAGTGAAAGCTTGTAAACGTGCAATAAACATAATAAATTTTGTATACTGTATGCCAATTATATAAATATTCTGTATTTATAGATCTCTTACTGCTCAGTTACATTGAGCAGCTTGGCTTTGAGTGTTTTAACACTATGTCCATTATGTCCATTTCAGCTCATTAAGACTGATGATTATCTGATGAGTATAATGTGTATTTGTGTACACATTATCCCTACTATTTTTCAAAGAGAATGTTATTTTGAACTGTGTTTGTAAGCTTTACAATATTATGCAAGCTGTACAAGAAGCTAGCTGTGTTTTTATCATGTAGATCATACAGATATAAACTAAGCAAAAAAATTCAGCCATGAGCATCAAGTGAACTTCAGAATTCCTTACCCTGGAGCCTCTTTAGAACAGCTACTTCCATCTTCAGGACCTGTTTGGGCTGCTGGGCAGATTCTACTTTAAGTGCCACATTGTACTGGCTAAGCTGGTCCAGGACTTCATATATCTCTCCAAAGCCACCACCACCAATCTTCTTTATCTGTGCAAGAAGACAGGAAGATGGGCATTCTTATTTTGAAAAATCCCAAAAACATGTTTTATACATTTCCCCTTTTCGCAGTTAATTTAGTTTGGTTTCAGTTTAATGAAGTAGATTTCTCCATGCTCAACAGGCCTTCTCTGATGCCTGCATGTTTTTAAACAACTGACTGTGCATGACGATGCTAAGGAGATTCATTTAAATCTAAAATTTAAATGAATGTAGGCAATGAATATCTGAACCGCAATTTCCAAAAACTGCTTTAACCGTCCCATATGCAGAGAGGCTGACAGCCTGACTGATGCCCTGTCCATATTTTTATAACAATAAATCTTCTGCTATTAGGAGTGTAACAATGCACTGTGACAAGGTGATGTCGACACGACAATGTGCACTGAGGAGAATGGATATTCTTTTAAGTATGCCATCTAACCTAACTGCATTGTTTGAGTAACAAAGTTTGCAAACAATCAGCACCGATAAACACCTCTCTCCAGCACTCATCCTGCCTCTCAGCTCTAGCATTTTTAGTAAGTTGCAACAACATTATTATGGTCATTTTTCTTTATTTGAAGTTTGTTCAACATATTGTGAGAATACCAAATCGTAAACCGAGATTAATGAATCAAATCAAATCATGGGCTGAATGTATTGTTACACCACTAGTCTACATAAATATATTTATATATTTTGTCTACATATTTTATGTATCTGATAAGTACTACACCTGGCCCAGAATCTTTCATTAAATGAGCCTCATGAAAAGGTACAAGACCTTAAATAAGCAACAGTAACTCTTGTTTTGGACAGGCTCCTAAATCTGGCAACTACTTGGTAGAGTGCAGCAATCTTTCTTTTGATGATGACGAAGCTTTTAACACCTGCAGCCTGCAGCTTACTGAGTGCAACATTGTTTTAAATAAGATTTTTCATAAAGAGGCTACATGGTGTGGATTTGTATGATCAACCTGGCATTGGTGGGGGGATTAAACAGAGCAATCATGCCCTCATAAATACATACATAAATACATACATACATACATAAATAAATAAATAAAAGCATGACCTTTCTGCAATAAATGTTCCTAAAGAAAATACTACTCCCAATTTAAAATAGTAAACTTTTGAACCTTCTATCAAATGTTCAATCCACATATCAAAGGTTATTTAAATACTGTGAATCATATTTACATTTACATGTTTTTTTATTTGTTTATTTGAATGATGTTTTCATTTGTCTTCTCTAGTTAGCACCTAATCAGTACTCATTACAAAAAAAGCTAGACAAAATTTAAAACACTGATGACTTAAAGCATAATTACATATAGCTATACTGTAATTGACAATGTGTTCAATTATCCTAACTGACCCAAACCTCAGGAACAGTTCAGAAGGAGTTTTCTTCCAAACTTCATCATAAAAAAGACCTACGCACCACTCTCCATCGTTCCCGGACCACGTTCCCAACCGACAGTATGTCAGTCTGTTCCCCTGCTCCACTCATCTTAGTGCTCAAGCACAGACTGAGCACGCCCAGAAGTGATCAGCATCAGCATCAGTGATGCAGGCCCCTCACTGCAATTCAAAGAAAACAATAAACACATTAAAAATGCAGGAGTGGAAATTCTTAAGCGATTACATATGTTTTACTCCTTACACTTTCACTTACACTTTACGCTACACATCTCAAATGCCATCGGAGTTTTTTCTTGCCTATAAATGAAAATATCCTATCAAATTCACATCAGTTTCAGATGAAACTGCCCGGCACTATGCTAATTCATCTTTGTGCAAAGACCGATACCACCCATTAGTCACTGCACCACAGATGAGGGCAGGAGTGCAGCGTGTTGCTGCAGAACAGAGACTGAGCGAGGAATACCACACTATATATAATATATATATATATATTATATATATATATGTAAAGTGTGCTGTAAGGGTTTGAGACTAGGCAGACTCATTCTGGGTTACGCAGAGAGTGGTTAGCTCACGCCTGACACTGAAGTTGCTTTAAGGTCAAAAAATTTAAAGTCAAGATTTACTGATTTTTCAAAAATTTTTCAAAATTAAAGCATTCAAATGTAAACAATGTCATTCAAAGTAGTTTAATGCAAAATGTGCTGTTCCAAAGAAACCTACAGCCTCAGTATTGTGTATTGTGGTGATGATAGGAACCAGACACATGTAAGTGTACTGGTGGTTTCAGATTGTAAATAAAATGGCTATATTTGTGCTGAAGACATCACAACCCCTGGTTCCCATCACCACCCCTGTACAGAAATCTGAGTCTGTGTCACATCAGACCCCTCTGAATGACTGTTTATACTGCAATGATTTGATAAGTTTTGAAAAAATCAGTGGAATTTCCCTTTAAGTACAGTTTCTCTGTACTATTTCCACTCTTGAAAACATGACAGTGGAACTGTACAGCACTCCATCCACCTCCTTAGGAACTGTTCTGTGATGGTCTAGGTTGATTCATCTTAATGGCTGGAGGCATAAAGGATCATACTCAGTGAAGAGGACCTGACAGAACTACTCCTGCCAGCTAATGAACCTATTTATACTTCATCCCCTCTGAGAAGCAAAACTAAGACCTGTTTAAGGACCTTGCCCTGATTCCTTCTTCCAAGTCTATGGAAGGGCCCAGAACAAAACTGCTGAAGCCAAATACTGGCAAGTCCTTGAGGATAACAGGCTTGCTGACACTTCGTCTCCATGCCGGACAGAGACTAAAATAAAATGGTTGCCAAAGCTGCATTAGAGTGGCTTAAAATAAAACATCCATATAATACAGTGCCCTTTCTATGACATTAAAGAAAGGGGTTCAGTTTCATATACATATATTACTATAATACAACTACATATATTTTACGCAAACCTATAGGCTATATCCCTGTACAAACAAGTCTTAGGAGAAAAACAAAACAAGCCATCAATGTTAGTTTCATAATAAAGTAATGTGCCGCCTGCATTTACAAAACAGTGAATGCACTGTAGCGACTGTGAATGACTGTAATGCTGTAAATGTGACAGGATTATCACTGCAGCAGTTGAGAGAACTGCCTTTGCCATCAATGGCATTACAACAATGAGCCATTCAAAAAATTAGATGAGATCATGATTTACAAAGTTAAGATTCAACTAGAAGATACAATATCAGTTACTAACTTGTCTGGCTGACTGACCTATTAAAAAGTATACATAAATAAATGGTTAAGATGTAAACAAAGTCATTCAGAGTGGTTTGATGTGAAATTCTCAGTCCTAGAGAAACACGCTGCAATAGAATTGTTCACAGTGGTGATGACAGAAACCAGACGTCTGAGAAGTTTAATGCATCTGAAAGCTCTTTCACAGAAAGTTATTACATGGAATGGTTAGATATATGCTGCCCGATGTCTGACGCATTGTGTTATGATGGTTTTAAGAAACAAGTTTTGGCTTGTTGTATTGTACTCTATTCACAATGGAGAGGTACATACAGGACATTGTGAGGCAAAATAGTCCACAAAGAAAACTATTTTTTCAGAGTATTATTTTTCAGACTATTTTACCATCATCTACATTTCATACAAAACTCATAAGGCACTAGTGGCTTTGGATGGTAAATAAAATGGCTACAATTGTATTGTAGACATTGTGACCCCTGGTTCCTATCACCACCACTGTAAATAAATCAGAGCCTGTCAATTTCTCTACACTGAACTATTTCACATCAAACCACTCTGAATGGCTCTGTTTACATCTCAAGAGCTGACTTACTCAGACGATTTTGAAAAACTGATGGAATTCCCTTTTAAGCACCACACAGCTGGCAGACACAGATTTGATTTGGTGGCTGATAACAAAAACTGAACTGTGCAAATGTAATTCTTGCATGTAAAAATAGAAAGATGTACTAATTGCATGTAACAACTGAACTTTTACAAATAAGAACTAAGAATTTCTAGTAGTGGTTTCACTAGTAAAAACTTATGATATCAAAGGATGCAATTTATTATTCCTTAGCCGCCTAAACTAGCTGGCTGTGTTATTACTGCAACACCACTGCGGATGGAGTGAAATGGGTAAGACACCATTTACTCACTCCTTTGCAGCTACTAAACCAAGTTACTTTCCTATATTTTTCCTTGTATGTCAAATTCAACACTTCTGCCATCCCACAGAGACAGAGGCTAAAAGCTGGGGGGCTCCAATACAACACCAGAATACAAAATCAGCCTCCATTCACGAGGCAGTCAACGTTAGCTTAGCTTAGTTTAACTAGAGACATGCAAAAATGTGCGTACATCATTGCTTTCTTTGATTTAGTCTTCAAAAGAAGCGTCCACTCATCCATACACTCGACATAAACCGATAATCATGTTTGGAATAAACGCGGTTGTAAATTATTTCTGGTATTCAGTTTGACTTGAAAACAAGCCAACGTTGAACACACCACGTTAACAATAACTATGTAGCTACCACACTTCCACTACTGCTACTATTACTGTCAGTAACGTAGTAATTATAACATTAACACTGATAAAAAAAAAAATAGGGTCGCTGTATTAAAACACTAGTTAGCTCAGTAGCTAGCTAAACAGTCCATTTGAGACTAAATGTCCACATTACAAGCTATCACTAGCTACGTTAGGTTAGTTAAGAGTTGATTTAAGTAAAAAAAAAGCCAAACTGACATTTTTTTAAATCACTAACTTAAGCGTACCACTAACTAGGCTGTGTATTTTTGTGCCGCATGCATAAACAAGGCTAAAGTCGGCAGCTTCTTGTTAAATTTTTCCCGTTCCACCTTAAATGGTGCAGCAGTTCCGTTTTTGCCTCTGGCGCCAGAACGTAAGTGCGGCACCATTTAAGGTGGAACAGGAACATTTGAACAAGACGCCTGCAAATAAGCAGCCCCTCCAGCTTCGTCAGGCTCCTTCTGCAATCGCGAACAGTTAGGTTATGTCGTTAGTAGGCTAGTGTTTTCACCAGCGAGCTACTTTATGGTTCATTCATGTATGCTGAGCTAAACTGAGCCAAGCTAAGCTAGGCTAGGCTAAGCTAAGCTAGCGCTCCGTGTTCGCCGTTACCAGGTTACCGTCTCCTTCTTCTCCAGCAGCCGCAGCAGTAATCCAAACCCGAGGCGGCTCTCAGGACACATTTCTACGCTCTCCACATGGCATGGGGAGGTAGATGGCATGTTAATTCCATGCCGTAACAACATATAAAAAAATACGCAGTGATTTTTGTGACTGAGCGAATTCTCTGCTGCTCAGTAGCCTCTCATCGTTGTCACCCCCGAGTACCCGCTCTGTAGTTAGCTAGCAGGCTGCAACGTCACCAGCACAAGACCTCCTTAAGCACCCATCAAAATATGAAGTATTTACATACAGTATATGTCTTATCATAATTTGTATACGTTCAGTGTTGTGAAATAAAGGAATACAGGTATTGGGAATACGCATTCCGAATACAGAAGTATCTTCATTCAGTCCAAGGTATATTTTGTAGTGGCTGTTTTCAGAATACCCTTGAGATTTTTAGGATGATACTTTTAGAATTCTTACCTACTATTTTAGAGTCTGTATATGCAGCGAACATGCTTGTTGGATGACTTCTGAGAAACTCATTTAATGGCTTATTTACATACACCAAAGTTCTTACTAAAGCCTGAGTTTACTGATAAATCAAGGTGATGAGTCAGTTATTAATCTCAGTGTTACTGAAGTCTTTTAAAGGACAGATCAAACTGATAACCTCATCAGTGGTGGACATGTTTGTGAGTGATAAGGGGATTGTGGGAGCAACAGTGGACTGAAGCAGGAGGTGAGAGAGAAAAATAAGAGTTAAAAGTTTTCAAAACTTCATTCAAATGATAAGTGAATTTTCATGAAATGTATTAACAAAATAATTACATGAAGAAAACTGCCAAATAGCATCAGTGAGTTAAGTAAAAAAAAATTTTAAAAAAAATTGTCCCTCGTGCCTTTCCAAGACGGATTATTATGTTACTACGTTTAGGACAGTGTAGTTTACAGCCATCGCTACTTTTTTAAAGAATTTTGCCCAACCCTAAATAGATTTTATTTGTATGAAGGCTTCATTCAAGGTAGAGATGCACTCTTAAAAGAGATCTTCAAGGGTTCTTAGGGTAAAGGGTAAAGACAGTGGTTTTATATAGAACCATGAACACTCAAATAACCATTTACATGCTTAAATGATTGTTTGCATGGTTCTTCAGATTGATGGAGAATGTGTTGTAGATGGTTCTACATAGAACCTTTTTTGAAAATGGTTCTGTATAGAACCAAAAACACATTCTTCATTAAAGAAACCATTTAAGCATGAAAATGGTTGTTATCTAAGTGTTTGTAATTCTATATAGAACCATTGTCTCTACTGTGAGTTCACTATCACAATATTTTCTAAAAATATTTTAGTATCAGGTAATATTTAAAGGGGAATTCCACAGTTTTCAAATTTGTAATCTGCATAATTTAGTTAACATGTAAATACAGTGGTTCGGAGTGGTTCGATGTGAGACAATCCATTCAAGAAATTCAGTAAGAATCGTTCACAGTAAAGAGTTTAATGTCTCCATGTTCATTTTTAAAGCTTCCTCACAGAAAGTTATTACATGAAATCTCTCCGATTACATTGCCTGGCATCCTTTGTAAAATTTATTCATGGCGGAGAAGTACATACAGAGCACTGTAAGGACAGTTAGTCCCCAAAGAAAACATATTTTTCCAGAATATACTTACACCATACTTCCTGAGTGCTGGTACTCTGTGCTAAAAGAATGCCTTACATACCTGACATGCTTCTCTTGAATGGGCTGCTTTGTTCTGTTTTCTTCTCTTACAATTAGACCAAAGGGAATCATACACAGTATTGTAAACAGTAACCAGTTCTGTCTTTTGAGTTGTACTTTAAAATTGCTTCCCTCACTAACAGTTGGACACTTAGGGCAGCGGTGCTAGAACTCAAGCATGTTGAGGTGCAAACACAATAATCTAACTAAACATGACATTTTTATGAACCATAACATTTCCCACTGAGTGTGCCTTCCAGTTTTAAATCTCACCATCTGACTGTGGAAGTGACACAATCTGTCCAGCTCAATATTTTGGCCTCGAATGGAAAAATTAACCTTTTACTGATACAGATGTAATGACAACAGTAGATAATGTACTTACACCCTCAGAAGACACGTCCTTCACCAAGTTTTGACTGAGCTCTCTTTGAACACATGCTCGCGATCATCAGATATATGCAGTTACACATTTTCACCAGAGACATCTCCAAATCCCCAAACTGCACACAGTGTAGCTTTAACTTTAGAATGAAGTTGTATGTACTCCTGTTTGGGACTCTCTCTCCCTCTAGCTCTTAAAACCTGTAAACCCTCATAATGTTCATGTATGACAGAACAAGAAACTCAGTTACTGAGATTTAAAAAGAAACCTCAAAAATAAATCTACATGTCTCATATAGTCAATATAAACAAACAGGAATTTTGAAAATCATTCCAGTTTGAATGTACTGATGTATAGTTCTACACTGCCTATACTATAAAACTATAATATACTATAAAACAATATATAGTTATATATAACCTATTGCTAACATATTTTAAATACAGCTATTATTTCCCAAAGTAAGAATACTATCTGTTTGCTCAGGAGGTGTTTTAAGCCCCTGATAGACCTACATGAGCAGCTCTCTGTGGCAGTAGATTAGGTTGCAGTGCTGTCTGCAACAGAGACTGGTGATGGCAGATGGCTAATCAATAACATGTGAGAAGCCCAGAGGACCACAGAAAACAATATATTATAGAAAAAAAGCCCTGCTGGTGAAACGTCTTGTCTAAAACATTAATAATGAACTATTAAGTTTTTATATAAAAAAAATACTGAGATGATTTGTGTTTGCTAATGGGCTAAATACTGTTGTTGTCAGTGTTTTTTTTCCAGGTCCTGCAAATTTTGTCGATACAAGGTTTTGATCAAGATAGCAACCATATAATAATTCTATCAGACTGCCTGACACAATAACATTCATAATTAAGCTTTTATAATGCTGCTATATCCCCTTTTCCATTCAGTACATTCACTCGCCTCCCATAAGCAATGCATATTCACACAAGAGCACAAAGAAAAATTTAAGAGGAGATTTAATTAAAACAGAGATCCATTAAAGACAGACATTACTTGATTCATCACGAAATGCCCACTTCATTCAAGCATGACATTATCGGTGCCAAACACATTTAAACCATTAAAATAAGTAAGTGATTGCACTCAGAAACCAAAGCTATTTTTTCAAGAACAGGGGACTTGGATAATTACTAACTGTGATCAGCTGTTCATCCTCTATTTTATGCCTAATATAGTCAACACTGTGTTACACAGTGAGAATACAGAGAGATGGAGTACCTTCCATAACAATGCAGTTAAAAAGTTTTAAAATTGTTTAAAAGTGATAATGTGATGATGACAATTAAAAAAAAATTAGTAATGAACAGAACATATCAAATACTTTGGCCATTTACAGATGTTTGTTATCAACTAAATAAAAATTAAAACAAATTATACCATGTATCCCTTTTTTCTTCATAGTTGAAAGACATGCCCAGTTAAATGTAATATACTGACAATTAGTAAAGTATACCCAAGACTTGGATCACTAAACCAAACAACAACCCTTTACCTCTTACCTTTACCAAGATTTCTGAAATTGTAAAATTGAAACAGACCAACAAATAGGTCAAAAGTGTTTGCTGGATGTCCACGTCTATCCAGTCACTTCAGTTCAGTGCTCAACTAAACAGAGAACAAAGAGCTGATGCAAAATATCCAGAAAAGATATCTGAATAAACACGACACAAAGTTCAGAGTCCAGCTATGCTGTCAGTTTGGTTTACCGTTAATCACTTGTTCTCCTCTGCTACTCTGCTTCCTCCCAGTAGTCGCTCTCTTTCGGCCGCGTCTCCCGTCTCGGCGCTGTGCTCTCCGGCCCAGCAGGGCAACTTGGCCATCAGGGGCTTGTGAAGTCCATTGTAGAGCCCAGTGCCTATAAGTAAGATGATGAAGCCCAGGATCTGCAGGCCATGGAACGTCTCCCAGCCCAGCGCCAGACTCATCACCCAAATGACCAGCGTACGCAGGCTGTCCAGCACCATGCGTGTGGTGGCGCTGATTTCTTTGGTGACGCTGATGCCAGCGAAATTAAAGAAAGCAATGCTTACAGTGTTGCCCAGCAGTGCCAGCAAAATAAGCGGCTTGTGGCCGATCTGACAGAAAGCGTCCAGCGCATCTTCCAAAACCTGTCGTGGGTTGCTGCCGAAGTTGCCTACTGGGATGAAGTACATCGGGATGAGGAGAAAGGAGAGGATGACAAAACCGAAAAACCCTAAAGACAAAGAGAGGATGAAGTGTTCAGACAAGCAATGTTTATGACATCTCAACAGAGAACAAAGTACGATTAAAGAGAACTCTACTGTTAAAGGAGAATTCCACGATTTTTCAGAGTGGTCTGATGTGAAATGGTCAGTTCTAGAGAAACTTTTTAGGTCAAAATTCTTCACAGTGGTACTGAAAATAAAATATGTAGGGCTATTCTAGAGCCCACTAGACTTGTGACGACAAACTTATTTAGCAAAGGAACAATACTAATAAAATTAACCAAGTAATTAACTAGAAGGAGTAGATATAACAGTTAAAAATTATATTTAGTCCTTAGTGGCAAATAATTATAATGTTAATTTAGTTCCTGCTATTTACCCTCGGTTCCCACTGCTTTTAAAGGATGAACGTTGTGCTTATAAACAAACTTCTCTTCCAGCACCATCTGCACAGAAACGATGATCTGCGCCATGATGATCAAAAGGTCTCCTGCGGATTAAAGGCCAAGACATCAATAAAAGCAAAAACAAGCAAAGTCTTTACATTGAAATAGCCTGAACCCAAGACAAAACTCCTACAACACAACAACATTGAGCTTTAGTTACCTGTGATGACCTCACTGAGTTTGTGTTGGTCTCTGTTGCCGCTGATGAAATCAGCAAGCCCGACCACCACCAGGCCCACAATGGTGATTAGAATCCCAACCCACTGGCTGGCTACCAGCCGGCGCCCCAAGAAGGCCACAGACAGGAGGCCAGTAAAGATGATCACAGCACCTCGCAACATCTGGAAACTGGAGGCACTGGTCATGTTCAGTGCTAGATACAGGAAAAGAGATTTTTTTTTATTTGTAGAATAACAACAACGACAACAAAAGAAGAGAGTAACGACATGTGTCCTACATAACGTATAATAATAACATACAACAATATAATAAGTATAACAGTGTTCTACTGCTTTTATACAGTGCTAAGCAAAGAAAAAGTAAAGCAAAGGTTTGGGCATCTCAGTCAAACTACATGTGAAAATAAGTTAACACCATCTCTGCAGAAAACACATTTCTGCACATTAGAATTCATTTTATTTGCTGAATTTAAGCTAAAAAATAAAACGTGGCCTGTGCAAAAGTCCCCCTCCCCCAATATTTTAAACTCAGCAAATAAATGCAAATTGTACACTAAAATGTGAACAGGGGTATTACAATTTTTGCAAACGACTGTACGTTTTTAAGATTTCAATTTCTTCCACTACATTCCACCAGCTTACAGCAAAGAGACAATCGTTGTTACTTAGCAGCGGGTGGAATTAAACAGGAATGGTAAAGAAGCTGATTTCAGATATAACAACGAGTAGAATGCTCTTCAACCAGTCAGACTGCATGGCTCAATGTTATATTTGTTAATATGCTTTATTCCAGATTTGAGCAATCTAACTCATCTAAGATACTTAAAATGAATAACAAAAAAAAAAACTGTACTAAAACACACATTTCATTAAATGTATAGAACAGAGAGAACAGAAAGAACTGATCAAAGCAAATTACTCACACAGGATAGGCGAATAAATATGACACATGATGACACATGATAACACATGACTCACAGTGCTGCTGTCAGCTGGTTGGTAAGGAACCTTCTACTTACCAACATACATGATGGAGGTTCCGGTCATGTCACAGAGGGCAGGAGGGAGAAAAAGGAGGGGGTTGAATCTTTGCCCTGGCTCCATGGTGGGCTCAGGTTTGCGGCGGTCATGACAGACGAGGATGTAGAAAACAGCCAGGCAGCTCAGCTCACCCAAAAACATGCACACAGCCTGGAGGAAGAGAGCAGGAGAGAGTGAATGGAGACAGTGAGTAAAACAAAACAGACAGAAAGTAGAAAAAAAGGAACAGACAAATAGAGAGAAGACACAACGATGAGTCATCGGTGTTTGTTCCGACAAATTCTGAAATGTCAAGCTCTTTGCTGATCGGTGTGCAGGGGGCTTAACTGAGAGAATTAAAAAGGAGTATTCCACCTTTTTTTGCATAATTACATAGTTAAGATGTAAACAAAGTAATTCAGCGTGGTTTGATGTGAAATGCTCTGTTCTAGACAAACTTACTAAGTCAGAATTGTTCAGCTCCTCACAGAAGGTTACTACCTGAAATAGTTATTGAATGCACTGCCTGATGGCTGAAACCTTGTTTTCCAATAATTGAGATAATCAGGATACTTTTTTCCTGATTTAACACTATTTTACTAAAATCAGCATAACATATAAAAACAAGAAGGCACGTGTAGGTTTACTGGTGGTATGAAATGGGTATATGTGTGCTGTAGATATCAGTTTCTCTACACTGACCCATTTTTACATCAATTTTGATTTGTTTACATCTTAACTATTGCATTATACAGAATTTATGAAAAATCAGTAGGATTACCTATTAAGGACCAAAACATAAAAACTACCTGGAGAAATGGGTGGGAGAAGGCACGTTCAGTGGTGTCATGGCAACCAGCCGCATTAAACAAGTCAGCCCATCTGAAAGATAAAGAATTAATATTAACAAAGGCTCTAGTATTTGTTTTCAACTCAACGCTGTAACTATCTACATTCTAAATGACATCATTTTTGCTGCAATACAACTTTGTTGGTTCGCTGAAGCAATGACTCGTAAGGACTGTGTTTCCCTTTAAAAAACAAAACAACGTTCTTGTTCGTATGATTTAGACAATTATTGGTTAGAATAAGAATAATTTTCCCACTGTGGTAAGTAGACAAGCAAAACCGACAAACACCTAAAAAACAAAGTTAGAAAGTTAAAATGACCTGGGCTTGTATTCATGAAGCTTGTTAGAGTAGAAGTGCTGACCTAGGAAGTGTTCCTGTCAGTAAAGTCATAATAAATAAGAGAGGGATCTAATAATAAATATATAGCTAATATATAGGCTAATGGAAGCAAGCAGGATAAGAAAGAAAACTGCCATCCATGCATTTATGATGTCTGGAGCACACAGACATCTGCAGGCTCCAGCCTAAATGACCGACACTACTGAGTTTTGGGCTAAAACAAAGCACAGTAAGACAAAGACTTTTGCTTGTGCAAGTCGTTAACAGACACTCATCCGCGCTCTGTTACAGCTGACAAACGCGCCAAGCGATTGATCATCTTTTTCTTTGAATTAGCGTTTGGGGTAGATTAAGGTTAATAAGTGACTTGTCACATTATGCTGTGTTGTCTGCCAATCAGAGGTTGTTTGAACAGGCATGAGTGACATGTGGTTTCAATACCAGCAGTGCTAAGTTGCAAGTTTACGTTTTTCCTGATTGTCACCCTGAGTTTGTCTTAACAGTAGAATTTTTACTGTTGTTGACCAAAATCTGATTTAGGCTTACAAGTAAAAAAAATATGTGGATGCACCAACATGGAAATTGTAGACCAATGCCACATTTTTCATGTTCACACCTACTGAGGCTGATGCGGAAACATTTAAAAATGTAGAAACTGAGACTGAGATCCATCTGGATTAGCATTACAAGAACTGTAAAGTTTTATTTGTTGTAGTTACTGTATTGGTTACAAATGCAGTGAAATGAATTAAATACTGATATTGTAGCCCAGCCTCGAATAAACGTTCTGCTCCTCTGGAGCAAAATAAATAGGTCATCAAATGTTGATTTGAAATATCAGTCAAATCTAATGTGTCTGATGCCAATAATTTTCTAAAGTAAAGATCTGCTGATACTGATAGAGCATCCCTAAAGAAATATTTACATCTAACTAGTGAAAAGGTACTTACCAAGTGTTTTCTTTTGAGAAATATATAAAGAAACTACTGTTTAGGCCACTTCATGTGGAATACTTTCACTTCAGCTTCAGTAGAAGCAGTAGCCTCTGCGCCACTTCCACAACTAATAATTCTTGCTGACCACATCAAATAACATAATTCTGCATGTTTCCAAAGTGGACAGGTATAACTCAAGCTTCAAACATGATACTGCATACATGCCAAATCAAAAGTACTGAATGGATCACTTTTCTAATAAGAGGGCAGATAATGTTACATTCTATTCAGACTTGTTCAAGCTCTTCTCCCCCATATACATAGAAAAATCCTCTGAATATAAGGAATCAAATCTAATTATGCTTTTTTGACGTGTGACGACGGCCCACGTCATGATCATGAGAGTCACTTGGTCAGAGAAGACCACTCTGCACAGTCAGCAACTCCTGCATTGATTCTACGAGCCTTGACACCTAACAGCATGAGCAACAAAACAAAAAAATACTGATGTTTCTTAGATCATTGTGCATCCCTAAAGAAATATTTACATCTAACTAGTGAAAAGGTTCTTACCAAGTGTTTTCATTTGAGAAATATATAAAGAAACTACTGTTTAGGTCACTTAAGGTGGAGTCCTTTCACTTCAGCTCCAGCAGAATCAGTAGCCTCTGCGCCACTTCCACAACTAATCATTCTTGCTGACTACACCGAATAACATCATACTTCTGCATGTTTCCAAAGTGGACAGGTATAACTCAAGCTGCAAACATGATACAGCATACTTGCCAAATCAAAAGTACTGAATGGATCACTTTTCTAATAAGAGTGCAGATAATGTTACCTCCTATTTAGACTTGTTGGAGCTCTTAGCCCCCACATACATAGAAAAATCCACTGAATATAATTAGGAATCAAATCTTATTCAGCATTTATGACAGTGTGACGATGGCCCACGTCATGATCACAAGAGTCGCTTGGTCACAGAAGACCATACTGCACAGTCAGCAACTCCTGCATTAATTCCAAGAGCCCTGACACGCGACAGCATCAGCAACAAAACAAAAAAATACTGATTTGTTTCTTATAGTGCATCCCTAAAGAAATATTTACATCTAACTAGTGAAAAAGTTCTTACCAAATGTTTCCACTTGAGAAACATAAAAAGAAGCTACTGTTTAGGCCACTTTAGATGGAATCCTTTCACTTCAGTAGCCCCTGTTCCACTTCAGCAGTTCTGCAAGAAAGATTGTTCTTGCTGATTACACTGAATACCATCAAACTTCTGCATGTGTCCAAAGTGGATAGATATTACTCAAGATGCAAACATGATACAGCATACTTGCCGAATCAAAAGTATTGAATGGATCACTGTTCTCATAAGAGTGCAGCATCAGGTAGCACGTCCACTAAAGTCAGCACGTTTCAGAGATAATGTTACCACCTATTCAGACTTCAAGCTCTTAGACCCCACATACATAGAAAAATCTGCTGTAAATATGCCGGCAATCAGGAATCAAACCTAATTCAGCATTTGGGACGATGGTGTGATAATTGCCCACGTCATGGTCACAAGAGTCGTTTGGTCAGAGAAGACCACACTGCACAGTCAGCAGCTTCTGCACTGATTCTACGAGACCTGACACGCAACAGCATGAGCGACAAACCCAAAAAAGACAAATTAAATGTGATCAGTAGTTCCTGTTATAACTAAACATATCTGAAAGTAACCTTCTTTAGTCAGTGATTCCCTCGTGGAGGAGTAGGAATAAAAAGGTAAAGAAAAAAGTTTCATATAGAACTAGAGTACATTCAGCAAGCATCTATTATTAAAGGAAATGAAGTTTCTCAGGCTATTAGCTATATTCTTCTCTTGTTGGGATGTTTCATGTCTAAAATAAAAAGCTCCAAAGTAAGAGGTGAGAGCAAAATCAGCCCATGTGTTGACCCAAAAGATCATAACGAAATTAAACACAAAAAATGACAACAGGAACTAATTCTGAATGACTAAAATGGAATGCAGCAAAAAGAAGTTTCTTTTCCTCACAAACACGTCATGAGTGCAGGCTAAGTAAAAGGGTCATTTGGGAGACACTCTGAAAAGTACGAATCAATCAGAAAGATTCATTTACTCACGTGGTAAGTGAGTAAATGAATCTAGCTCTTAGTAACAGCCTCTGTATGTAAGGCGAGACTGGCTTCATATTCGCCAGCTTCTTGTTTGAATTTTCCCGTTCCACCTTAAATGGAGCAGCAGTTACATTCTACCCTCAGACGCCAGTATGTAACTGCTTCACCATTTAAGGTGGAACGGGAAAATTCGATCAAGAAGCAGATCCTAGCTTCATGCAAAGTAAGAGGCATTGGTAAAAAAAAAAAAATTCCATGAAAACATTAGACTGAAGACCAACGAGAGAGAGAAACACGAAGAAGAGGTGACACTTGTGTCTGTCTGCACTGTTTTACTTACTTTGCCGATAGTGTATTGATGGAGCCTGTAGTGACCATTAAGCCAGCCAGAAACAGTTGGTACTTCGTCCAGGCCATGGTGAACGAAGAGCGGTCAGCACACACAGAAGCCGCTGCTGCCCTTTTTGTCCCTCGCTTGTTTTTCTGCTTCTTCCCCGTTAAAACCTCATTGGAGGAGAACTCCTCACGCTCCGCCAGCGAGTCACATGACGCAGAGGTCAGCTGACGCGTCACCAGACTCGAACAAGGCTGCGTTCGATTTCAACGTTCTAATGGGCTGCGTTCTAATACGCGCGCTCAGAATTCTGTTCGAAAGCATTCTGTTCTCTTGGGAAGCGTCACATTTAGAACATACTGCACCCAGTATGTATTACAGTTAAAACACATACACGATCTAAACACACCAATTGGAACACCAGCTAGTTTGAATAGCGCATGCTTTAGCTGAGCCTTCTAGTTAGAACACTAACTAGTGTCCTAGTTAGAAAACTCTGTAGGCGTTACAGCGAGCCAGCATTCTAGTAATAGATTTTAAGAAGTGAGCATTGCTGGTAGAACACATCATATGCTCTTGCTAACCATAACCAGTTAAAGGGTTCTCTAGTTGGGGTTTTCACAACCTTTACATAAATGTCACCTGAGTTTCACATGTGAATAAAACACATGTTGTATTTTGCACACTTTACATGTTAAAAATGTCATAACGTGAAAAGACACGTGAAATAGTGTTCATATGCGAAAAAAAAACATGTTAAACGTGATCACATGTGAAATTGTTTTCACATGAAAAAAAATGTGTGATTACATGTGAAATATACGTGACTTTTTTCTGTAAGGGAAATTCTGCATGATTTTGATTAAGATGTAATCAAAGTGAAATGCTCTGTTGTGGAGAAACTTGTCAGAATTGTTCACAGTGGTGGTGACAGGAACCAGACATCTGAAGTGTTTAACGTCTCTTCTAGCTCACAGAAAGTTATTACATGGAATAGTTACAAACACCTTGCCTGATGCCTAAGATTTTGTTTACTATAGTTAGGTAAGTTTTTCGGCCTTAAACATTTTTTTAATCCATTCAGAGTGGAAAAGTACATACAGGGTGCTTTACCCAAATATATATACATACATACATATCAGATTTTGTGTACCATGTTTAGGCCAGAGGTATTACCCACTAGACTACACCAACTACCACAGCACTAACTAGCACCCTAGTTACGATGCATTAAAAATAAACTATCATAATTTATTTATGTTTCTTTAAATCTATATATATTTGAGGTGATTGTGTGACGAAGGGAAGCACATATTAATTCATTTACAGTACCAGAAGGAAGAACTAGTACTCTTGTCCATGTACTTAAAGGGGAACTCCACTGCTTTTTCAAACTTTCTGCATAATTAAATGGTTAAGATGTAAACAAAGTCATTTAGAGTGGTTTAGTGTAAAATGATTCGTTCTAGAGAAACTGACAGAGTCAGAATTGTTCACAGTGATGATGATAGGAACCAGTTGTCCACTTCAAAAAGCTATTTCACAGAAAGTTATTGCAAGAAATAGTTATGGATACTGATGTCTTAGACACTTTTTATTGTAGTTTTGTGATGAACATTTGCCCTAAAACATTGTAATCAATTTATTTTAATCTAGTCTTGGTGGAGGGATATGTAAGGGGTGTTCTAAGGCAAAACAGGCCCCTAAAGATAACTCTTTATTTCAGATTCACCACTATTTTACCATCATTAACATTACATATAAAAAACTCAGAAGACATGTGTAGGTTCACTAGGGGTTTTGGATAGTAAAAATGACTATATTTGTGTTGTAGACGTGGCGACCCCAGCTGGTTCCTTTCTCCACCACTGCAAAGAAATCTGAGTCTGTAAATTTCTCTACAATTAACCATTTCAAACCACTCTGAGTGACTTTGTTTATATCTCAAACACTGAATTATGCAGACATTTTACAAGTAACATTTGAAACGAATTCGGACTTTTCTGAGTATTTTCAAACAATTATTTTACTAAAGCATATGTTGAGGAATTGTTTGGTTCCAACAGTAATTCACAGTTTATTTCTGATTCATTTTTGCATTTAATTACACTCTTTTCTCAAATGAGCAATTTATTTGAGACCAAAACAATCCCAAATAATGCTTAAGCTTCAGTTCTTTTGTTGGTAGACGTTGCATGAAATAAAATGTGCCATTGATACTTCTCCTTGCTCTTCCTCAAGCGTTTTTTTCTTTGTTTGGCTAACTAATTTTACTTATACTTGAACTAAAACGTAATAATGCTTTAACAAAAGCAAAACAAAACAGTATTTTAACTTCAGTAAGGTTTCAGGCCACTCTGCCCACCTCCGCCGTTCGTACAGTGAACGGACATTGACAGTTGCTAGTGGAGATGCCGATGAATCTGGCGACCAATCACAGCTCACCTTGAGCGTTTCTTATTGCAGCGATTTAACCCTCGAACGCGCTGATTGGCTCCGAGGGACTTACGCGCTGTTTTGTTGATAAATAACTGGGAGAAGAAGGTCGACCGTTCTGCGTAAGAGCTCTGAAACCTGCGAAAGTCTCACGGAAGACACGCAAATCTTTAGCCTGAACTTTACACTGAGTTTTGTTTTAGTTTTCAGACGCCGTTTTTAGAGCCGTCCGAGTGGAGAGGCCAAGTGTGCAAGAGTTCACCGTAAAATTCGCCTCGATGCAGCGGAATGTTTTCGCGCGTGTAACTTTCTTTTAAGCTTGCTCCGGATCATACTGTAGCATGTCGACGTGGTGAAGCTCCGGACTTCCTACAGAGGGTGGATGGTGCCTTGAATGTAGACTGGAGTGAGCAGGGTGCATGCTCGGAGTCGACTTTGCCCGGGGCTGGAGCCGTTTCTGCTGAACTCGCCCCTGTCATCCGAACCTCAGAGCACAAGGAAGAGGCCGACGACGAAACTGCAAGAAGAAGAGTTAAGTGAAAGTAATCCCGCTGGACCGAGCAATCGCGTAAACGGTGAGGAAGACTGTTTTCTGTAGTGTGCATTCATTTGCATTGCGATATGCGTGCTTATTACACGCTTATACGTGCTGTTGTGTGCATTCCTTGCAAGGGCGAGTACACACATAACTGTTAGGCCTGAGCAAATGAGGCTCTCTGTTATTTATAGAAGCCAGTTTCATGACTTTGTGCATAACTTTTTGCGAACAGTTTGTAGTAATGCTAGTAATGCCACGGTGAGGTCTAGTTTGGCTGGCAAGGGAGGGGTCAATAATGGTGAAAAAAACTTCTTGCTCCCATATTCTCTCTCTCCCCCTTCCCTCCTCACTTCCTGTAATTCTTGTTGTCTTGCAGTGCACCGTTCACGCCCCTAGTTTTCTGTCTGCTCTGCTGGGTTTGACTGCAAATCACGTTTCCTCTTAGGAATCAACCATCAAGATAATTCTTCATGCCTCAAGAGTGATTGGATTGGATTTAATTGTGAATAAACTTTTTTGTTATTTTTCAAGGGAGGCCACTGGTGCTGAATCTATCACTATTTTGATTTGAGGAAGGGCTTTATATAGAGCTGGACGATATGGCAAAAATGTTATATCACGATACAGTTTTTACAATATGCCATATGCCACAATATTTATTTTTATTGATATCTGATAAGTTGTAACAATGAAAGTAGTGCCACATTTAAAAAGTATTATCAAAAATTATCAATCCAATTATTTGTATTTACCAATTCACATTTTGTGGTGTACTAAATCCAGTTAACAGGACAAATGGTGCTCTTTTTGTAGTCAAACATGCAGTCAGAAAGTGTTTTTAAGCACAGTTAATATCCACAGTATTCTCAGAAAAGCTTTTTGCTATGTAATTTATCATGATAATGATAAATATGGTCATATTGCCCAGCATTAGCTTTGTATTGGTCATGCAAATTCACCACCCTATAAAATGATTTCATATTTATCACTCCTGAAGGATTGCTCTTCAAGAGAACGATAGAAGCTGTATTCTTGCACATCTTTTCTGGTCCACGTTGTCCTGCCTTTGTTGAACAGTTTTACCTCAGCTTGCAATTGATTGCACAACAGGTTAAGGAAGTAATCCTTTATAAAGTAGTTACATACTCCACAACTGTGTAAACCGTTGCATTGTTTCTCCTTGTAGGTCACTGCTTTTCAGAATCTTGCCTGAGGGATGACAGTCTGCTTAGCTGTTTACAGCATATCTAGTTTGGAGAAGGGGAGCAAAGGGGGAAGTGCGAAAGTTCTCTTTCCTCTTCTTCATGACATCTGCCCACCAAGATACATCTTTCTGAAAGAGACAGTCAGGCTTACAGAGCAGGTTCCTCTTGGATGGTCTATACTTCTGCAAGGCCTTTGTAGTTTTACAGTTTTAACATGAGCCTCTCTCCTCATCAGAGAGGGAACATTAGTAATATCGCCAAGCAGAGCGTTGAAGCCATTGAGGAAGCGGCACAGCATTCAGGAGAGGTCTTCTACAACGTGGGGGCTCCTCCTTTGGAGCAGACTCACAGCAGTGCTGGTGGCAGGGGGGACCCTAGCCATGATCTCCAAGGCTCAGCTGTCTTCAAGCCTGAGAAAGCATATCAGGTGTGGGGTCACTTTCAGCAGTCAGGTCCAGTCAAGTGGGTGCATCAGGACCCGATGCAGACGTCCACTTGGTTTCAGGGGATTCAAAACCCATCCAAACTGAGCCAGAGCTTTGGTCCTTCTATGAGTGGAATCGACGATGCACGGGCTCATCAAGCTTTGCACAAGACAAATCATGATATGGAAGCTTTGCAGCAGGAAAAAATGGCTGTGGGTTCCTCTGCGTCCTTCTCTGAACCTTCACAAACTCTGGCACCAGGAATGGAATGGGATCATCACACGATGGCAGCCATGCATCATGCTCAGTTCCAGGCCATCCAGCAGGGTCACAAGCCAGGAGACCCACAGTACCAACCTCACGCCATGCGGCATGCCATGCCTGATTCCACTTTGCAGCCTTTTCAGTTAGCGTTCGGACCCACTAAACAACCCCAGGCCTCTGGCTTCTTTCCAGCATTCCACGGCAACAGTGTCCCGCAGAACGTTGGCTACAGTGAACAGCCGAAATCACAGCAGCAGCTCCTGCACCTACAACAGCACCAAATGCAGCATCAGCATCAAATGCAGCAACTGCAGCAAATGCACCAGCTGCAGCAGCAGCAGCAACAGCGACTGCACCAAATGCAGCAGCAGTACCATCATCAACAGAAACTGCAACAGATGCAGCAGCAGCAACTGCAACAGCAGATGCAAAGCGTTCAACAGCCAGAAACAATTGCTGTGCAAGCACGCTCGCAAGACCAGCGGCCAGCAAGACCTCAACAGCTGGACGATAGTCAATTAAAAGTAGATTCTAGAAGTTCAGCTCAGCAGAGGCAGCCCCCTTCTGTACAGGCTCAAACACAGGATCCAAGTCCCCAGTCTCCAGTTGGCCAGGATTCTGGACCTGCCAAGGCACCTCAAGAACCACAAGAACCCCAAACCAAACCTGAGGTCCTCCCTCGGCGCTCTAGACGGCTCTCCAAGGACGGACTCTCTCCTGTGAGCAGCCAGCCACCCAAAGAGCCTGCCCGTAATGGAGGTACGGGTGGCCAAGGGCCCTCTGGAGGAGTCATCCAAAGCACACAGAGAAGGAGGAGAGCTTCCAAAGAGATCAACCTTGAGACTCTTGCGCAGAAGGCATCAGAGATGGAATTTTTGCCAGCAAAGGTGAGAGTGCTTGTTAGTCTGACTGTTTGGTCACCTTGCTTGTTCTCCAATGGTCTAGGCATAGTTTCATGTACAGTACATTTTTGGCACAATGGTTGCATATAGTACCAAAAAAAATCTAACTCTAACAGTCCTGAAACTCTTTTTTTTGTTACTAAATAGAACCATTTCTAAAACGTTATTTGAAGAATCGTATATAGAAAGTTTTCAATCACAGAAAAAAGCCATTTGACCATGCAAAGAACCACGAATGCATTCAAATCGTTCTTCAGGTGCTCACGGTTCAATGTATAACCACTGCCTTTACTAAAGAACCCTTAAAGAACAATTTTTTAAGGATGCACTGTTCAAAAGTTTGGAATCCGACAATAGCTGTTACATAGACTAAAATGTTACGAATTAGACGCCGAAGTGTAAGGCAATGGTTTATTCACAGTTAAATTATTTTGGAGACAAGGTGTTTAAAAAGTAGCAAATGTTATTAAAAAATAAATTGTAATCAACGATTTACAGTAATTTCTTGTCACAAAATTAAACATTTTTAAAGTTATTATTAATTTATTTTTGATGTTCTTAAGCTTTCTCAGTCATTATTGAAGCATGAACAGCTTCATTCCTCATAGGAATGATTCTTTATTTTACACTATCCTATAATTTGTTTGAAACCTATGAAATTGTAAAGTAATAGCAATGTTGGAATCATTTTACAGTCATATGCAAAAAGTTTGATCATCCCCAGTCAAATGACATGTTTTGTTGATTTTCTAAGTGAAAATAAGTTAACATATTCTCTTTAGAGAACAAACTTAAATATGGCATTTTTTGGCCAATTTTAACACACAGTTTCTAATTATTGGCTGAGTTATTATATTGGGGAAAAATAAAACCTAAAATGTGCCATAATTTTTGCGCAGGCCACATTTTATGTTTTCATTTTTTTTCCAATATATTAAATTCAGCAAATAAACATTAATTGTGCATTAAAATGTGCAGAAATGTGTTTTTTGTAGGGGATGTGTTAACATAAAAATCAGCAAAACATAATTTGTCCAGGGGCACACAAACATTTTCACATGACTGCAAAAAAATGGTTTTATGTGACGGAAACTTTTGAATGGTGCATTGGTTATCTTCAGTGATCGTGTGAATGATATAAGTGATGGTGTGATGATAGAAGCTGAGTGGATAACCACCAGGCTTGGGTGGTTCAGATCAACCCATGCATGAAAAAGCACAAGGCAAATCACTTTGCAGAAAGTGAGAAAGCTAGTTTTGATTTAGATTTGAATGGTGACACTCCACAACTGCCTTCAGTTCACGTGAGACAAAGATGCTCTCGATAAATCGATTAAATATGTGAAAAAAGCTACCTAACTTGCAAACATAAGACTTGAAACTCATAACAGTGTTTTCAACTGCATGTACATTTTGTACAGGTTTAATGCTTTGTGAGTAATGTTTTGAGTTTATTTACACTCTTGATCCTGATGTGAACTGCGGTTTTTGGAACCACTGATTTGATGTCTTCTATGAGTATGTACAGTAGATTTAGCTCTGTAGGCTGACAGAGAGCACTTGCATGTCTGCACACCTACACATTCCACACATGCTCCAAACACATTCAGGAGTGCTAGGGAGGGGCTGACGGCGCACCCGCTCTTGGTGTGTTTGCTAACAAACACCATGTAAAAATTCTTTTCACACGCCCTTATTTTTCTTAGCCGGAATACCCAGTGGCAGCTTGCACAGTTTGTGCCAAAAATAAACTCAAAAGATATGTGTTTAAGCTGTAAAAGGGCAAAAGCATTGCAGTGTTGTGTAAAGCAACAACTATAGCTCCTGGAAATGTGGCAACACTGCAGTAGAATCTGGGAAGAGGAAGCGTGATTTAAAAATAAGTCATTCATTTTCTTCTTGCCAATCAAATAATCCTGTGAGGCGGGATTTACTGTCATTTTCCTTCATGTGCTGAATCCAAGAAACAGTTTCAATCTGATTGAATCAGATTCAATCAGATTGAAACTTACTTGATTGAGATTGAAACTTACTTGATTGACTTATCCTAAATCCAGATCCAACCACAGATACATATTGACTGCTGTTTTAACCTCTTAAAATTCCAGGCTTATCGTATTCTAAGACTTATTATTGAGTAACTACATGTAAACTATGCACAGTGAGTTATTCTTATAGGAGTCAAGACTAGAAGTTTGGACCCACTGACATGTCCTGGCCATTTAAAAGGTTTAAGCCTTTGCAGTTGAAAGCATATAAAGATGAATGAATTAATGTATGATTTAATTAGTGTGCACTGTAATTAAAAGACAGCAAGGCAGCACCTTGCTCTTCTCAGGAGCCAGGCTGCTAAGATCATAGGAGACAAACAACCCCAATTTAAGGGTATATGTTTTCAACATATAGACAAAACACACATTTTAGCAACTTATCCCCTTCTCTCAACATTCTAGGTCCTGCCATCAGGCCGAAGACTGAAAGTTCGTATGGCTAGAAAAGTAGTTATTAAGAATCTTTTATTTCATTAGCTGTGACAATTCTAAATAAATGTTGATTTAAACAAATTCCTTAGGGAATCAGTACTCCTGTACATGTATCTCTCTGTGGATCTGTAGTGTATTGTGGTTTTTTTGCCCCTCTATATTTGTGCTGAGTGTGTTGTCATGGTTAAATTGCATTTCACTTATATATTTAATGTGTTTCGTGTGTTTAGTGAAGTTTTCTATAGAGAAATTTCCATTTTGTATAAATGAAATGGACAATAAAGTACAACCACGTTTCCAAAAAAGTTGGGACACTGTACAAAATGTAAATAGAAACAAAATGCAGTTGTGTGCAAATTATTCAAACCTTATATTTAATTGAAAATAGTACAAAGACAACATATTAAATGTTGAAACTGAGAAAGTTTTTTGTTTTTTGGAAAACTATTTTGAATTACGTCCCAGCAACACGTTTAAAAAAAGTTGAGACAGGGCAACAAAAGGCTGGTAAAGTTGTCTAATGCTAAAAATCACCTGGTGGTTAAATGGCATCAGGTCAGTAACATGATTGGGTATAAAAAGAGCATCCAAGAGAGGCTGAGTCTTTCAGAAGTAAAGATAATGAGGGGTTCACCACTCTGTGAAAGACTGTACAGGCAAATAGTGCAACAATTCAAGAATAACAATTCTCAATGTAAAATAGCAAAAGATTTGGGGATTTAATCATCTACGGTACATAATATCATTAAAAGATGAGAGAACCCAGAGGAATCTCTGTATGTGAGGGACAAGGCCGAAAACCAATATTGGCTGGCCGTGATCTTCAGGCTCTCAGGCAGTACTGCATTAAAAACAGACATGATTCTGTAGTGGAAATCACTGCATGGGCTAGGAACACTTCTGAAAATCGCTCTGAGCACAGTTCATCACTGTATCCACAAAAACAACTTAAAACTCTACCATGGCAAGAAGAAACCATATATAAACAGGATCTAAAAACACTGCCGCTTTCTCTGGGCCCGAGCTCATTTAAGATGGACTGAGGCGAAGTGGAAAAGAGTCCTGTGGTCCGAAAAATCAAAATTTAAAATTCTTTTTGAAAATCATGGATGCTGCGTCCTCCAGGTCGAAAACAGTCTGGCTTGTTATCAGCACACAGTTCAAAAGCCAGCATCCGTGATGGTATGGGGGAGCATTTGTGTACATGGCATGGGTGACTTGCACATCTGTGAAGACAACATTAATGCTGAACGATATATACAGATTTTGGTAACATATGCTGCCATCCAGACGACGTATTTTTCAGGGAAGGCCTTGCTTATTTCAGCGAGACATTGCCAAACCACATTATGCACATATTACAACAGCACAACTTCGTAGTGAAAGAGTCCGGGTGCTAAACTGGTCTGCCTGCAGTCCAGACCTGTGACCCACTGATAACATTTGTCAAGTCAAGTCAAATTTATTTGTATAGCACTTTTTACAGCTGATGTTGTCACAAAGCAGCTTCACAGAAATCCATTAAAGACAAAGTTTTAACATGAAATGGAAATCCTCCAGGTGAGCAAGCCAGGGGCGACAGTGGCAAGGAAAAACTCCCTCAGAGCTGGGGAGAAACCTTGGGAGGAACCAAGGCTCACATGGGGGGACCCATCCTCCTCTGGTCAAACTACCTACATAATTATTATACTACTAATATTAATAGTAGTAGTAGTAATAATAGTTAGGAGTCCATGAAAACTTTAATGTAAGGTGGGCAGCTAGTCTAAGGCAAGTGCCGGTGACTGGGGCGTGGGCAACTGGTCTGAAGCAGGTAGCAGGAGAGCTCAACAGACAATCATCCATCAGTGTCCGGCCGGACAGGTGGGCAGTCGTTTACTCAGAAAAAGGTAGGGAGATGGAGTTAGTTTAGTTCTGTATGGGTGTATGTATAATAATAAATAAATCATTTCCAGAGTGTGGCTAACGACTCTGGCAGATCTGACTATAACAGCTTAACTAAAAGGAGCGAACCAAAAGGACACACAGATACGGGAGCACCCTGAAACAATTTGGCATCCCTCCGCTCCACCGTCCACAAACCTGAGTGATCGCGTGTGAGCAGCAGGACGACAGCACCAGCGTCTCAGTTTACTATAATTCCCTGCGTCCATGGACCCCTGGATCTGCTGCCTTTATCTAAGGGGGAACATTAACTACCAAAAGCTAAACTAAACAAGTGAGTTTTCAGCCTAGATTTGAAGATTGCGACTGAGTCTGAGTCCCGAACATTTTCTGGAAGATCATTCCAGAGTTTGGGGGCTTTATAAGAAAAGGCTCTTCCCCCAGATGAAACCCTCTGAATTCTGGGAACTATTAAAAAGCCAGCACTCTGTGATCTGAGTAATCGTGGTGGCTCGTAATGGGAAATAAGGTCTTGCAGGTACTCAGGAGCGAGCCCATGTAGGGCTTTATACATCAATAAAAGAATTTTGTAATCAATATGGAATTTAACAGGCAGCCAATGAAGTGATGATAGAACTGGACTGATATGATCAAATTTTCTAGTTTTAGTGAGAACCCTGGCTGCAGCATTTTGAACTAGTTGAAGTTTACTTAAATTTCTGCTGGTGCATCCTGATAGTGGTGTATTACAATAGTCTAGCCTTAAAGTAATAAAGGCATGTACTAATGTTTCTGCATGTTGCGAAGATGTAAAAAAGCTGTCCTAGTGATACTGCCTATGTGTTGATCGAATGATAAATCTGGATCAATTATGACGCCAAGATTTTTTGCTGCTGAACCTGGTATAACTGGAAAGTCAGCGAGATTTAAAGTTAAATCTGATAATTTATTTCTTGCCACTTTTGGACCCAGAAGGAGAACCTCTGTTTTGTTTTAGAAGGAGGAAGTTACGCAACATCCAGCCTTTCACATCTTTTACACAGTCCTCTATTTTCTTTAACCTGTATTTGTCATCAGGCTTGGCTGATATGTACAATTGTGTATCGTCTGCGTAACAGTGAAAGTTAATGCCATGGCTACTTATAACTGTGCCTAACGGTAACATGTATAATGTAAATAATAATGGTCCTAAAATAGAGCCTTGCGGAATTCCAAATCTTACTTGTGAATAATTGGAAGATAAATCATTTACCTTTACGAACTGATAACGTTCCGTTAAGTAAGATTTGAACCATGATAGGGCTGTCCCTGTGATTCCAACCATGTTTTCTAACCTTTCTAGGAGAATGTTGTGGTCTTTCGTATTGAAAGCTGCGCTGAGGTCAAATAGCACCACCAGGGATGTGTAGCCTTGATCAGAGGCAAGAAGAAGATCATTTGTTATCTTAACTAGAGCTGTCTCAGTGCTGTGATGTGGCCTGAATCCATATCGGAAATTTTCATATATGTGGTTTTTATGTAGATATGAACTTGAACTGAAGTAGTTGGGCTACAGCTTTTTCCAACATCTTAGATATAAATAGTAGGTTAGATATAGGCCTGTAATTAGACAATATGCTAGCATCAAGGTTTGGTTTCTTGATCAGAGGCTTAATAACTGCTAGTTTAAAAGCTCTGGGTACATGGCCCAGGCTAAGGGACGAGTTTACTATAGTTAAAAGAGGATTAATGATAACTTGTAGCACTTCTTTGAGTAATTTTGAGGGAATTGCATCAAGTGTGCAGGTTGTACAATTTGCAGAGGAGATAATGTTCTCTAGTTCTAGCTGTGGGAGTGGGTAGAAAGTTTCCAGCCTTTCTTCTGCAACTACTTTATGTTTTATATCAACCACATCAGATGACAGCCAAGTTGGATTTAATACTGTGGGCTCAATTTGTTGTCTAATATTTTCGATTTTATTATTAAAAAAGTCCATAAAAACGTCACTGGTGAGAGTTGCCGGAATTTGTGGTTCAGTACCTGCCTGATTTTTTTGGAATTCTGGAAATCACTCTAGGATTATATTTATTATTCTCGATCAGCGAGGCCAGATATGCTGAGCGAGCTTTAGTGAGAGCATTTCTATACTCTGTAAGGCTGTCCTTCCAGGCAAAGTGGAACACTTCCAGCTTGGTGGATTGCCATTTCCGCTCTAGTTTCCGTACTGTTTGTTTTAAGGTATGGGTTTTATCATTGTACCATTTGGCACATTGTGGAACGAAAAATACAACAAAGGAGACCCCAAACTGTTGAGCAGCTGAAATACTTTATCAAGCAAGAATGCGAAAACATTTCACTTTTAAAACTACAGCAGTTGGTCTCCTTAGTTCCCAAACACTTACAGAATGTTGTTAAAAGAAGAGGTAAAGCAACACAGTGGTAAACATGGACCTGTTCCAACTTTTTTTGGAATGTGTTGCAGGCATCAAATTAAATGGGTATATATTTTTAAAAAAGCTGTAAAATTTCTCAGTTTCAACATTTAATATGTGTGCAGGACGTTCAAGTGACTTTAGTTACTTTTTATTTTGCACCTTTACATTCATCACGTCATCACATTACATCATGTATGAAGTACTTTAATTCAAATGCTGTAATATATTAATGGAGATGTTGTTTTGCCTGTTAGCTATCTTTTAGCCCATTAGCTGGCTGATCAGCCTAGTCCTATATAGGAAAATAGGTTTGCAACCCCTCAGCTTAATCAGAACCAGGTTCTTACTTCGTCAGTACTCTCTGTGGTCCATGCGAGCAGTCAAAAATTATTAATTAACCTCACAAGGATTTTTAGTGACATGGTGCTGTAATACAGAATTTAGTTATACTGCAGCTTTGAACACGAATCAGCCAATTTTTGGACTGGAACTATCAGTTTTATAAAGTAATTTTGGGCCAGAACTATTGTAAAACAATGTCTTAGACTTTAGGCAGTGCATTCATACCCATTATAACTTTTGTAGCTTTTAGAGGTATTAAACATTTCAGACGTCTGAATCCCATCACCTCCACTGTGAGCAATTCTGACCCAGTAAATTTCTCTTTACAATCAAGCCACTCCAAGTGTCATTGTTTACATCTTAATGATTTAATTACGAAAAAATTATGAAAAAATCGGTGGAATTCTCGTTTAATTGCCCAGCTTCTGTAAGGTAATGACGTCTTTGTGCTTGACCCTTAATGCTCCAGTTTAAATGACATATCTTGGTTGCTGTTGAATAAAAACCTAGCCCATCATTTGCTGTTTAGAGATTTTGTTTAAAATAACAAAATCTGTATGTTACATTTTTTAAATAATATTACAATCCCATTTCCAAAAAAGTTGGGACGGTGTGCAGAATGTAAGTAAAACAAGAATGCAATGATATGCAAACAATATTATTGTTATATATAAACAATATATATTGTTTATCATGTAAACAATATTTTTAAAGAAAAACACTACAAAGACTTGTTTGTTGAAAAATGTATGCCTATTTTGAATTTGATGCCAACAACACGTTCCAAAAAAGTTTGGAAGGGGGCATGTTTACCACTGTGCTGCATCACCTCTTCTTTTAACAACACTCTGTAAGCGTTTGGGAACTGAGGAGACCGACTGCTGTAGTTTTGAAAGTGAAATGTTTTCCTGTTCTTGTTTGATATAGGATTTCAGCTGCTCAACAGTTCAGGGTCTCCTCTGTCGTATTTTTCAATTCATCATGCGGCAAATGTTATGTGTGGGTGACAGGTCTGGACTGCAGGCAGACCAGTTTAGCACCCGGACTCTTTTACTACAGGGACATGCTGCTGTAATATGTGCAGAATGTGGTTTGGCATTGTCTCGCTGAAATAATCAAGGCCTTCCCTGAAAAAGACATCGTCTGGATGGCAGCATATGTTGCCAAAACATGTATATATTGTTCAGCATTAATGGTGCCTTCACAGATGTGCACGTCACCCATGCCATGTACACTAATGTACCCCTATTCCATTATGAATACTGGCTTTTGAACTGTGCGCTGGTAACAAGGACACTTTTTCACTTCCCTTCAGTCCATTTTAAATGAGCTCGGGCCCAGAGAAGGTGGTAGCATTTCTGCATCCTGTTTATATGTAGTTTCTTCTTTGCATTTTAGAGTTTTAACTTGCATTTGTGGATGCAACGACGAACTGTGTACACAGACAGTGTACTCTCTCACAATCTCTCCGTCTTGCTTGTCACTGTTGTTCCCTCTGTCTGACCTCCTGTGGTCCTGTCTCCTCAGCGTGATGAAGGCTCATCAAGGCAGGCTGGAATGCTCCCGCTAGTGATCCCTGTCTCTGTGCCTGTTCGGAGGAGTCAGGGCCAGACGGAGCAGGCGGGCAGCTGGGGTCGGGAGCAGAAGCCTTCTTCAGAGAGCGTTCAGCAGCAGTACCAATACGACCGCAAGCCCTCCGTTATTGTAGCCCGCCGCCGCTCATTAAGGAACTCAGCTTCCGAAAGTTTTAACCAGGTACATTCAGAAAATCCACGAAGGTGTGGACATAAAACCAAATTTGTTGCAGATATTTTTGATATTATTTTTTTGATTTAAATCATTTGTAAGAAAATGTCTTTTTACTTGTCTGGAACGATAGAGCTGTATGATTTGATGAAAACTGAGAAAGCTGTATAACATCCAAAATGAACTCTATAACATGTCAAAAACATGTGGGTTAGGATTAGGTTTTGGGTTGAGTTTAAGGTTAGGATTAAGGTTAGGGCCAGGGTTAAGGTTAGGTTTTGGGTATGGTAGGGTGAGGTCAGGTTCTGCGTAATGGAAGTAACATATTACCAATACATCTCCTTAATGTAAGTAATGTATCAACAGAACATCTACAAGATGTTTCCCTTAATGCATTCAGATGCTTCACTACTCGTACTTTACTGATATGCTGTTGATGTAGTACTGATAATCTGTTAAGAGTTTATTAATCATCTATAAAGGACCACTCCAAATAAAGTGTTACCAAAATAAAATTAATATCTAGAATGACAAACATTTGCAAAATGGTAATAAAATCTTGAGGCAGATAACTGGACAAACAATTGCTATAAGTAGGTAATTATGTATTAATTATATATAATGTATTTTTTGAATTATTTTATTTATTTATTTAGTTATGTTACTTTTTAATCTAACTTTTAAGAATACCTTTTGGTGTCTAGTTGATAGTATTTCAAATAATGTTGAAGTTACTAATATGACAAGTGATACCTTCTAGCTTCTAAATGGAGTTGTTTTTCAAACCAACTATTTTTTTTTGTTTTTTTTTTTTGCATATTTAGCATATTCGATTTGTATAGAATTATTCAAATAGAAAAGCGATTTATGGCAGATAAATGGTACAGTTCAGCATATTTCTATCCCCATCCGTATCCTGATCAAGGATGAAGTGACAGAAGATGGGAAATCAGACAAGATAAAGCGTAGGCCCCGGCCGGAGCCCCTGGTCATACCCCCGCCCAAACCCTGCACCTTCATCGCTCCCTCCCTCTACTCAAGCATTACATCCTACCAGAGCCACCTGCGCTCCCCTGTCCGCTCACTGGACCACCCACTGATCTTGCCCCCCTACACTCCTCCACCCATCCTGTCGCCCGCGCGTGAGGGAACCGGCCTCTACTTCTCAACCTTTCTGTCCTCTATAGCAGGGGGTGCCCAGGGGCTGCCTCTACCACCTACACCTAGGACTGCTTCCAGAAGCCTCCTACGCTCCAGTAAGAAGCAAACTTACTGTTCATTTATTAGACAGTCCTTATTTTATAACACTTTAAAGTCATGGTTCTCAAACCAGTCCTCAGAACCCTCAAAAAGTTGGCTCTCTGTGCACATTCTTAGTGATACATGCTCTCAGGTGTTTTGGAAGCTCAAGACTCGTTTAATAACCACTGCTGAAAAAATGTATTTATAAATCATGCTTTGAATCATGTTAAAGCATTTTATGGAATTACCGCTATGTTGTTAAATAGGTTATTCTGGAAATTTTAAATTACATGCTTTGTGATGCATTTGTAGAGTGTTTAATGACTAACAGCTTTTTTTGTTGCTGATTTTTCAGGCAGTTCAGACATCACTCCTCCAGTGCTTCCTCTGATTGGAGAGGCCACACCTGTCAGTCTAGAGCCGTGAGTACAACCCCTTTTTGGTGCATATTAAATCTAATACTGTTTAATATTTTGATTTGTGTCATTTGGTCTTAAATGAACAGTTCAGAAAAAAATTATTGGTAAGTAATAAAAAGTGAAAAATGTACAAGATGGCTGGTACTAATGTTTTTAGCTATGTAATGTACTCTACAATTTCATAGGTTTTAAATAGTATGTTGGCAAATGGAAAATATAATATTTTTTATGTGTCCGCAATGATAAACCAATCTGTAGAAGATTGCAAGGTGACTTAGAAAGCCGTAGAACATCAATAAGGAAGTTAAAAGAAAAATAATATGCTGCTTAATACGCATACTTAAAAGTGGTGATTAATTGAGGCAGATAGCCAGTCAAGACACTACTGTAAGTAGGTAATTCTAGTATATTATTTGATGTGATTTATTTTTGTATGAATTATTGTATATTAGTTTGGTATTATTTATTCATTATTTATTTATGTTATTTATTTTTGATACCAGAAACCAGAAAAGTTGAATAAAACATATTCAGTGCTGTTTTAAAGTTTTTCAAAAATAACTTAAAACCCAAAGCGCAAAATCTTTCATTTACTAGAACTACAAGGCTATTGTAGCTAACAAGTAACATAAAACATTCAAGATAGCTTCTGTAACTGTTTTTAGCTATGCACTGTACCACATTGGCAAGTCTTTTTGAAATTTCTTAACAACTCAGTGTGGTTTAAGGCAAAGTCTGCTGCATTTGTTTTAACAGATAAATTTGTGGTTTTTTTTGTTTTTGTTTTTTTTTTGCTAAACTAATCACTTAAGGACATAACTTGCGGCGAGGGTCTTTTATAGTGATTATAATGCAAAAAGCATTATAATTACTATAATCAAGCAGATCAGTGCATTATAATCAAGCAGAAGCACACCTTATTACACTTTTTAATCAATTACATCTCAGCCTTTAAACAACTGCTAGGTTGGAATGAAATCCTGTAGCCTCACAAGTCCACCTGTAGATAAGACGTGACCCCGATTCACAGTGTTATAGTATCTTATTTAATTTCAGAAACAGTCATTGCTTAAGACAAAAAAAAAGCACATCTGTTTTGAGATTTCCAAATCTTCTCTGTATCACTGTATAAGTTCTTCCAATTTTCTCTCTCTTAGCCGCATAAATATCGGCTCTCAGTATCAGGCAGAGATACCAGAGCTTCAGGACCCGTCTTTGGCTCTGCAGGATCAGCACAAAGCTACTCTGGTGTGGCTGCCATTACCAGAGGCTGAATCTACACCCTCCCAAAAGGAGAGAGGTGACTTTGGATTAAAATGTCCTGCCTTCTGTCTGCGTACCCTCCCTTATTCGCATGTTGACTCTCTTTTTGTCCTCTAGTTGACAGTCTAATGAACGTGGCCTGCTCTAGTGTGCTGTGTGGAGGGGGGACCAACGTGGAGCTAATGCACCACTGCCTGCATGAAAACAAAGGTGACATCCTGGTAAGCTGAGAAGACCAGCTGCGTTGTGTTCTATTTAGTTCACTTTACACTCCTACACAAGCGTACTGTAACAATGGTTTGAGAATATACATGCTATTTTAGCAACAGAGAATGTAGAGAAACAACACAGCTAATTCAGTCACCACTTGAATGGGAAATAAACACATAGCCTGTGTATTCTTCTAGAAAACCCTGGAAATGTTGTTGATGAAGCACCCTGTCTTCTCCAGGAATCACCACCTCGCAAACTACCATTACGCAGGTGGGACACCAGTTTTACTTTTTCTGGAAGATGAGGGGTTGTAGCCTGACTCTCAGTCTGGAAACTAAAAGTCTAATTTCTGAACCCAACCCTTCAACTGGGGAACTTGTTACCTTCTCACTGATGGAGAAGCAAATTCATGGAGAGATATGGAGAAATGCTGCCCTTTGTTTATTTAATTTCCATTAAGTAATGGCCATTAAGTAAAAGCTGTAAAATTTGCAGGAGATATTTTTGAGAAGGTTAGATATAAGTTAATCGACTTGAGGAGCATAATAAGTTGAATCAAAATAAGCAAAAACACAACAGGAGCTTCTTAAACTGAAGTTCAGAAATTTTTTTAGAATATATAGAGAAAATTTGAATCCTAATAACCTGCTGGAAGGTTAAACAGTACTTAAAACTTTTATCTTTGAGATAGAGGAGAAAATCAAGCTCCACTTTTGCTTCAGATTTAAAAAAATCTACTGGAGTTTCTGTCCATCCTTCCACTGTGAGAAGAACTCAGCACTTAACACTGTGAGTCTAAAAGGATGTGTAGCTGTCAAAAAGCTCTTACTGAGAAAAGGAAATAGGCAAAAAACAGAACATTTGTAAATCAGACCAAGAAGCTAATGGTGTTCTCAGAACAATGAACTGACCGCCACCGAGTCCAGACCTCAACATCATTGTGTGTTTTTGGTTTTTTCCTGACTCGTGAGAAGCAGAAAATGCATCTCCTAAGACTGAACTTTGGAAGTGTGGAAAAATATCCCTGCAGATTTCTTTGAATTATATTTCAATTATATTTATTTGTGGAGGCTTCTGTGTAATTTTCTGTTTAATGTGTTTCCTGATTTTTTTCCTTGACTTCACAAAAATGAATAACTTAATGACTTACTGGACATGAAATAAATGAAGGGTGGTCTTGGTGAACTTTTGCACAGTACTTTTTCTATGTAGAGACAACAAGACCTCCCTAACACCAACCCTGCTTGGCCAAATGATCAGAAAAGTATTACCTGGTATAATATTTATCATTGTGATATAAAATTTGTAAGAGGAAGCAGTGTCAGACAGTTAGATCATGAGTAACATGTATTCCATAGGCTCATACTCAGGCTACGTGGTAAAGAATAATGAGGTGGAGTTCACAAGGACATTTCCATATCTGTCAAAAGTGCACCTCTTACCATTGATCTGATGAGAACAATGTGATGATGACTAACAGACCCCACCACAAAGCAACGCATGAAATTTACGCTGCGTTATTCATTTAATAAGTTCACCACATTTAACCTTTTGACAGAACCTATTCTGACATGACCGTGCGTCAGTCAGTAGGAGATATTCTGGGGCATGGCTTCAGTCAGTCAAATTGAAGTTGAACAAAATTAAATAGAAATTAATCACTGCTGTCAGTTCACATCCAGAGCTGTACAATCCAGCTCTGAAGGTCTATAATGACAGCTCACAACTGGCTTATTTAAAACCCACGCACGTCTTTTGCTTCCTTCTATGAAAGAGAAAAGCAACCCAAGCATTTTTCATATATGAATGTCTATGTTTGAACCCATTCACGCGAATCCTGGTCATGTACAGAACAAAAAACCTGATCTTTGCCCACAAACAAACATGCAACAAGCCAGGAACACATAATAATATAGTTTTGTTTAGATGTATACCAAAATGTCTTGTGAGCACAGCCTGTGAGTTACATCACATTTTATTTATTCTTGTACCTAAAAAGAAAAAATACATTAATAACACTGTGCCATTTCTGTCACACTACAGAATGAGGAGAACCACCCAAGACTTTTATGATGCAATTATAGACTGTAATGATAACATTTTTATATCTCTTATGAATTGTCAGATGATATTATGCACAATATGGCAGTCTGTTATCAGATTATACCTTTAGGTGTAAAGGTACATTTAAGTGTAAAGAATGAACAGTAGGCCTGAGTGGCACAACTATCTAAGCGTTGGCCCTATCATCAGGAGATCGCGAGTTCGATCCCTGGTGATTCTACAGCCATCTGTAGCCGGGAGTCCAAGAGAGCACAATTGGCCTTGCTCTCTCTGGGTGGGTAGGATGGCCCCTCCTTCTCCCCCCATCACTTAACGCGATGCTAGTCAGCGCAGGCGTCTGTTAGCTGACGTAACAGATCTGGTGGTTGGCGCTTTCCTCCGAGCGCGTTCAGCTGTCCAATGACGTTGCGTAAGCGGCAGTTCGAAAAGAAGTGGTGGCGCTTCACATGCCCTCCTAGCGCTGATAGTATCGTGTGATTGGGGGAGTCCTAACTAGCGGGTGGAATTGGCGACGACTAAATTGGGGAGAAATTGGGTTAAAAATCCAAAGAAAAAAAAAGAATGAACAGTAGAGCCAAGAACAGTTTATATAAATGTTCTACAAAAATGTTTGTTTGCTTGAAATTTTCATTATTTTGCCAAAGGAAAAGAACTGACGTGTGTTTATAATTCCATTAGGATCAGACTGTTGGACTGTGGATGAAAAGCGTTACTTCAACAAGGGGATCACGGCCTACAGGAAGGACTTCGTCCTGGTGCAGAAACTGGTATTAAGAATTCATTTTTCTGTTTATAATGGACACACTGTGCCTTCTTTTCATTGAAATGGCTTTGAAATACAAGTGTGTCTTTGTATTTATGCATGTGCAGGTGCGGAGTAAAACAGTGGCACAGTGTGTGGAGTTCTACTACACCTATAAGAAACAGGTGAAGGCCTCTCGCAATGGGATACTCATATATGGCCCCCCAGATCTACTACAGAGCACCTCTGAGGTAGGAAGCTCATAAGGAATACTGAAGATGGCTCAGAATGCATTAATTCACTATTTTAAATTGTTAAAATTGGCGAAAACTGCCCAGATGCACGACTGTGTAATTTGGCCCTACAAAAAAACGAGCTGTTTTTCCTTTTTTGGTGGGCTCATGAATAATTTGATGAGCTCTAATTCGATTTGCTGGTTTACAGTGAGGCACCGCGATGGCTCACAAAGAAGGAACTTGTCAAAGTAAACACAGGCAGAAAAATATCATACTGTTTAGTTAGATATGTGAGTTACTTGGAGCTTGCTAGCAGCTAAGATTATGTATTAAAGTTGTTAAGATGATCTGGCTTCAACCGTCAAAAAGTGAATAAAAATCACACAGTATGGCTGCAAATTACAGGTTGCAGTTGGGGTTATTAAAGCTGTCTGGGATCCTATTAAAGATGTGGGCACTTGTGGTTCGCCTGCTTATTTTGCGAATTTTCCGTTCCTCCTTAAATGATGCCAAGGTTATATTCCGAAGCCTATACAAACTGTAGCATTTAAGGTGGAACGGAACAGTCAACTTAAAAGTTGGCGAATATGAAGCCAACTTCAGCCTCGTTTAAAGGTGAACATCAGCCCTGTCCGTTGACAGTTCGGTTCTTTGGGATGTGTATGAAAAGTGCCGACATCCCTGTCACAACATGGAACAGTACATTTCTGCGCTTAGTCTGCCATTTTCATTGCTGTTGCACCATTTTTATTGTTTTGTTCTTCACAATACCTGCTGGGCTAGAACATGAGCTAGCGTATGTACGTTTTGGGGATATATATATATTAAGTCAAGACTGTTACGTAACAGTTCAGGATTTTTGAATTGGCCTGTTTTACTGCCCTCTCTTGCAAATGTGGGATTCTCATTTGATAGATAGATAATATATGAAATATATAAATATAAAGTATATGTAACTATAACTCTATGAACAATATATATACACAATTACAAATATATCTATGAATATATATATATATATATATATATATATATATATATATATACACACACACATTATACTATAAATACAGTATATTTGGTATGTTACGTACTGTTAGAGTAAGGTGCCACAAATTGTTTTTCAAGTGATTCCGTAAAAAAAGCATTTTAGGTTCCCTAAAGAACCAAAGACTTTGAAAAGGTTCTTCACACTTATTCATCTCAGTTAGAAATATATTTCTCTGAAGAACCAAGATTTTTTAAGGAACAAGAAGTGGTTCTTCTGTGGCACAAATTCTGGAAATTTCAGGTTTAGAAAATACAGGTCCCACAGATAGCCCAGACTGAAGAGTCATAGCCTGTAAATGTTAATGTTAGGCCACAGGACATGCTTAATGACAATACCAGTGCACCGCATGGCTGTCAGCAAGCTTTGTTATTCCTACGGCATAAGGAAAATTGAAACTGGCTTACTATTACTGAGAGGGCTCAGCCAACTACAGAAGGCCATTCACTCCACAGTAATTACTGCCAGACTGTAAACTACAGGCTGCAGATTCCTACTGAATTAAAATCATGGATCATGTCAGTAATCACTTAAATTACATTTCCTCCCCTGATAAAATGAAACCATCTTAAATAGGGCTCTGATCATTGGTGTCCTTGGTGGTTAACTGGTTTTGGTTGGTTAGCTGAGCATGAAACAGATTTCTCTCTTTTGCTCGTCCATTAAGATAACTCCGAAACAAGAACACTTTGATGAACCAGAGGAGAAGAAGCAGAAGGTGCAAACAGAAGAAACTGAAAGCGCTGGAGGTGATAACCTCAAAACCCTGCCCCAGACATTTCAGTTCAAAGAGGATGTAAGTATATGATTTGGTGTTTATGTTAACGTATACTAATTTGAACTGCAGTGAAATACTGTGTTTCTAGTTTTATTTGTAAGATAAAAGTAGCCTGGCTTTATACATTTTTTATGTCTGCCTTACAATGTTATTGGTAGAATAACAGGTACAATACAGTGTGCCATGCAATAAACTGCAGAATATAGTTTGTCAGTATGTCATATCAACTCCATCGGAGGTTGACTTTGACTGATGGTCGTGGAAGATCCCTGTCCTGCACATTTCATTGTTTGCACTGCTCTAACACACCCACTTCAGCTCAGGAAAAGGCTTGTTATTAGCTGATTAGTTGGATCAAGTGTGTTAAAGCACAGAAACACCAAAGTATGCAAGGCAGGGCTGCTCTACAACGAGGACTAGGAACCATTGATGCAAGATATCTTATGGTTGTCTGAAAGTATTTGAAGTATTACTGCTCTTGTCCAGGTGGATAAAGTGCTGGTGCTTAGCATCCCGAAAATCAGCTCTGTGGATCAGTTCACTGCTCTGAAGAAGGAAACTCAGACGCCTCCTTCTGCTCCAAAACCCCGTCCAGAAAGCACAGGGAAAAGGGCTCAGCCATCAGCCGCCTCCAAAAGTCAGGGAGAACCGGAGGGTATATTCCCCTGCAAGAAGTGCAGTAGGTGAGGTAGCATATGTCTTTGTTGCCTGTATAAAAATAATGTATATCCTGGTTCCCACTGATGCTTAAAAGTCTTAGAAAGTCTTAAAATACATGTGGAAAAGTAAGGTCAAAAAATGTCTGAAAATGTCTTATTTTTTACTATTGGTGGTATTAAGTTTGGGGATGTTGAGGCATTTTTAATAGATCAGGTGTTGTTTAAAATAAGTTGATCCAATTTGAATCCTTTGTTTATTATTCGTGCCATAAATTGACAATATCCACAACTTGCAGCAGTGAGGAGCGTTTTCAGATATTAACAAAGCAGTCTAAATGTCCACAGCTGTAAATGAGCAGTGTCTGTGTTTCTACTCTGTTTTAGCCGTCTTTTGTCTGAACACAGGCACGTAGAATGTGGGCAGTTGGATATTCTAGTCTGTTTTTAGCTGTTTGTCCCAAGTGACATGCTGCCAAAGCCATATTCAGTATGATTTTATATTGTGTGCGCAGCAGATGCTCCTTTCTCTCGGTTATGAACGTGCTGTTTCTGCTAACACCAGTTTAAGTCCAGAAGAAGTTCGGCGTGGCCAGTAAAGCAGATCGTTTCTGTGACAGTCTCGTTTTTAACCGGTCACAACTCGCAAGACAAGAACATGGCAGGAGTGTATTCTGTACTCATGAAACTAGAAAATGGTTGTTTAAAATATAATAGTCCACAAAAATTATAGATGTATATTCAGAGTGTACTGCCATGTACATATCAAAGATTTTACTTCATATTAAAGTAAATTGTAGCCACATGATCAGGGACGTCAACATTGAACCATAAGCCAAATATATCAAAATATATCAGTCCAGAATGTCACATTATACAGACACAGAAAGGTTAAGTATTTTTACTGTAGTTTTAATTGTCAGTGTAGCATATTTTATTTAAATTGTGCAGCTGTATGAAAATACAAAGATTGTAATAAACCCAGTATCAGCTACTATTCCATTTTAAAGGCCTCAAATCTTTTCGTATGGTGAAGGCAGGGTGTCGAATCAGGACATCCTCAATTAAATTATAAGCCAATCCCTAAAGAACCAGTCATTTTATATATTAAATTAATTCGGGACAGTCAGCTAAAACTGTCCAGCTGACAGCAGTCCCGTGGTCAGAAACTGATCACTGATGAAGGGCTAGAGGACGCCAAAAATGATAACAAAGTCAAACACACTGAGAAGAATGTGCATGGATCGTCATCTCAAAGCACACGTCCATGCTTTTACCAGTGGATTTGAACAATATAGACATTAAAACGTCTCATATTTACATTTACATGCAGACTCTTTTTATTTGCATTTCACATACTGTCTAAACTTTTGTGAAATTGAGGTTTGTGTATTAAATAACAAATACAAAAGTGTCTGAATACTTGTTTTCCCTCTGTGTAGCCTTTGTTTAGTTTACCTTGCTTTCAAATACAAACCTCTGAATAGATTTTAAAGCTCTTCAGTGTAAACAGTAAAGAGCATTTGGTACTTTGACCTGTGACCCACAGGGTGTTCTACAAAGTGAAGAGCCGCAGTGCCCACATGAAGAGCCACGCAGAGCAGGAGAAGAAGGCAGCAGCGGCAGCACAGAGACAAAGAGAGGAAGAGGAGCGGGCAGCGGCAAAGGCCAGGCAGGAGGCTGCGGTAGCAGGGAGGATAAGAGCACGGCCAGACGAAGAGGGGGATCGAGAAGACAGCAGTGAGCCGGAGGATGACCGAGATGAGGACTGGGCCTAAGGGGATTTAATGACACTGAGCTTTTTTTGGGCCATTGATTTGGCCAGATATACTTTTTTTCTGAGTTGAGTGTTTATACTGAAACATATTGACCAAAGCGGTGAGGGAAAATAGATTGTAAAAAAGAATACTTCTTCTATCATGTGAACATGAACTGTCACATCAATGAACATAACCTGTGTTAACATACATTGTGTGCTAGAATCTAGCTTTAGTACTTTTATAAAGGGTTCTTAACTGAGGCACTGTTTATGTGTACTTAGGTGTTAGACCTTATGATTGAATGTAAATTTAACATAAACTACACAACTAAACCAAGGTGCCCTATATTTGTAATTCTCTTCTAATGTGATCAGTGTTTCACAGCACCTTTTGTAATAGTGTAGGTGTTATTTTCTATGAATGTCAGAATTATGTATCTTTACATATAGTTACAGCTCTGTGCAAAAGTCAGAGACCACCCTTCATTTATTTTATTTCCAGTCAGAACGTCCATAAAATACAAGTTATTCGTTGTTCAGAAGCAGATAACAAATTTAACAGAAAAGTACACCCAAGGCTCAACAACTAAACAAAATATCAAGCTGTTTAGTATTTAGTGTGTCCTCTCTTACCTTTATTACAGCTTCCATTCATTTCAGGAGACTTGCTTGTACTTTTTCAAAGAAATCTACACCTCCAAAGTTCAGTCTTAGAAGTTGGTTGCATTTTCTGCTTCTCACTATCTAAATAATCCCAAACACATTCAGTGAAGTTGAGGTCTGGACTTCGGGGTTGTCTGTCCATTGTTCTGGGAACGGCAGCAGCTTTTTGGTTAGCAATTTTTTTGTCTGTCTTTTTCTCAGTAAGAGCTTCTAGACAGCTACACATCCTAGTGTTGTCTTCTCACAGTAGAAAGATGGGCAGAAACACCTGTGGATTTTTTCAAATCTGAAGCAAGAGTTGAGCACGAATTTCTCTTCTCCCTCAAAGATAAAAGCTTTTTTCAAAGATAAAAGTTGTTTATCTGATGGTGATAGTTTTGGTGGTCCCATTTTCTCCATATCTTTTAATAATTTTTGAGGTCTAATTTTGGAAAATTGTTTTTTCACTGATTTTCTTTTGAAGGGTGATCTCTGACTTTTGAATGTTGCTGTATAAGACACTTGTTTAAAATGATAGCCATAAGTGTGTAATCTTGGTTTTTTTCAAGTGACTGTTTCATATGATTCATATGTGTGAAAAGACTGTTAAAGTTAGGAGAAAAGAGATTATGATCAAAGAGATTGTATTTTATAACAGTTCTATTATCACTTCAAGGACACACTATTATTGAGATCATTATTCCACATTTTAATTGGATGTATTTTGTGTATGAAATGTATAAAATGATGGAAAAGTGTAATATTAACTTTTCTGTGTATTTGAAATGCTTTTCATCTTTTTTTATACAGAGTTTTTAATAGTTTTCAATAATGAGGGTGCACATTTTTTTATACAGAAGTGTAAGGTGTAAGGTGGTTGTTTTAATTAAAAACATCCATCTGGAGCTGGGGTATCTGTCTTCATCTTATAGCCATAAATCCATTACAGTTTTGTTTTATGTTTTTTGAATACAGAATAATAAAACTGTGCCTGCAAATACAAGCAGAATTGATAAAGTCTTCCATGTTTATTCATGTTGGGCAATAAATATGATTCAGAGTTCACCACAAGTAAAACATTGGTTTTATATGAATAACATTGACTGAAAAACAGGCCATTTCACTTACTACATGTTATCAGCTACAGAATGCACTGATACAGTCTGCTTAACATTTACTGCTATAAACCAGATGTGACACAGGTCAAATGAGGGACAGGATTAGTATCATGATCGCCAAAAGACTGACAGACATCTGTATTCTTCCAGCATGTCCACCTGCAGCGTAAAAATAAGAGTGGTCAGTTTCATCCTTATATATGACATACACAAATATGGTACAATAAAAAATAATTATTATTTAAATGTCTAAAACTAATTGTAAATGTTGTCCCTGTCCCTAATATGTTAGTATATGAGATTTAAGGAGAAGTAAAGTGACAAAAATCAATACAGTTAACTAGGCAGGCAGTATAAGAGTCTGTGGACTGCAGATGAAGTATGTTGTCCTATGTCAGCACTTGAGGACTTTGTAGTAAGGCCAGGCTGTCTTTACAGGCTGAAGGTACAAGAGGGCGCCAGTCACCAGCTTAAAGTAAGGGACTGCTGAAGCGAACTTAATGCTCTGTCCAGTTTTTGTGCCCTTTCCTGTTCAGACAGTGATCTAATTTAACTTTTCTAATAATTATCAAGTCACTCAAGTACAGATGGCTGAGCAGCCTAAACCCATGCTCAAGTAAAATTATTGTATGCAATGACTCAACTAGAAGGTGCCATTTGTGTTTTATTGATTGTAAAGTAAAGGTAAAATAAGTTTAACACATGTAAAGTGTCATTCACAACAACCTATTGGCTTATTTCAGATGAATAACTTAAAACATGAACAAAATCTATCTACAGCAATTAGAAAACATTTTAAGTGTCCTAGTCCACTATAACTACACTTCACCTGAAAATATCAGTATTATAATAATCTTATTATATTTGCATTGAAGTATGAATCCATTTAACATCTATTTCATTAGGTTATGAAAATGTTTACAGGGTCCATTGCAGGTTATGAAAAATGTACCTTTTATTTGTGTCCCACAACATTTACTCAAACCTGTTACCTGTACAAATTCACTTCTATGAATTATCTGGAATATTCCACAAGGCACATATTCAACGGAAACTGCATTATCCACATTTCCTGAAGATCATGGGAAGCTAAGCAAGTTCTCTCATTTTGAGGTTGTTACACTGATTGACGTTACTTTGAAAGAACATGTTGCTAACCCTGTTAACCCTGTGTGTCACCCCTGTTACTCGCTATTAGTCATTGTCAGTAAAGAAACCTTGTAAAAAACGAAATGCTGTTTCTGAAATGTGTTAAAACACGTTTAATGGTACATGCATGCTTTCTCATGTTTACTGTTGAAAAAATGTTTAAAAGTTCCATTTCTGAGAGGGCTAAATGGCACCTCAATCATGGAACTGATAGGACCTAACATCCATTAGGCCCTATTCTTCTCTTTTTGGGATTATTTTAGACTAAAACAAAATGCTTTCAAGGGAGCGGTGTGAGCAACAGAAAGACAGTCCAGGAGTTGAACCAACACAACAGAAATTAGATACAGAAAAATAATTAATAACTCACTACATCACTTTTTTCAGACATACGTGAGTATACTCATATACTTCAGTAAAAGTACAATTATGATTTGAAAATACTCAGAGAAGCATAAATCCATATAAATTGTAATTAAGTATATGTAACTGGTGACTGAGTAAATGGAACTAGCTACTCCCCTTCGCTGAATATAAGCATCCTTGTTAGCCTTGCAACTACAGTGCACAACTAAAGAAGCAGACTTTGGACATCAAACATGTCCTGACTCATGAAGTATGTTTGGGGTGAGGGTGATTAATGTGAAAATGAGATTTTGGGCTGAATCATCATATTAAGTTGAGATGTGTAGGGTGCCTGAGGCAGGGGGTGCCAGTAGGCATTTTAAGCCCTCTAAAAATGTAATACGCTGAGGTCCTCAATTGCCTTACCAACCTTTCAGATAGCATGCAGCCGTCGGCCACTTTTGAGTAGGAATATAAGCAACATAATTGTGTGTCAGGATATGAAACATTCTGTATAAACTGCTAGGTCTCATTTTAAAATATGCTTCCAGAACTATAAGGATGGAGGACCACATTTCATCTTCAAAACAGAAAGAAACTTTTTACAACATTTATACTTCAACCACAGTTGCAAACGACAGAGCTCACCTTCTCCCTGGATTGTAGTGGCAGCAGGTGTTGTAAATGCAGTTTGAGGGGTTGCTGTTGTTGCTGATGGAAAAAGGGGACATTTTTGACTCAGTAAGAAAAGAATTATGAGACTGTATAAATGCATAAATTATATTATGAATGCACAATGATACTGGAATCATATAGGTATCAGCAGGTATTTGCATGAAAGTGATTGGAATTGGACAGATGTCTAGATTTGGTCGATACTTCAAACCGATATTTGATGATATTGTACTCTAAAAGAAAAGGATGTTTAGGAGACCCTGGGCTACTGTGCTAAAATCCTAAAAATCTTATTTTATTTATTTTATCGCATGTGCAACCCTACAGAAATACATCTCACTTTTCTTTGTAATGGTAATCCAGGTAAATGAAGTCCCGTTTTCAGCATTTTATAAATGGTCAGCTTTGGGATCAGACTACGGTTCCCATATCAGTGCATTCCTACATAAAGTACAATCACTGTCATATCAAAATCATATATTATCAACCCTAACATTTAGGTTGTGGAACAATGGAGATATATTTGGTTACCCATGAAGGGAGAAAGCATTCATAGCATAACATAATGGATGCTCTTGTCAGTTTGAAGTTTAACTTGTATATTTCAGTGGTCCTGAGAATATTAAAGGGGGATATATAGGTGTATTCCAAAGTTTTTTAACCTAAAACTGGGTTAACACATACTTTGCAGGGGGGCAAATTTAAATATGTTAATTTCCTGCAAATTATGAATGCACAATTTTAACAAAGTTAAAAAAGTAAAGTATAAAATGTGACAACTTTAGCACAGTATATTAAAATACGTTAAATTCAGCAAATATATACTTTGAAATATGTCTTAGAGAAGCATTGCTGTAGTATGATAATGATATAGTTATTGGCTCAGTTTGGTGCCTTACAATCAACAAGTAATTTCCATGTATCTCATTGATAGGTTCAGGTCAAGGACTTACAAGCACCAAAGTTCTCCACAAGCATGCGTTCAGTGTCGCTGAGGGTGCCGTTGTTCGGGGCTGGGTTTACACCCAGCAGCTTGCACATCAGTGGGTAGATGCTGACACTGTCGAAAGGCTCAGCTAAGAAATTTTTCTTGAAATCTGGTCCAAATGCTCTAAATATCATTTTCATGTCCATTTCCTGATTATTGAAGCCATGGTCTCCTTTGTTCACATACAAGATAATCCTCTGCAATACAAAAATAAAATTATAGAAATTAGAAATTAAAATGGCTTAATGGATGTTTGTAGCAGAATTTCCTATGCTTAGAGTCAAAGTTTTCATTTAAAAAAAAAAGACACACAGAAAGGCCACACAGCTTACCGAGTTCAAATTGAAGCCTAAGTCTCCAATAAGAACAATATCTTGGATTCTACTGTTTTTCGCAATGTGAAAGTGTTCAGGAATCTCTTCTTTCTTGTAGACGGTTAAATTTGGGTGGGCATTCTTCAGCGCATCATAGACGTCCTGCTCTTTGCCTTTCCTGGGTCTTATCATGCCAAATCCACCATAGTCCAGTAGGTCAAAGTGAGATAACTGCAGGAAATTCATGTACTCAGAGAGTTTGATTTCCTTAACATCTGGGCTCTTCTTAATGGTGGTCATGCCATGATCTGACGTGATGATGACATTGAGGCTATCAGCTAAATTGTGCTTTTGGATCGATGTTCTTAGATACCCAATTGTGCGGTCAATCTGCTCAATGATCTTCCTTCTCTCGGGCGTCTCTGGTCCCACCATATGGCCCACATTGTCGGGTTCCCCATAGTAAAGAGTGACAAAGTCAAAGTCTTCTTTGGTGTACCATTCCATAACTGTGTCGATTTTCTGGCGCCACTCGGTTTCATTATCATCAGGGTGACCGTATTCCTCTACCAGGGATCTGTCCACAGCCTGCCCACTGTAGTTCACTCCCCCACCAGGATAGAAATAAGATGCAGTCTTAAGACCCTGTATTATATGATACATAAAGAATATTTAGTTTAACAAGCTAACATTTAAGAAAAAAACATTTAGCAAAGACTATTACTTCTGATTGTTGTAGGCCAGTTGTAGGACTGCATGATTAATCATTTTTTATCATCACAGTATGAGTGATAAACACACTGTTAAGGGCTGTGATAACAGAAATGATCAAGTTATGTAATTAGATGGAATTTGGCATTAGGAGCCTAACATCACAGCAGAGATGCCACTGCCTGAAAAGGGACTCAAACCCTGTTACCCACATACAGAGTGTCTTATCCACTTTGCCTTTCAACTACTCACCCACATGTGCAGCCAAACGACTACTCTGTCTTTAATTACTCACCTCTAAAACTACTTTAACACACTTTATACAACAGTTAGTTCCAACGGCACATTCTAATTTGCATTACAGAAACATTATGTTCAGTGAAATTTAACAGTGAACATTTTTTAAATCTATTTGGTTGTAGTTTGTTCTCTGTCTTTCAGAAGTAAGAAAATGCTTGTTTGGTCATTTTCTGGATGTTCATTTAATGGGAAATCGATCCAGCAAATTGTCAATATACCAACTTCACCATGCTATCCATATCGCAAAAGGATGCTACTTGTGTGATGAAAAACGTGAATAATTAAGCAAATTTGAAATAATATTCTTTGCTTTACTTTTTATTTATTTAGTTGAGAGTTACCATGAATAATATCATGGCTGTGATGTGGTTGCAGGCACGAATGTTTGGCTTTGTTAGATCACATTTTTTAGAAATTAAATAAATGCAACAACAGAACACATGAAATAAGGAGCTTTTTAAGTAATTTGTTCATTTTTGTAGTCAACGTAGAAAATCTGTTCAAGGAATGCTGACTGTTGTAACAGTCTGCCAATGCACATAGAGTACTTCTGCTGTTGTGCCTTAAGGAGCTGCATTTGACCAAACAGCATGAAGAATGCATAGAATCTGAAAAACATTCTCATCATTCTTATCTACTGTTGTATAAATGTGAAAATATAGATATTCATTTAATTACAAACATTACATTTAATTGCAACCATACTCATTTTAATGCAACCAATTTATTGTAGTATATGTTAAATTTTAAAATTTAAACGGCAAATTCAGGCTTAACCATAAGGCAAAATAATTCCTCACCTGATTCTGTGCTGTAATCCACAAAGGCAACGCTCCATTATCCCACCACTCGGATCGTTTCAGAGTTGCCTTATGAGTTATTTTCAGAAGAGATGTGGAATTAAACATCAAGTTATGGACAACACCATGATCTTCTATCCATCGCCCTGTATAAAAATAATACTGTTGTAATTTTATAATGAAAAAAATGCTAAAAGATGGTTAGTTGTAAAAAAATGAGTAGCGTGAGCAAAGAGAGATTTCATTATCGCTTTAAGAACTTCTAATCTGCTTAAGCGGTAATGTGGCACCTCAGGACCTTGAACACGGAGATATGAAGATTATCATTTTGCAGGCTAAAACTGGAGTCAGCTATGTATCTGTATAACCTTTGATAGGATTTGCCCATTGCTTGGAATAGAAAGAGTTCTGTCAAAGTGCTGAAGAGACAAGGAACTCTAGGTCTTATCAGAGATCTAACTAACCCTTGTACTAGTTTTAATGTCAACTCTGCATATTTTACCAGCATTATAATTTTGAGAACCTGATGAGTGAGCATATAATAATATTAATTTAATTTATTTATGTGAACTGTGACCTGTCCAGGGTGTGTCCTGCCTGTCGCCCAATGGCTGCTGTGATGGTCTCCAGCACCCCTCCACAACCCAGAAGGAGGAACGGTTTAGAGTTTGTGTGTGTGTATGTGTGTGTGTGTGTGTGTGTGTAAGTGTGTGTATGTGAACTGTAATGGAAAGCAAAGTTGCCTTGTTTTTCACTTATTGATTGTTCAGCTTTCATGATCAGTGGAGAAATATTGGCAGATTCTGGAAGTAGTATGTACGAACATATGAATAACAGTATGGAAGCATCAAGAATAAAACCACCAACCATGCTGGAAACTGTTCACATGCCTAAGTAAGCATATATCTGCAATTTGGACAAAGTTAAAATGATTATCCATCCACCACCACTCACTGATCTCATGAACTGCCATTGGTAGGTTGCTACCTATGTAATATTGTTGCTATACAGTACTGTGCAAAAGTCTGCCATGAAAATTGTTTAAAACTATTTATCTTTTCTATATTGTGTATGTTCTGTGATTCTGCCTTTAAAAACACTATATAACATTACAAAAAAGCAGATAAACCTGATTACACCAAAAAGTAACAAGAATTTATTGTTGTCATAAGAGTTTTTAGTACATTGGTTAGAAAAACACAGGTGACTTCTCCTCTTCCTGACTTCTCCCTGCACTCCAGCCATTGCATGAATACGTTAAGTCCATTGCCATCACCTGATTCAATTCACTGAAGGACTGATTAGATAAACTGGATATTGGATGATAACTAGGGCTGTACTAATATGAGAATCCTGGGCTGATGCCAATATCCATATCTGCAAATGCTGATGAAGAAACATTTATAACATATAGAAACTGAGACTACATTGACCTGGATTAACTTTAGAGACATTAACATTAACATTTGGTTGTATAGGGTTTAAACTGCAGTAAAATAAAAAAATGCAGGTACTTTGGCACAGTAGCCCGGCGTTGCCTAAAGGTTCTTCTCTTCCATAGTATAATAGATATGTCCTCAAATATCAGTTTAAGGTATCAGTCAAATCTACATCGGTCCTATTCCAATCATTTTTAAGCAGTAATCTGCCGATTCTGATGATTCCTGATATCATTGTGCATCCTTAATAGTAAATCGTCACTGTCCAAAGAAAAACATGATTCTCCATTTTTGTTGATTTTTATTTTTCTACATCATTTGAACATGGCAGTTGTTTCTTATCTTGTGTGAAGATTTAATGATGAATGGACCAACAGAAATGTTCCAAAATGAATTGGAATAAAACCCTTTTTACATTCACCTACAGTAAAAGTTCAGAGAGTTTTTGCCCTCTCCTGTAAAGTTAGTATTTTTGAGATATATGTTTTTCTTTGGACAGCAACAAAATACTGGGAAGAGGTTTGGATATTGTAACACATACATATAAATTCACAATTTTTTGTTAATTTATTTGGATTTATTCTAATGCTAGTGTTTTTATTTTTCAAAGAAATAAACACTACTGCTTACTGCTCAGAATAATAGTTGCTTTACATGTCATTTTCTCTAATGGCCTAAGACTTTTGCACAGTTTTAGGTCACATGTTGGAGCTCTGCCTGGGTGCACTCCTATTAGCATCATTACCATTATGACTAAAATGAACATGCGTTACAGTCCTGAGGGTTTCAGCAGAAAAGAAAGGGTCAGAAGTTATTGAGCGTAAAACCGTCTGTTAATGTTGCCTGTTATGTTCAAACAACTCTGAATGCAAATAAGAGCACTTTATACAATCATTTGCTGGCATATAGTTGATTAGAGACAGATGTACTCATACACTCTTAAAAAATAACAGTGATTAAAAGGATTATTTGCAGCAACATCATGGAAGAACCATTTTTAGGCCCCAAAAGGGCCTCATTTTTTTGTTTTAAGGAAAATGATATGTGCATGTATTTCTTCACATGCACTGGATTTATACCAGTTATAGGTGGTTCCTAGAACTGTATATACAAACCAAGAACCATTTAGGAACGTTTTAGCTTTAAGAGTGTAGATCACCCAGTCAAATCTTTGGTTATTGCTGCCAAAAGCAAAACATTATCAATGGCAGTTTCCAACACTGTGTAATAGAGACGATTATTATTCTGCTTGCTATTTAGACAGCATCGCTAGTCACCAAGCTCTTCCTGTTTATCACTCATATTCATTATGTTGGCTGTGAGTGTAACGAATGCACATACGGAGTGTTTTCTTACCTGTAATAGTAGTGAAGTGTGATGGAGATGTCATGGTAATCATGGGCGGCGTGATGTATTTTGCCTTCACACCCTCTTTTACCAACTGGTCCATATTTGGTGTGTCCACATCTTCATCATAGTTCCATCTGAAACCATCAAAAGATATTAGCAGCAGTTTGTTATGTTTCCTCCTCAGTGTGCTGTGGAAAGGCTTGCTTTCCACACAGAGGAAAAAAACAATTAGCAGCAGAAGCTCAGACTTCATGTTGAGAGACTGTCTCACCAAGCACTGTCAAGCACTGCCGATGTGGGTCTCTGCTTTATAGCTGCTGTCAGGTAGATAAGATTGTGCTGAACATTGTAATCTTACAATGCTGAACTTTAATACTTGCCCTTTCTGAGCTGTGTAGAATCTATAGTGCACAAATAACTTCTAATGGCATTAGAATGACACCCTTAAATTATAATCCTGTAGATATCTGCTAATCCAGTGTTTCTTCTGAAATCAAGGGTATTAATACAGAGTTTGTCCCACTTTGCTACAATAACAGCCTCTTGATTTCATTCAGCTCAGGTACTGATGTTGGTTGATCCATCACAGCAGACAACACAGTTCCACTGCTTTACAGCCCAATGCTGGGGGGCTTCATTCACTTGCCATTAGACATCATAATCTTAGGCTTTTGTGCAGCTGCTTTAGAGTCCAATCTACTGGCTCTACTTCTGTGGAGATTATACAAGCTGCATGTGTGCAGTTGAACATGAGTGTGTCAGCAATAGCTGCACTTAAAGTAGCTAATTTCACTAATTAGAATAGTAATCTGCACATGGTACACACTCTCAAATGATAATAATAATACTAATTATTATTATTATTATTATTATTATTACTATAGTTGTCTAGATTATTATTATTATTATATATTTATTATTTTGTCATCTACAGGAACATCTTCCCATGTATTCTTTAATGCTGTCCAGGGTGATTGGATACACTAGTGCTATGGGGATGAGTACCTGTGTCTGATACCATGACCATGTCAGTGTTACTGCTGTGCTGAGAATGGTCCAGCTCCCAAACAGTACCTGGTCAACACCAGTCCTGAGCTCAGAAAATGACCAATGATGCATGGAGTAGAGGGTGGACAACAACAGATTGCGGTCTGTAACTATACACCTAGCAAACCTGTAAGGCTAGTGGACCTCACAGGTAGAAGGCAGGAGTATCTAATAAACAGGCAACTCAGTGTATGTCCATCTGAGTAGTTCTTTTTGACTGCCAGTATATTAGTACATCACACACAATACTGCCGTAGACAACCCTTTGTTTACTTAACTTCTAGTCAAAACGGCCGTTAAATAAAATTGTTTTAGTGTCAGTATTTATTGTGTCTATTATCGCAGCTTCCATTCTTTGCAAGAGACTTACTTTCAGCTTTTCAAAGAAATCTGCAGGGATGTTTTTTCACACCTCCAAAGTTCAGTCTTGTAAGATGATTTGCATTTTCTGCTTTCAATGATCCAAGTAATCTCAAACACATTCAGTGATGTTGAGGTCTGGATTGTTCATTGTTCTGAGAACACCAGCAGCTTCTTTGTTTGCTTTGCAATTTTTTTTTTCTTTTCTCAGTGAGGGCTTCCTAGCACCTACACATCCTTTCAAACTCATTGCATTGTTGTCTTCTCACAGTGGATGGATGGACAGAAACACCTGTGGATTGTTTCAGATCTGAATCAAGAGTGGAGTTTGATTTCTCCTCTTCCTCAAAGATACAAGCTTTAAGTGCTGTTTGTCTGAAGGGGACAGTTTTGGTGGTCTACTAGGTCTTGCACTGTTAGGAGTCCCAATTTTGCTGTACTGAACTGTAGAACTGTAGTTTTGGAAACTTTGCTTTTTCCACTATATTCCTTTGATTTTCCTTTTCTTATGCAAGTGGTATTATCTTGGTATTTAATTTCCTCAGAAATATCTCCTAAAAGAGGAATAACTTGTACTCAATGGCCATAATGGAATAATAATTGAGGGGGAAGTCTGACTTTGCACAGTACAACCACCCGGGATACTACAGCGACCACCTAGCAACACCTTAGCAACCACCTGGGATACCATAGCAACTGCCTAGCTGCACCTTAGCAACCACCTGGCATACCATAGAAATGTACTTTAGCGACCAGCGACAGTCTACAACTGCTTTTAACGTTTCAACATTAATAGGTGGCTTTTTCAAGCCAACTTAAAGTTTGTTCATTAACTTCCCTTTTTACGTATTATTATTATTGTTATTATTATTGTTGTTGTTGTTATTGTTGTTGTTGTGAAAATAATAATGTATTCTATAAATCATAACTGACTGATGCTGTACAGAATCTCCCTTCATGGGTAGCAGCTGTGCTGTGCTCAGTGCAGTGTAACCCAGCGGCTGGTTCTGTCGGTTATATTTAGGTTAGCTATATAACCAAACCCTGAGCTGAGCTGCAGAGCGGAGCTTCTAGAAACATACAGCTGCTTCACAGCCGCCCCAGCTCCAGGCGAATACAGGACCTTTAAAACGGTTTATCTTGAATATTTTCGCCTTGATTCAGTGCGTGGGCTGGAGGCGGAGGTGTGTTGATCTGAGTGCTGTTTTTGTTTTCGGGCCGAGCTTTTCCTCCTCCGATGTTCCTTCACGGTGTTCATAACGACGCCATGCATTTTAAACCGAGCCGCAGCAGACTTTACACCACAAGATGCTGTGGATGTTGTCATGTCAGGACGGGGACGATCATTCTCGGCACTTGGTACATGGTATGTTTTTAAGACAGCTGAGTTCTACGTTGTTTTTTAAACGTTTATCTTTTCCAAATCGCTACCCGGACAGCTAGCTAGCTGGCGTTAGCCACTCTAACGTTAACGTTAGCCGTTTCGTCAGCCCGATGCAGCACATCAGTTCCTCAATTGCTGATAGAATTTACTACTGACATATTATTAAATATTTTATGAGAATATGTTCTTTTCGTTTCCAAATAACACCCTGGTTGCCTTATTTATGAAAAAGTTGTTTAAAACAATACAAGTTCATAGGCAGTTGGTTTAATCTTGTGCTAACGTTTAGTTCACATAAAATACTAGCCAGCTAGGTAAGTTAGCTAGGTTAGCTAGCTAACGCTACGTAAGCCGTATCGGAGCTAAAACTCAAATTTAATGTTATTGTTAATAATGTTTCTGATGGGAAAGTGGCAGTACTCTTGTTACTGCAGTCAGAGATGTCAGAGCTAACTAGTTAAGTCGGTTAATTTTGTGAGTGATTTCTCTAAACTCGTTCGTTGGCTAAGATAAATATGCGATGGTTACCGTTAGCGTCAGCTCAGGCCTAAACTTGTTGGCTTCGAGCTAACATTGAAGGGGAAATCCACCAATCTTTCAAAATTTATGTATAATTCCGTGGTTGAAATATAAATAAAGTCAATTAGATTTAATGATGTGAAATAATTAATATGCATAGGAACTTGCAGACTCAGATATCTTTAGAGTGGTGGTGATGACTCCTATATCTACAATGTAAATATCGCTATTTTATTTGCTATCCAAAACCACCAGTGAACCTACCCGTCTTCTTATGTAACGTCGATGACTGTAAAATAGTGGTCAATCTGAAAAAACACGTTTTCTTCGTAGACGGTTTTGCCTTGAAACACTCTTCGTTTATCTCTCCACCATGGATGGATTAAAATAAACTGATTAATATACGTTTTGCACCAAAACCTCATCACAAAACTACTGTAAAACAATGTTTCAGACACTGAGCAGGGAACCCCTAACCCTTTCATATAATAACTTACTGTGAGGGAGCTTTTAGAGGCGTTAAACGTCTCAGACGTCTGGTTCTTAGCAATTCTGACTGTAAATTTCTGTAAAACATAGCATTTCACACCAAATTACTTTGAATGATTTTGTTGACATGTTAACCATTTAATTAAATTTTGAAAAATTGGTGGAGTTCCCCTTGAAAAGAACCGTTACTAAACTTTGATATTCTTATTTTTAGTAAAATAATTCCTGTGTCTGGTTTTGTCTGATTTAAGGTACCTTCAGGTAGTACTAATAAAGAAAGATAACGCAAGAAATCTGACATTCTTTCAGATCTGTTGTTTTCCACTGTGGATATTGATAACTAATTTATTCATCAAAATTGTTTTGTATTGGAAGCAGTTGAATAAAAAGGGATGCACTATGATATCGGGAAAAACTATCGACATTTCAGATCTATATTTGGTCATGTGTTTCTTGTACTCTGGGTCAGCAGAACTTCTAGGTGATGCTGTATTACTGTGCTGAAATATCTGCATTTAATTCATTTTACTAAATTTGTGTTATGTTTATTTATAATTATTTATAATTAATGTCATCTATTTTTCTGTAATGCTAATCCAGGTGGATTTAGTCCCAATTTTTACATTGTACAAATGTTTACATATGGGCATCTTCATTGGAAAAGTATTAGATATTGGCAAGTGCCCACAGTGTCATATCGGTGCATCCCTATTAGTAAGCTCAGTAATTAAATATACATAACATGTATGATTGGTCACTAATCTACCTCTTACCATCTTTTTTCTCAGGTTGTAAACCTCTTGATGGGCATCTTGCTGACTGTGGCAGTCACCCACCCTGAGAACGTCCCCACTGTTGATCTGCAGTATGAGGTTATTGAGCATTACTTCGCCTCAGACAGAATGTCAGGTAGGTTATAATGGTAAAGGCAGCTATGATTGTGCTCTAGTCATGCTGGTATGGTTGGTAGGGGAACAGACCTCAATACTGTAGTTTGTAACTGAATGTAAATTTAATTGTTGTGTTTTTAACTTTTGCAATGCTTGCGCTGCATGGTATAACCTAAGAATAATGGGGAAACTCACTGTTTTATTTCTCTGTTGTCTCCTTTAGAAAATGCCTGTGTGGGATTTGCCATCTCTCTACTGATGCTCACCATCAGTGCCATGATGGTGTATGGCGCCATTACTGTAAGTGCACATGCAGGCCACAGTTGCTGTCTGGTTTTGTCTTATGTAGTTCTTGATTCTGAATTATGCAGCTTAGGTGTTCTCATTTTTATTTCTTATTCATACATTCTACTATTTAGTTTAGTTCAGGACTAGATCAGTTCACAGCATTCAGTTTGGGTGATGTTTAATATTGCTTATGATTGTTATATTTAGCTCAGGACAAGTAAAAGGACAACAGACATTAAATTAATAAGTAATGGCATAATTTTAATTGCTAAGTAGTGAACAGTGTTTCCATTGTAGTCATTCACTTCTGTCAGTGTTAAACTGTGGTCGCTGTAGCATAAAATTATTCATATGTGGGAACACTGGGTGTCAGTCATTAAAGGTAGTGACCCTAGTCATTGTAGTTACATGCTCACATTCTTGTTAGGCTTTCCCCTTAACTGATATGAATAACGTGCTCTACTTTAGTGGCTTTTAAGGTAGGGCTGTCCACCTTGTCAAAATTAACCAATATCTAAACAACAGTATAGCACAATAGCATATGCAGTGTTAAAAGGACACTCTAAGTTTGGGTTATTTCTAAATATTATAAGACTGCTGTTGCTGTGACACTTCTATAAGATGTGGAAAGGTATCACTTTTCTTGTCCAATAACAATGTGGAAACCTTAAGTATCAGCCGATTCTTCGAATTCTACTAAACCTAATAGTGAGGGTGTTTTTTACACAGTATAGTTAAATGGAAATAGTTACAGGCAAAATGTGTGAATAAGTAAATGGTTGCGATATAATCAGTCATTCAGAGTGGTTTGATGTGAAATTGTGCATTGAACAGAAACCTACCGACTTGGATTTCTTTACAGTGGTGGTGATAAGACCCAGGGATTGCAATGTCTAAAGTGCAAATATAGCCATTTTATTTACTATCCAAAACCACCAGTAAACCTACACAAGTTTTGTGAGTGAGTATTGGATACTATTTTGCAGCATAAGGCCCTCCATGGACCTCTCTGCCATCAGTGTATTTTATAAAATACATTTGAGGCTGAAGCATTCTCGAAACTAATCGGAAAACTATGTCCCGGGCATCAGGCAGTGTATTTGTATTTCATACAATGAACTTTCTGTGAGGGAGTCTTTAGACACTTTAAACTCTTCAGACATATGATTCCTTTCACTACCACTTTAAACAATACTGACTGTTTTTCTAGAACAGAGCATTTGACATTAAACCATTCTGAATGACTTTGTTTATATCTTAACCATTTAATTAGGCAGATTTTTAAATTCTTAAAAATTCTTAAAGAATTGTTGCTGGAATTTAAGGAATTAGAGATACACCCAAATTTGTATTCCTTACACAATATCAGATTTAGTTTTTTTTATTTTATTTTATTTTTTTAATGATTCCTTGTGGAGGGGTTGCTTTAGAGTTTGCACAATTGCTCATTTACATTGCATCAGATACTAAGTGCAAAGCAGGTTCCCTTTTTTTGCTGTAAGAAGTATTCAGTAGGGCAATGGCCACCAAATGTTCTGTGTAAAACAAACACATTTCAAACAGCTAATCAAGGACTTCTGAAGGCAATAATTAGACAGTAATAAGGGGTTAAACAAGGTTGGAACTGAAAGTCTACAGGAAGGTAGCTTTTCAGGAGCACGGTTGGTGACCTATGCATCAGTCCCACAAGAGATCCTGTATTCCTTTGGACAGAAACATGGATGATATTAGAATCTGTAAGGCTTATATGATGTTAGAATTGTGTTTTTTTTTAAGTGTCCTCATGTCATTCATGCCAGCCTACATTTCACAGTCTTGCGTGAGCTCAACGGTCAGAACAGGTTTGATGTTTTTTTTTTGTTTGTTTGTCTGTTTTTGTTTTTGTTGGTTTTTTTTTCTAACCTGATAGACAGTAGTGCCCATAGTTTCCAATGTAAAAGCACATCACATTCAGAGCTGCCTGTGTTAAGCTAGAATTGTCAAGCTCACTACTTATGACCTAGTGTATGTAGTTCTTTAGCAATATGACAAAAATAATTTGCCTTTGAACTTCCTTTTACTCCCTATATATTAATGTATTGAGTAGACGCCTCCTGTCCCATAGATTTTCCACACTAGATCTGCTATTTTTATATCTCTTTGAAGGATAAAATGGTAAAATGGTAAAATGGTTTTCCAATGTAAATTATTAGTGAATGATTGCGCTTAGTTTAATCTCTCAGAGATGCTAAAGAAACGTCTTAGAAAATGTGGATGTAAGCCTGTCACAATTGTTACAGAATCATCTAATCGCAATAATTTGAGCTGACTGTGATTATTTTCCTTATTTAATAGGTTTTGGTCACTTGTTTACATCACAATAAACAGAATGTAAATTGGGTGCGGGTTCATCTGTTGGGTTTGAGGCAAATACATGTAAATAAAAGAAAGCAGAATGCATTTATTGAAACATATTATGGATTTATAAAACAACGGAAGTTCTAACTTCTGACACCTTCAGACGGCAACACTGAGTAATTTTTTGAGCTCGAGCTATGTCAGTCCTCAGTTGAGAACTGCTGAGAATTGAGGAAGCAAGATAGCTAATCAGCCAATTTGACCACTTTAGGCATGTACTTTAATTGTTGCATGCAGTAAACAAAAAAGTTATTAATCACAGTTTTTTATTTGGGAATAAATCGTTAAACAAAATTCATGATCAACATAGGCCTATGTTGATGTAGAATTAGGATGAGGATATCACAGTGGAAGACGGTTTGAACATTATGTTCGCAGTTCTTGGAAAGTATGGTGCAAACATTTAGCAGTAAATGCATTCATACATGTTGTAACTAGGTATTTACGTTGTTTAGGCAACAGAAATACAGCAGACCACTGACAACATAACAAAGAAGCTGTGTGTTTATTTTCCTCTACGGCAGCACCGCGATGGCTGGCTCATCCCGTTCTTCTGCTACCAGTTGTTTGACTTTGCTCTGAGTTGCTTGGTGGCCATCAGCTCCCTCACCTACCTGCCCAGGATCAAGGACTACCTGGATCAGCTGGTCAGTGCTCTTCCTGGATCTTTCTTGTTGTTTATGTCTCTCAGTTTGGCTGTTGTAGATCAGCTTTAGCTGTTTACTTTGAAAGGCCCAGTGAAATTCTGCACACTGACCATTTTGAAAATCTGTGTAATTTGATGGTCCTTTTTTGTTTTTTAGCCGGACTTCCCATACAAAGACAACCTTCTCTCTCTGGATTCTAGCTGCCTCCTGCTGTTTGTGCTCATCTTCTTTGCAGTCCTTATCATCCTCAAGGTACCTCTTTTGTCCCTTGCAATTTAGAATACATATATTAGGCCATGTTCAGATTATATATTCTTTCCTCAACTGCAGCACTTCAGTCAGTGCTTTTTCAATGTAAACACGTTAAAACAGCTTTAATGGTTATGAAATTTACAAAACGTTAAAAAATTACAATTTATTCATCTGTTTTGTTTCACTCAGAAGCCTCAATAAAAAGTCAAACATTAAAAAAAAGCAAAACAAAAACACTGTTTCCTGTTTTGACCCTGTGTTATGAGTTTCGATTTCGGCCAAGAATTTTCGTTTCATTTCAGTGCATCACTACTTTTCTGTTAACTGGCTACGGCACCAGACATCTGTGTTCTGTATCTGGTTACTTTCAATATCAGTATTCTTTCATATCAAAATGACCTTTTTTAATTTTTTGAATACAGGCTTACTTGATCAACTGTGTGTGGAACTGCTACAAGTACATCAACAATAGAAACATGCCAGAGATTGCTGTTTACCCTGCTTTTGAGGCCCCACCTCAGGTAAACAATTGCAACAACTGCACCAGCTGCTCTCAGTAGGCTGTTAAGAGAAGAGTTGCTTTGCTGTTGGTCACAGTGCATATATTTAAGCATGATAGCAGTCACAAATTTGGACTTGTGCAAATCAGTATGCAAATTTGTGAGTAGCCCTTCATGTTTGACCTCACTCTTAAGCTGATTTCACACCAGATCTGATGCATCGCGTGTTAATCGCAATGTGTTAATCGAAGTAGGCTTTAAGTCCTGTTGAAGCTGGAATAGTTTTACTTGGGAGGTGCTGTAATTTGAGTGATTGCTCACGAGATCCATGATTTTAAACCAGTACAACTTTGCAGTGTCTGTAGTTTTTACAAGCCAGCAAAGTAATAATTCTAGAGTGAATTACCTTCTATAATTTGCTGAATAAGGATCTTCATCAGTAGTAGTAGTCCTGTTCAAATCAACATCACAGTAATGTAATAACAAAACTGGGTAATAGAAAACCGTGCCTCCATTCTTTCTTCTTTTTTTTTGGACTTAAAGACAAGGCTAACAATGGAGCTTGATATGGTGCAATTCATTAACTCTCAAGTTCATGACAAGAGTCCTGAAATTCACATTTGATGTAAAGTGTCTAATGTAAAGGCAAGTCAAGCAAGACTAGGCTCTGAGAATGGGGAGACCTATAAACCCAAAACTAAAAGTCACAGTATGTTTTCAGAAATATATTTAAAGTCACTGGTATAATCTGATGAAAATACTTTCCCACTTGTGCCTTTACCAACAAGGCGATTGGTCTTTTCAATACAGCAGCCATGTTGTGCGTTAAAAGCTGTCCAATTAATTTTTCAACCAGTCTCTTTTTCCATATTCAGAATAACTCCTTATGTAGATCAGTACACACAAACATATTTAAACGACGCTTTAAACAGCGTGAGCATCAACATAAGCTGGTTTTATATAGCTTGTTTTAGGTAACTAGCCACAGTGTCTGGTGAGTAAAACAAATCTCCTATTCAGATGTTAATATTAAGCCTCAGAAAAATGAAAGAAAAAAAATCTAAGAATAAATTGTAAATAAGTGACGGGCCATATGAAGCTGTGTTGTGGGCCAGATCAGAATCAGAAGTTTTTAAATATTTAATTTTAAACCTAACCTTCCTTTTATTTTTAGATTGTTTTGTCTTTTTGGCCTTCAGCCCACTACAGATATTACTGTTGAAGCTTAAAGTGCACTGGCCGTGTTTGACCAGCAGAGGGCGCTCACTGTGTAAATTAGTTTTAGTGTGCCTTCCCATTGTAAGGCTGAAAAATATGCTTCCATTTCATTTTGGGCTGTTGTTCCGCTAAATCTGTGCATATGAATTAGCACTGTCATAATAGTAGGCTTGACCTTTTATGGTTATGACTTTATGAAGGGATTGTATTAAATACATCTTACCTGCTTTTTTTGTCTCATACAGTACATCCTCCCGACCTATGAGATGGCCATGACAATGCCAGCAAAGGAGCCTCCACCTCCATACATGCCTGCCTGAAGTTCATTTCTTTTTCCTAATTAAAGTCACTGCAGTTACTCTACTTGGCCTTCTGATCCCACCTTCCACTCTGTAGAATGGAGGGTGTGAAGATTTCCCCACCACAAGTATCACTTTAAACCTCTGTATATTGCATAGACTTAACCATAATTGTCATTAGCATGACTTAATGCCTCTCATAATGTATTGTGACAGTTCATCACTTACAGATCTATTTTTGTAAAGTAATAGAAAACAAATGAAATAAGACTTTGCAGTGGGTTTTTGGGGAAATGGTTGTTCCAGTATGGGGGAATTTGATTTGTGGTGATTTTTGCCTCATTGCGAGCTGGGTCGCATAGCAAATTGTGCTTTAGAAAGCATTGTATAGTTTATTCCTTGTGAATCATTCTAATGACGAGTTTCTACCAACACGGGGCTGAAAATCTGCCAGCAAGTAATGCACATTAAGCAGTGAAAGCTTTCACATTTCTCACTTTTCCGCTTTTATTTTTCCATGCTTTTTTGGTGACTAAGTTGAAGAGATAATTGTGAAATTAACTTTGTTTTACTAATTTCCTGTCCTCTAACATTTAGAAGCACTACTTTCTCGCTCGGCTAATGTAAAGGAACCTGTTTCAGTTTAAACACCAGTCCTTGACAATCCAATGTGAAACTAAAAGAAAACCTTTTCCATCTGTGTATTTTGTGCGAAAGTAAGATTTTATCAAAGCATAGGCGAAAGAGGTCGTAGCACTTTATCTTGTTTTATATATTTAGTGTTGTGTCAGTCTACTCACCCATCCATTCATTGGGCCGTGTACCAGCATCTTTAGCAGCGTTCATCGTGCTCTGTTATTGTGATAGATAGTGGTCATGCTTTTCAACACATTGCCGACAAGAGAGGAGGCTCTTCTCTCACAAGAGATGATGCTTTGAAATAAACTGCTAGTGTTGTGAACATCAGTGGATGCATGCAACTCCCTCTCTCTTTCTTGATCTCTTTTTCTTGTACACATTCTGGTGAGCTGATGACTTAAGTAATAAACATTTTAAAACATTTGTATCCTTTTTCATTTCCCTACATTATACATTCAGAGCTACAGGCACCATTGATAGAGGGGAGCGAACTATGTAGCTGCAGCTTGTATACTGACATCGTAGAGAGATGATGTTCAATTAAAACATGACAGTTTTCAAGGTGATCTAAGATGCTGAGTGTAATTATAAGAGGTAGACGTTAGAAAAACTATGTAAGATTAATGCCAGTGCAACCACATAAAACGGAAAATGTGCCCCTGCTTGTGTTAGTTACAGGTGAATTATGTAAGATATTTTTTTCATTAAAATCAGGAGGAAAAAAACACGCTAAAATATGGAGTGCGAGCGCTGTTGCGAGTTGCCCTGTAAAGAAGTGGACAGTGCGATCATACACAGGCCTTAACCATGGCTCGGATTTGGTTTAGCAGGTGTACTGCAAAGGATCAGAGAAATGGGTCATTCTGAATCTTAAAAAATCTGAATCTTACAATTTTAACATGGTTGATGGTTCCTCTTGGAACTGAGATGGTTCTTTGTCTTCCATCAAAACACTTCAGTATTTATGTCTTGAGTGCAGTTTTACACTTTGTAGAAAAAAGAAGCAGGACGTTGAACTGTCACTCAAGTGTTTACACCAAAAACTCTTCTAAGTTTAGATGCCCTCTAAGCTCACTGGAAATCATGTGAGGCTGTGTTTGTTCTGGTTTCGATAGGTTTTATGCTACTGTCCAAAAGTTTGAAATCATTTTGGCATATTGATTATTTTGTTATTTCATATACTGTAATGTAAAGATATAAAGATAGTGTGGTTTTAAATATCACAAACATTTCACCAGAAGGTAGTTGTAGATGTTTTTAGTATTCTAAAAATTTTGTGAACAAGAAGTGAACAAAATCACAAATAATATACTATAATTATCTATTTACATTAATTTTTGTCGACCTATCTGCTTATCTCTGCTTTTCTTACAACTTCTAAGTCTCCTAATGATTTGAAAGCTGTGAATCTACACAACTGGAGATATAGGCTTGTTTTATCAAATTATATTATTGAAAACATTAATTCTAAGCTTTTGAATGCTGTGATATGTATGCATCTGTGTAAACAGTTAACATCTGCAGGACAAAATATACAGTCAAGTTATACATACTGGTTGCTGTTATATACAGATTCATTCTAATTATACATTGAATGGGGTTTAACTAAAATATTGCCCTAAAAGCAGTGGAAAGTTTGGACTGTGGAGAAAAAAACAATGACCAGTCCTCCTAGCATTATGCCACAGTTTTTGACACTTTTCCGACTGAAATCCATTTCTTTTATTGCACGTACTTTGGTTATTGTAGCTCTGGTTGTGAAGGATGAGTAAAAGACAGATCAGTGTAAACAAGCTGCTTAACATGCCATATTTTATGCTGGGCATTCCTAACCTTTTCAACCCTTATGGCCATCCAGAGAATTTCTCACCTCCGTGTTTACCTGAGCACAGGATGTGAAAATCTTTACCAGGAACATATTTTCTTTCCGTGCAGTAGACATGTATCCAACTGCTGGAGCATGTGTGCTCTCTGCAGTGTGACTGAATTTGATTTCATGAATTTGAATTCTGAATTCTTCTAAAATAAAGAATATTAATATGAAGTTTGTCCTTCTTTGCTGCAGTAACAGTCTCTACTTTTCTGAGAGGACTTTACACTAGTGGAATGCTGCAGTGAGGATTTGATTATATTCAGCCAAAAGAGCATTAGTGAGGTCAGGTACTGTTTTTGGATGATTAGTTCTGGATCACAAACTCCACTCCAACTCATCCTAAAAGGTATTAGAGCTACTTCACTCCAGAGAACACAGTTCCACTGCTCCACAGTCCAATGCTGGACGGCTTTATACCCCTATAGCCAACGCTTGGCATTGTTCTTAGAGCTAGGATAATGTTCTCTAAAAACATCATAGTATAACATAATCACTGGCCCTGACAGCATCCTCAGAACATCCTCTGACTGTTACAGTTAAAATGTTATGTCTTAGTGAACTTTGGAGATGTGGAAAATATTCCTGTAGACTTCTTTGAAAAACTGAAAGTGAGTCTCTTGAAAAGAATGGAAGGTGTAATAAAGGCAAAGAGTGGATACACTAAATACTGAAAACTCTAACTTGATGGTTGTTTTTTACTGGAAATTAAGTAAATGAAGGGTGGTGTCTGACTTTTGCACAGTTCTTTTTACTTTACTGTATTTTTTTTCTTGTTTTTAGCCTATTACTTTACTCATTTTAGATCAAAAGTGACATCAAACTATGAAAAACAAATGGACTTCAAAATCGAAATGATCTAATTAGGTTGTTGAAAGTTGACAGATTTCCTTCGTTTTCTTTTTTTTTTTTTGCCAAGCAGCTTTATGAGGAGCTGCCTGGGATGATTTTTTGTCAGGACTGAAGAAGATTTTCAAGTTTTGAAAAGTACTTTTTGTAGGCATTTCAAAAAACTGAATCATTTAAATTAATTGATTTTTGAAAATAAATTCATACATAGGCATGGCCTGCACTTTTTAATTTTTTTAAGGTAACAATTTTCACGGATTTAAGCATCAGCCTGTGGATCAGATTACAAACTTTTGACTGGTAGTGCAGATACAGGCAGGTCACTGAAAGGACAGCAGCTGTCTACAGTGTCCTGAAAGCTCTGTAGAAGCCAGCATACCTCTGTCTATCATTGTCAGTGAGTTTAGGGCTGACAGTCCAGCAGACTGGCTTTGGCACTGAGTTGAAGGATGGCGAGAAGGCCTAAAGATTACTGCTCTTCCATAAGACCTCAATGTTGGTGTTTGCTGTGAGAATTAACAAGGAGATTTGAAGTCTGAAGGCGGGCATCCGTCTGCCCTGCGTTTCCTGGCAACCAAACTAATTTTTTACAGTTTTTGCTTTGACAAACAGTGAAGACTTCAAACAGTACGTCTGTTGTTTCATGAAAAGTGCAGTGTCTACAGCTGTGGTTGGTTTTGGGATGATGTTACTTGGGCTTTCATCAAGTGGGCATTGTTTAAGTTTGTGTGTGTTTGATTGAAGCATCTGGAAACTGGATGAATGATTTAAACCAGTGCTTTGTCACTCCAATGAAAAACCAGGCTGGCCGACTCAAGGTCTGTGCCATTCTTCTGAAGAGGCCTGGAACTGTTGACTCAAGCACATCTCACACAAGTATCAGACAGACACATATTTCTGAGGTTTTTCTGACCATTTCATACTCATACCAAGCGTTCAGTGGTTGTCTAGTCTGTGACAGCAGACATTAAAGAAAGTTTACATCCATGTAGATTTTTCTACATTTCGGCATAATTAAATCATCTAGATGTACACAAGGTCATTCAGCGTGGTTTGGTGTGAAATGCTCCGTTCTAGATAAGCTTACTAAGTTAGAATTGTTCACAGTGGCGGTGATAGGAACATCTGAAGGGTCTAATGCCTCTAAAAGCTCCCTCAACATATAAAGTATATGAGTCATGCTGTGGTTATTTTTATTGGCTCTTCTTTTAGTGTTTAACAGGCATAATGGATAGTATACAATACATACTCAAGAGGTACTACAAATTTAAGAAAACCAAGTTAACTTATAATAGTATAAAGTTATATTTAAAGATATGTATATAAGAACTGTAAAACATGCAACATAATAAACATATTTGAAAGTCTGACTATGAGTGAATTACACATTTAAAAGATAAATAACTATAATAAAATGGTACAATGTGAAAAACATTTAGGCTGCTCTTGATGATTTTTCTCTTTATGACTGAAGCTAAAGTACGAACAGTGGCCACAATCTGTTCTGTGTCCATCATGACAGCTTAATGTTTCAGTATTACTTTTTCATATCAGACTTTTTCCAGAATAAGAGGCATAGTTAGTTCTCATCAGGGTTACAGATTACACTATAGTTTACACTCAAAAAATGAACCATTGGTTGTTTGACCTATAAACTGAAAATATGCTGATAGTGAATAAAGGAATTATATTGTCTTTAAGTAACTGGTTTACATAAAAGGGATAAAAATGAAGTAAAAACCATTTCAAGGAATGAAAATCGATTGTTTTGATCCAAAGAGAATTCCATTCCAATGAAACACAAAGAAATTGCACATAAATGTTTAAATTTTGTTCCATTAACAACTGAACCTTGTGTTGAGGTAAGGAAGTCTGTGTAGACTGACTCTAATCTATTTGACTTGATGTAAATTTGTGACAACGGTTTATTTTTTTGAGTGTATAACAATTCCACAAAACCTGGAACTGGATTCACAAAAGTGTCAGAAGAAATAGTTGTAAATGTAAAAAACTGAAAAAAAAAAAATATTTCAAAAATTCTGAGAGTCTGTGAAAATGAACTTATTATGATGTAAAATAGATGCTCAAATACTAATTCAGGAAAAGATCACTGTTTAGTCTGGTTCACCCAAGAAACGGCGCGCTTAGCTAACTAGAGATGCAGCACTGGTCTCCCTCAGGGCAGCTCTAAAGCAAATTGGTTTACCCAATTGGTCCTTCATAGCTTAGCAACTGTACTTATGCCCAGGATACTTTACAACATGCAACAGCGTATTTTTAAATCTGAAAACTTGCCCAATTTCCCACGTGTTTGGTGGAAGACAAAAGAGGAGATGTGTAAGATCTCAGTTAATGTGTGGAAGAGCGCATTACCAAACCAGAAAAGAACATTTCAAAAGAAAATTTAAACCAATTACTTTGCTGCCATTGAAGCTAACATCACCCATGCTGGAGTAGCCAGCCAACATGGGACCCCCCAAATACCAGCGTTTATTTCGCATACTGTTCTTATGCTTTATATCACGTTTATGGCAGATAACATCACGGCTGTGATTCGTGAGAAAAATAAAAAAAAATTAAAAAGTTAAAGTAGTACTCTTTTGTTATAGTTAGAGCCATAAATTGTCGCAATATCATGTTAAGCTCAGTTTTTCAATAGTTGCCAGAGTTATCCAGTCAGACTGTGAAGCATTTCACAGCTCATACTGTTTGCTGAATTTTATTGTTCATTTCTGGTTAATTCCAGTTTGTTTCGTTGTTCTGCAGTCACAACTGCTGACTGAAAAGCTTGCTTTCGGGCAGCGACTTATTTGTTGTTCAGAATCAGACCAAACGGACTGCAAGTCAAATACTATCTTATGAAAGTTTTCTGATTTCCATTTTGCTACAATACAAGGTAAGTTAGCTAACGGTCAACTGCAGTGTAAAGTGAGCTGTTACTTAGCAACCGGTGTTCAGCGGAGTGATACAGTCCTGGTGAAAACACCGCAGCACACTTCTGATCCAGGCTGCGTAGTCAGAGCTAACTGTTGTATGTTCTTATATATTTTCTCAACTTTACTATAGTACCTCCTTGTCTTAGCCTGTAAGAGACTGTAAGAGCTGACAAGGTAAGCTTCGTAAACCATAACTTCTAAAGAGTTTCACAGCAGTTCAAACAGAGCAAGTTCACCTCACAGTTAACCTACCATATCTTCAAAAGGGGATTTTTTCTTTCGCCTATTTCCTCCGCCATCACTTCTAGTTCTTGTTTGCTAAACGGTTTTGAACGTTTCCTTGCTTCTTTCTGGCTCTGACTGGTTGGATTAAACTGCCTTTAAGCTTGGAAGTAAAAAAAAACAAACGTATTTGTGTTTACATTTGACGTGCATCTTGACCTGTTTATAGTAAGCAGTAAAACATGATGATATATAAGAAAATAATTATATAGAGAACATGAGATTTTCTTAAGATCATTCTTATTCATTTATTAATGTTTGTCTTAAGACCCATTGTAATTTTATTCTTAGAAAGCTTTTGTGAATCCAGCCACTGATTTTTAAGACTTGATCATGAGCTTGCTCCTTGTGTCCCAGATGCACTGAAGCTCTTGTGGTCTGCTGGAGGTCAGGATGGTCCATCGTGCAGCTTTGGTAAAATGGAAAAGCAGTGGAGAGGTTTCCTCCGCTTCCGTGGTCCACACAGCAGGTAGCTGAAGCTATACAACGCCAGGCTAACCTTCAAGAATATAAAAGAGGTTAAGCAGTTTGGTTCATGCATTTGGCTTCTGAAGACTATGTTGAAGAGAATAAGCACTTACCAAAGCATGGCCTATTACATCCGAGCCAGCATTCTTTCCATTTGCTCAACTTTCCTGGTGACGTCAGCTAGTATGACGGCTGTTAAGGTTCTTGAATTCTTGATCTTTCAGGTCCTTCAGGTACTATTTGATTTGAGGATGAACTTCACTCTCAGATATGCTCAGGCAGAAAGTTAAAGTGTGCATTGGCATCTTCAGTCCATAGACAAAATTGCTAACTATTTGGTTACTTGTCAATGGTAATATTTGATTTTAAACAAGATGTCATTTAGACCACAGTAAGTTTTTCTCAATGTTAAAGGGTAATTCCACCAGTTTTTCAGAATTTCTGTCTGTTTTGTCTTATAATACCCTGCATGAACCTCTCTGCCATTAATGGATAAAAAATATGTTTAACACCAAAATCCTTTCTCAAACGTATCATAGAACAATGTCTTTTAGAGACATTAAATGCTTCAGACATCTGGTTCCTATGACTACCACTGTGAACAAATCTGACTCTGGTAAGTTTCTCTAGAACAGATCATTTTACATCCAGCCACTTTGAATGACTTTGTTTACAGCTTAACCACTTAATTATACAGAAAGCTTGAAAAATCAGTGGAATTCTCTATGAAAGACTCATATTTAGCTTTACCCGTAAGCATGAATGAACTGAAAGGATATGTTTGGAATTGAGGTTCTGGATGGAGGTTTGTGTTTGCCTCTGGAAGGCCAGTCTGGCTTCACAAAGACATGGATCCTGCACTATTTCCACCTTCATCTCTTCACATCAAAGCAAAGACCATTAGACATAAGCACCATGTAAATTCATCATGCCAGGGGTGTTCAAACTTTTGCATACGACTGGACTTTGTTTACTTCGCTTTGAACTCAAATGTATGCACAGTGGATCATAGTGCTTTTTTCTTCCACAGTTTCAAAGCTTTAATAATATTTACAGAATAATTCAGACTTTACTGTCTTCATTGATAAAACTCTTACAGACCAGCTGTTTTGTGAATTCCAGATGTAACACCTAGCAATAGCTAATGCAATGTTGTGGGTGGGTTTTAACAACATTGCTGAGTGTTACATACTGTTTTGGAGGCGAAGGCACAATGTTGAATCAATAAAGAATTGATTCGGATTAAAAGACAATTAAAGACAGATGAGGTTTTGCCCAGTATTCAGTGTATGCTTTTCTGACACTGAAACAGATGATACTTTTTCAAGTTTTTGAAAACATCCTCCGTTACAGAGCTTTAAACAATGTAGTTTTCCTTTACTGTTGTAATTACTAGTAGTCCAAATACATGCTAACTGCTTTCCAGCTTTCTATACAGCTTCTAAAGCAGGGGTGCCCGACCTTGGTCCTGGTGATGTACCATAACACCTGGCTTAAGCATTCTGATGCTCCTGAAGGACTGAATTAATTGGTTCAGTTGTGTTAGATTAGACTTCTCAGGGGAGTAGATCACAGGAGCAGGCTTGGACACCCCTGTTATAGAGAAACTGACCTTTAGATTTGACCCTACTGTCTACAGCAGGACTATTCAGTTTTGGTTCTTGAGGGCTACAATGTCTACAAATAATTTCTCCAACCACCATATCTGTACAGTGCACCATAGTTAATCATTAGTTTTAATTTCACCAATCATGAATTCTGCAACAATGTCTAAATGGGCTAGACTGGGGAATTAAGTCTAGTTAAGCACACCACAACCTGGGAGCTAGAAATTAAAACTACGCATCAATCAATGCGAAATATAAGGATCCAATATAGGCTGCCTGATTGGAGTGAACATTGGAGTGCCCTCAGCTGAATAGCCTGGTCCACAAGGTCTTACGTGAACATGTTTTCTTGTCTTCGTTCAAGACAAAGCCCATCCAGCATTCGCAGTGGTAGGAGCCATCACTGCTGACACAAATGTGCTCACAGTCATGTCCCATTCCACAATGGTCCAAACCTGCAATAAGCCGTGAGTAAGACACTGGAACAATCTAGACATCACACCCATAATTAACTGAGTTCTGTATCACAACATCTCTATGGGGCTTCTGTCAGTGGTTCCCCCCGGTCCTGGAATACCCCTGCACATTTTAGCACTGGGATTGCCAGTGTTTAGCTTGTTGATTAGTAAATGAGTTAAATCAGGTTTGCTGGATGAGGGAAAGCATAAAAATGTCCATGGGATTGGGAGCCCCTGCATTAGTGTTTTACTTATCTCCAACACACCTTATCCAACTAATCAGCTAATTAACATGAAAGCTAGAGTAGAGAAAACACTTAAGTGTGTAGAGCAAGACGACTCCAGGACCACGTCTGAGGAACTGAGGCTAAGCTACTGGACCAAGATATCTAGGAGAACTGCCAACTCTGTCTTTGTGACACCTCAACTAAAATCTACAAAAAACCTGCCAACTTGGGGAAATGATCTTCAGATTTGATATAACAGTCTATAACAGGACTATTCAAACAGTTCTTGAGGGCTGCAATGTCTACCAGTAGTTTCTCCAACCACCATATCAGTAAAATATGCCATATTGATTCCATAATCTTGATTTCACCAATCATGAATTCTGCATCAGTGTCAGGATGTGCTAGTTAGACTGGGGAATTAAGTCTAGTTTAGTTGCCCCTCCCACAACCTGGCAGCTAGGAGACTGTAAGTCAATGAATTAGAATTTCAAGGATCCACCTTATTCCTAAACTCTGATGTAGTGCCTGATTGGAGTGAACATTGGAGTGCCCTCAGCTGAATAGCCTGGTCCACAAGGTCTTACGTGAACATGTTTTCTTGTCTTCGTTCAAGACAAAGCCCATCCGGCATTCGCAGTGATAGGAGCCATCACTGCTGACACAAATGTGCTCACAGTCATGTCCCATTCCACAATGGTCCAAACCTGCAATAAGCTGTGAGTGAGACACTGGAACGATCTAGACATCACACCCATAATTAACTGAGTTCTATATCACAACATCTCTATGGGGCGTCTGTCAGTGGTTTTCCCCGGTCCTGGAATACCCCTGCACATTTTAGCACTGGGATTGCCAGTGTTTAGCTTGTTGATTAGTAAATGAGTTAAATCAGGTTTGCTGGATGAGGGAAAGCATAAAAATGTCCATGGGATTGGGAGCCCCTGCATTAGTGTTTTACTTATCTCCAACACACCTTATCCAACTAATCAGCTAATTAACATGAAAGCTAGAGCAGAGAAAACACTTAAGTGTGTAGAGCGAGACTACTCCAGGACCACGTCTGAGGAACTGAGGCTAAGCTACTGGACCAAGATATCTAGGAGAACTGCCAACTCTGTCTTTGTGAGACCTCAACAAAAATCTACAAAAAACCTGCCAACCTGGGGAAATGATCTTCAGATTTGATATAACAGTCTATAACAGGACTATTCAAACAGTTCTTGAGGGCTGCAATGTCTACCAGTAGTTTCTCCAACCACCATATCAGTAAAATATGCCATATTGATTCCATAATCTTGATTTCACCAATCATGAATTCTGCATCAGTGTCAGGATGTGCTAGTTAGACTGGGGAGTTAAGTCTAGTTTAGTTGCCCCTCCCACAACCTGGCAGCTAGGAGACTGTAAGTCAATGAATTAGAATTTCAAGGATCCACCTTATTCCTAAACTCTGATGTAGTGCCTGATTGGAGTGAACATTGGAGTACCCTCAGCTGAATAGCCTGGTCCACACAGTCTTACGTGAACATGTTTTCTTGTCTTCGTTCAAGACAAAGCCCATCCGGCATTCGCAGTGGTAGGAGCCATCTCTGCTGACACAAATGTGCTCACAGTCATGTCCCATTCCACAATGGTCCAAACCTGCAATAAGCCGTGAGTGAGACACTGGAACGATCTAGACATCACACCCATAATTAACTGAGTTCTATATCACAACATCTCTATGGGGCGTCTGTCAGTGGTTTTCCCCGGTCCTGGAATACCCCTGCACATTTTAGCACTGGGATTGCCAGTGTTTAGCTTGTTGATTAGTAAATGAGTTAAATCAGGTTTGCTGGATGAGGGAAAGCATAAAAATGTCCATGGGATTGGGAGCCCCTGCATTAGTGTTTTACTTATCTCCAACACACCTTATCCAACTAATCAGCTAATTAACATGAAAGCTAGAGCAGAGAAAACACTTAAGTGTGTAGAGCGAGACTACTCCAGGACCACGTCTGAGGAACTGAGGCTAAGCTACTGGACCAAGATATCTAGGAGAACTGCCAACTCTGTCTTTGTGAGACCTCAACAAAAATCTACAAAAAACCTGCCAACCTGGGGAAATGATCTTCAGATTTGATATAACAGTCTATAACAGGACTATTCAAACAGTTCTTGAGGGCTGCAATGTCTACCAGTAGTTTCTCCAACCACCATATCAGTAAAATATGCCATATTGATTCCATAATCTTGATTTCACCAATCATGAATTCTGCATCAGTGTCAGGATGTGCTAGTTAGACTGGGGAATTAAGTCTAGTTTAGTTGCCCCTCCCACAACCTGGCAGCTAGGAGACTGTAAGTCAATGAATTAGAATTTCAAGGATCCACCTTATTCCTAAACTCTGATGTAGTGCCTGATTGGAGTGAACATTGGAGTACCCTCAGCTGAATAGCCTGGTCCACACAGTCTTACGTGAACATGTTTTCTTGTCTTCGTTCAAGACAAAGCCCATCCGGCATTCGCAGTGGTAGGAGCCATCTCTGCTGACACAAATGTGCTCACAGTCATGTCCCATTCCACAATGGTCCAAACCTGCAATAAGCCGTGAGTGAGACACTGGAACGATCTAGACATCACACCCATAATTAACTGAGTTCTATATCACAACATCTCTATGGGGCGTCTGTCAGTGGTTCCCCCCGGTCCTGGAATACCCCTGCACATTTTAGCACTGGGATTGCCAGTGTTTAGCTTGTTGATTAGTAAATGAGTTAAATCAGGTTTGCTGGATGAGGGAAAGCATAAAAATGTCCATGGGATTGGGAGCCCCTGCATTAGTGTTTTACTTATCTCCAACACACCTTATCCAACTAATCAGCTAATTAACATGAAAGCTAGAGCAGAGAAAACACTTAAGTGTGTAGAGCGAGACTACTCCAGGACCACGTCTGAGGAACTGAGGCTAAGCTACTGGACCAAGATATCTAGGAGAACTGCCAACTCTGTCTTTGTGACACCTCAACTAAAATCTACAAAAAACCTGCCAACTTGGGGAAATGATCTTCAGATTTGATATAACAGTCTATAACAGGACTATTCAAACAGTTCTTGAGGGCTGCAATGTCTACCAGTAGTTTCTCCAACCACCATATCAGTAAAATATGCCATATTGATTCCATAATCTTGATTTCACCAATCATGAATTCTGCATCAGTGTCAGGATGTGCTAGTTAGACTGGGGAATTAAGTCTAGTTTAGTTGCCCCTCCCACAACCTGGCAGCTAGGAGACTGTAAGTCAATGAATTAGAATTTCAAGGATCCACCTTATTCCTAAACTCTGATGTAGTGCCTGATTGGAGTGAACATTGGAGTGCCCTCAGCTGAATAGCCTGGTCCACACAGTCTTACGTGAACATGTTTTCTTGTCTTCGTTCAAGACAAAGCCCATCCGGCATTCGCAGTGATAGGAGCCATCACTGCTGACACAAATGTGCTCACAGTCATGTCCCATTCCACAATGGTCCAAACCTGCAATAAGCCGTGAGTGAGACACTGGAACGATCTAGACATCACACCCATAATTAACTGAGTTCTATATCACAACATCTCTATGGGGCGTCTGTCAGTGGTTCCCCCCGGTCCTGGAATACCCCTGCACATTTTAGCACTGGGATTGCCATTGTTTAGCTTGTTGATTAGTAAATGAGTTAAATCAGGTTTGCTGGATGAGGGAAAGCATAAAAATGTCCATGGGATTGGGAGCCCCTGCATTAGTGTTTTACTTATCTCCAACACACCTTATCCAACTAATCAGCTAATTAACATGAAAGCTAGAGCAGAGAAAACACTTAAGTGTGTAGAGCGAGACTACTCCAGGACCACGTCTGAGGAACTGAGGCTAAGCTACTGGACCAAGATATCTAGGAGAACTGCCAACTCTGTCTTTGTGAGACCTCAACAAAAATCTACAAAAAACCTGCCAACCTGGGGAAATGATCTTCAGATTTGATATAACAGTCTATAACAGGACTATTCAAACAGTTCTTGAGGGCTGCAATGTCTACCAGTAGTTTCTCCAACCACCATATCAATAAAATATGCCATATTGATTCCATAATCTTGATTTCACCAATCATGAATTCTGCATCAGTGTCAGGATGTGCTAGTTAGACTGGGGAATTAAGTCTAGTTTAGTTGCCCCTCCCACAACCTGGCAGCTAGGAGATTGAGATTGAGAATTCAATGAATTAGAATTTCAGGGGTTCAGCTTATTTCTAAACTCTGATGTAGTGCCTGATTGGAGTGAACATTGGAGTACCCTCAGCTGAATAGCCTGGTCCACAAGGTCTTACGTGAACATGTTTTCTTGTCTTCGTTCAAGGCAAAGCCCATCCGGCATTCGCAGTGATAGGAGCCATCACTGCTGACACAAATGTGCTCACAGTCATGTCCCATTCCACAATGGTCCAAACCTGCAATAAGCCGTGAGTGAGACACTGGAACGATCTAGACATCACACCCATAATTAACTGAGTTTTGTATCTCATCAACTTTATGGGGCTTCTGTCTAAATCAGTGGTTCCCCCCGGTCCTGGAATACCCCTGCACATATGAACACAGGGTTCGCCGGTCCCAGTCATACAGATCCCATGCTCTGAACATTTTTGTGTTTTTTATACTCTAACTCACCTGGCTCAGCACAGGGAGTTTGTTGATTAGTAAATGAGTTAAATCAGGTGTGCTAGATGAGGGACAGCACAAAAATGTCCATGTGGGGTTATCAGGACTGGGATTGGGAATCGCTGTATTAGTGTTTTGCTTACCCCCAACATAACTTATCCAACTAATCAGATCATTGGCATGGAAGTTAAAGCAGAAAAGACACTGAAATATGTAGAGCAAGAGTACTCCAGGAACAGGCCTGAGGAGCTGTGGCTAAGCTACTGGAAAAAGATGAGAGAAATATGCTAACTCTGTCTATATGGCATCTCTGAAACAAAAATCTAACCTACAAAAAACCTGCCAACTTGGGAAAATGATCTTCAGATTTGATTCAACAGTCTACAACAGGACTATTCAAACAGTTGTTGAGGGCTGCAATGTCCACCAGCAGTTTCTCCAACCACCATACCAGTAAAATGTGTCATATCAAGTCAATAATCTTGATTTCACCAATCATGAATTCTGCAACATTGTCTGGATGAGCTGGTTAGACTGGGGAATTAAGTCTAGTTTAGTTGACCCTACCACAGTCTGGCAGCTAGGAAACTCTAAGTCAATGTATTACAATTATAAGCATCCGGTTCATTTCAAAACTCTGAAGTAATGCATGATTGGAGTGAACATTGGAGTGCCCTCAGTTGAATAGCCTGGTCCACACGGTCTTACGTGAACATGTTTTCTTGTCTTCATTCAAGACAAAGCCCATCCGGCATTCGCAGTGATAGGAGCCATCACTGCTGACACAAATGTGCTCACAGTCATGTCCCATTCCACAATGGTCCAAACCTGCAACTAAGGGCCAGAATTACTAAAAGAGGCACTAATTTCTGACAGTCTACTTACACTTTGCACTGGTAGGGGTGGTTGATTTAGTGGGTTAACTAGTGAGAACTTCAATGTCAATAAACACAGGCGTAACTTTCGAATTAATATATGACCAGTGCAGTATAACCATGCTTTTTGTATGGATGTTTGTGTCCAGCAGGTATGAGAAAAGGGCTGCATCCCAAACCGCATACTACAGCACTAAATGGTGTGTAAAAATAGCGCACAACCATTGGAAGTACATTCAGTAGTGTCGCATTTTTCACTAGGTGTCAATGTCCTTCTGATTCTAGCAGTATCTGAGCTTAGGACTGGCTTTCTCTCTAACCTATTGGTAGCTAGCGAAGATTCTTTCTCTGGATAGACAAAGCACTTTTTGTAAGTCGCTCTGGATAAGAGCGTCTGCTAAATGATGTAAATGTAAAATGTAAATGCATGTAAAGTATAGAAGTGTGTGGTTTGGGATGTAGCCAAAAAGTTGTGACTCATTAGGTTGAAATAAAGACTAATTTTCCCAGGCTTTTGATTTAGTAGGTCAAAAATAATAAATGATAATTAATGAACAATCCTAAATTTGTTCTGTATTTCAGCACCTTAATGAGGCTTTATGAAGCCAGTGGTTCCTAATCCTGGTCATGGAGTTTTGCTGCCCTGCACATGTAAGCATTTTCCCTGCTCACAACACACCTGTTCCAACTACTCGGCTAAAGAATAAGCCCTTGATTAAAATGTACAGGACAGGAATACTCCAGGACCACTGTTGGGTTAAGCAAATGGAACAAGATGTCTAAGACAGTTGCTAGTTCAGTCAGTGTGACACTGTAAAATCTAACAACCACCAAACATTTGCCAATATAAAGGCTCTTCAGGAAGGCTTGATCCAACAGTCTTCAACAGGACTATTCAAACGGTTCGTGAGGGCTGCAATGTCTACCAGTAGGTTCTCCAACCACCATATCAGTAAAATGTGCCATACAAAGTAATTGATCTTAAGCCTACCAATCATGAATTCTGCAAATGGCTGTGTTTACATGCAAAGATTTTTGCCAATCCGAATGAATACATTCCGATTACAGATTAAGACTGAGGTGTTTATATGAACACACTATTGAACAGTCTGATGAAAATCTTCGTTTACATGCTCACTACAAGTAATCGCGCATGCGTGGAGTACCCCTTAGTGTAAACATTACCATGACAGCGATCATCACGTGAGGTCCAGTCAGAGTGAGATGAGTTTCCAGTTGGCGCGCTGGAGTTTTTAATTACTTTAAAATTATGTCAGACTCAGAAAAACGTACCTCACATGTCCTTATTAAAGAAGGCTGAGAGGAAGACGTCGTGTTCTGAGACACATAAGCTGGACGTCCGTCTTTTAAAGATCAGAGCATAAACTTCGGTTCCTCTGCAGACCAGTTTCTGCTCCCCTCATGTTGAACGTTATAAACTTTTGCCAGAGCTGGTTTATGAGTTCTGTGCCTTTGCTGTGATGCGACGCACATGCGCAAAACATACTTACATGTTCTGACTGGAAATGTAATCCGATACAGGCATTTACATGGTTATTATTCTTCTATTTAACGGATTATTTACAGGATTACCCACCTTGTTCAATCGGATAGAAATTGTATTCCGAATGGCCTCGATCGGACTAGACTATTCCGATTGAAGTGTTTACATGGACATATTCGATTCCGATTGAGCCATTAGTCGGTTTATTAACGGATTATTAGGCTGCATGTAAACGTGGCTAATGTCTGGATACGCTGGTTAGATTGGGGAATTAAGTCCAGTTTCATTGGCAGCTGGCAGCTAGATATCAAAACAAGTCAGATTGGCTGCCTGATTGGAGTGAACATTGGAACACCCTCAGCTGAATAGCCTGGCCTACAAGTCTTACGTGAACATGTTTTCCTGTCTCCGTTCAAGACAAAGCCCATCCGGCATTCGCAGTGATAGGAGCCATCACCGCTGACACAGATGTGCTCACAGTCATGTCCCATTGCACAGTGGTCCAAACCTGCAATAAGCTTTGAGTGAGACACTGAAGCAATCTAGACATTACACCCATAGCCTACGTAAGACAATAATAGACTGGTTTTATATTTCAACCACTTCAAGAGTCTTCTGTCTAGGTTACTAGATTTTCTTTCAAAAAGGTCATAAAGTGGCATGAAACAAATCAGTACCATTAATAACAAATAACTTACTGGCACTACCATCACCATCATCATTAGTGGCCTTGAAACATGATCTCTTATCCTCCATCAAGACAAAGCCGGGGGGGCATGTGCAGTAATAGGAGGAGCCGCTGCCCACACAAGTGTGCTGACAGTTATGACCCAGTGCACAGGCATCCACACCTGCAACGAGTCACAGCTGCAGCAAAATATGGACACAATTGCAGTTCTATTTGAAAAATCTTAATTCATATTCGATTCCCCTCCTTTTAGTCTGACTAGTAAACCTTTCATGCAAATTTGAGTTGAGTGTTTTCTCTATATGATAGGTGACAGTGAAAGGGTGGAGCTGAAACTTTACATTTTAGAGCTGGGCAAAAGCCACTACACTTTGATGGAAGATTACAGGAAAACAAGAATTTTGTCTTTTAAATGGTATAATATGATGAGCATGGTAAAGAATGTCCATTTTCATTTCAGGTTGACTTTAAAGTACAGAAATCAGTGTTCAGTGTTCTGAACCAAGGATATATGGAGACAGATGCTTTTTAGTCGGGTTTGTAGATTTCAGTGTAAACACGATTATCTTCATCTGGTTCTTGAGAATCAAGTCTTGTGACTTGACAGCCATGGAAAAGACTCTATTTGAATCCTTTTTAATGAAGTTCCTGACAGCGATGGCCATAGAAGAATGGCTCTTCATGTTAGCAAAGGCAGTTTTGCTTGAGTATAAGATTGTGTCCCAGACTCAATGGAGAAGTCAGTGATGTACGCAGTGTGTCATCAGTACAAAGGGAAGAACTTGCTAGATGCAAGGCAGTCTCCAGAGGAACAAGTTTAAAAATAGAGTTAGAACTACTGAAGACGAAAGCAGAAAAAGTAGTCAGCTAGCTTCATGCTGGATCAAGAATCATGTTGTTTCTATTAGCATCTGCTGGACAATCGTCTACAATGCAGAATGAAGTTCTAAGACACGTTGACTCAGGCGAGACGTCTTTCAAAGTAAACGGCATTCATAATACAGTTTTATGGTGATACCAGTGATTCATACATAGGGGCAAATCATTGGAATGTTCCTCAGAATTTTAGAGGCAGGAACATGGAAATTGCAAAGGACAGTCAGTTAACAAGGCAGCCGAAGATTCTTGTGAGCCTTATTTCTGAATCCTGAAGAGTCTTGTGAGTAAGTGGTTGTATTTGGCACGTCCACAGTCAAGGGCGCTATCATTTTAGCTTTCCTTATGACCCAGTAGTGAGTTGTGACACTGAGTGAAGTAAATGATGTGGTTCCTTAGAAACCTGAATAAATCCTGCAAGAATACTATGAAATGGCATGAATCAAAGTCAGTACCATTTCTAGTATGACATTGTAAACTTACTGGCACTACTTTCACCATCGTTGTGACCATTGTTGAAGCCATCAGTGCGTTGATTGCCGGCACCATCATTAGCTATGGAGCATGTTCTCTTGTCCTCGTTCAAAACATAGCCAGGGCGACACTTGCAGTGATAGGAGGTGGTGTTTCCAACACAAATATGCTGACAGTCGTGCCCCATTTCACAGGCGTCTACGCCTGTAATGATTACAATGTAGAATAATAAGGACAATATCAAACACCATACCAACTCCCTCTGCTGAAAACATGAGTTAAAGATATTATTGGACAAACTAAAAGAGTTTGCTTTAGGTGTCAGGGTGGAAATGACTTTGCAGCACCAGTTATGATGTTTAATTCTGGCTGATTTCATATTTGGATTGGACCAGTATATATGATCTCCGCTGCTCTTGGACAGAAACCTGGTGGCCCAGTGAGATTTTTGTGTGGGATCAGTGAACTCACATTAAACTATGACCTGTAATAATATTCTGTTCATGTTTCATGTTATTAAGAATAAAAGAAATGTGAAATAAAGTGGGTTACCCAAGGTTGATGCACAGACATAAATGAGATATTATGAGCATATGAATTCCAAATGAAGTCAGTGGTAGCTGTCCATGGTTCCAAGGTACCACATTTCACTAACTAATTTGTTTACTACTAACTCCATACTGTATACTATCCCAGTAATCCTGTGTATGTTTGAGGCTACAAACACTTTTCAAGCCTGTGTATGGTCAGGTCTGACCATACACTCTTAAAATGAAGCAGTCAAAAAGGTGATGCCATAGAAAAAACGCTTTTAGTTCCCTAAAGAACCACTTTTGTGAATGAGATGTGTGAGTGTGAAGAACATTTGTCAAGTTTAAAGAACCCCCACATATTGTAAAAGTTCTTTACCACTGAATTTGTTCCTAAAACTGTCCAAGCCAAAAACCTATTAGGAACCTTTATGTTTTAAGAGTGTAGCCATAACACACAGCTAACGTATCCAAATACCACAGTACTGCAGAACCACCAGTTCACAGGGCAAATGTTTGTCATCTGTCTCGCTAGTCACAGAGAGAACGATGTATCATAGAGCAGAAAAGAACAGTAATAACAATGCAAATCAGAGTAGTGTTGCCTGCATGCGTCTTTCAACATGACAGTGTTGCATGTTTCATGCAGGAAGACCATCCATGGTAATTCCTCACTGATTTAGCATAGGATGGATCAGTGGTTCTTAATCCAGTTGATAGCTCTGCTGGATTTGGAAAACCTTAATATAAAAACAAAAGATATTTTTGATATACACATAGCTTAAAATATAGTCATGCTTGCACACTGGAACAGTCTAATATGTATCATGTAATATGCAGTATTGTATGACTTTTAAAAGTCATGACAAACACAGCTTTGGTAGTGTAGCTGGGCAATAGGTTAGTCATGTAGGATTTCATTGATGTCCTGCTGTATGCAAGCTTTAAAACAAAGCGATTTATCGAAAGTGACTTTTTTTGTATCTACAGAACTGTGCAAAAGTCATAGACCATTTACTTTTTAGTCACAATGGACGTTAAGTACAAGTTATTCGGTTTTCAGTGTCAGGAAAAAAGCAGAAAATATATTTAAGAGAAAATTACACAGAAGCCTCAACAATTAAGTGTCAAATTTTTCTATTTTTAAAGTTCAGCCTTAGAAGCGGGTTGCAGTTTCTGCTTCTCATGATTCAGGTAATCCCAATTACACATTAGGTCAGTCAATAAAACCTTACGGCTTATCCCCGATGTCTAGTTTTGGTGTTTTACTGAAAATTTTTTTTTTGAAAATTTGTTTATTTTCTTTTCTCATTAAGGGCGACATGACAGCTACACATCCTTTCAGACTCATAGGCCCAATCTCATTTCACCCCTTGCCCCTACAACTTTGCCCTTGGTGAAAAAAATTGCTAATGGTATGCTAATGTCTCGGTAGCTAGCTAGCTAAATTTCCTGTTCCACCTCAAAGAGTCCAGCAGTTCTGGCTGAGGCTGAAGCGACAGAATGTAGCTGCTGCTCCATTTAAGGTGGAACCTGAAAATTCGAATAAGAAGCTGGTGAATAGCTGACTTCAGCTTCATATCATACCGAAGAATTAGGGGCAAAATAATTACATCCTCTTTCTTTGAAGGCATATGACACCCAAAATTTAATTAAAGATCAGTAGCGAGGTTGCTGAACTTCCTCTGCCATCACTGCAGACTGGCACGGTCGCCTACAGAGCACCGCTAACAGCCTGTTAATGAAGTAGTGTAACTCAGTTCCAAGGGGCAAGGTGAAATAAGGGGTAGGGGTATAGGATATGGGATTGGGCTGTGGTGTTGAGTTGTTTTCTCACAGTGGAAGGATGGACAGAAACACTTGTAGATTTTTTAAGATCTGAAGCAAGAGTGAAGCATGATTTTCTCCTCTCTCTCAGAGATGAAAGCTTTAAGTGCTGTTTCTCTGATGGAGAGAGTTTTGGTGGTCTACCAGGTCTTGCACAATCATCAGGAGGCCTATTTTCTCTGTATCTTTTCATTATTTTTTTAACTGAAGCTCCTGTTTTTTAACTTTCCTTCATTTGATTTTCCTTTTCCTTATGCAAGTGGATTATCTTATATCTAAACTACTCATAAATTATCCCCTGAAACATAAATAACTTGTAGTTAATGGCTGTTTTGACTGGAAATGAAATAAAAGAAGGTGGTCTCTGACTTTTGCACAGTACTGTATTTTACTGTATATATCCAACATGATGTATTAAAACAGAATAGTATTAGTCTGTATGCAGTCTACAGACTCTTACGTTTGAGGGAGCATGTTTTCTGGTCCTTGTTCAAAATATAGCCCTTCCGACACTTGCAGTAAAAGGTTGAGCCACTGCTGACACAAATGTGCTCGCAGTCATTTCCCATAGCACAGGGATCCACGAAACCTGAAACAAGCTATGGTTACTCATGTAAAGCCCCTGCCTTACAGCATCATTACAGGAGCAATTTGCATAATGCATCTTTTGTCTCCTACCAGACTACACTCTTTTCTTACAAGCTTTTCCCATTATACATGATACATATGCTTTTACAGTTGAAGAAGTGAGATCAGGGGGAAATACAGTTGGGATATGTCTCTACAAAACTTCACACCAGTTAATTTCACTGTGGAGGTAATGGGAACAATTTTACCACAGCCTGCTTCAGTGAAATTGCCTGTGCCATACATTTATGACTAGATTAACTGCAAGGTTTAGATGCATGTTTAGCAACACGACTCAGCAAGTGCGGTTGACTTCAGGGTCCTGAAAAAGATAAATTACATTATCCACATACAGAAAAGATCAATTATAAAGGGTCAGCAGGAACAGCCTTTACAATGTTACAAAATATAAAAGGGTTACATGCAATTACGTTTCATATACACTGTGTATACAGAGTAATATCTGAACAGAAAGAGAAAATATGGTTATTGTGAAATGTCACTGAAATACAGTTATATGCAAAGGTTTAGGCACCCCTTTTCAAACTGCACAATTTGTAGATTTTCAAAGATGTTAACACGACCTCTGCATGGCACATTTCTGTAAATGTTAATGTACATTTGTGATTTATTTGCTGAATTTAACATGTTGACAAACCAGATAAGAGCCTTTCTATTCTTGATTTAGGCTTTTTTCACTGTTCCTTGAAGAATGCTTTCAGTTCAGAAATATTCATAGATCCCCTTGCATGGACCTCATGTTTGAGATCATTTACTCTCAGCTTTTCATAATATTCAAGTCTGGAGGGTAAAGGCCTTTTCAAAGTCTTAATCCTTTGTTGGTTGAAGTTATTGATTTTGATTTTGATGTATATTTTGGATCATTGTCCTCTAATAGAACAGGGCCTCGTTTTTAGTTTTCTGACTGACTGTGGGACATTAGCTTCCAGGATCTGTTGATATTTAGTAGACTCCTTTGTTCTCTCTATCCCCACAAACAGGGGCGACATGTAGCCCAAATTCCAGGGGGGCATGATTAGAACATTGCATTGGGGTCCTTCCCCAGAAAAAAAAGAATGAAACAATGACACAATTTCCTGCAGTCTGAGAATTCTTTCTATATAGAACCATTTTCAATCCATTTTCTATATAGAACTGTATACAGCACATTCTTTATCAATCTGATGAACAGTTTACCATGCAAAGAACCATGTAAGCAAGAAATGGTTCGATATAGAACTATTGGTTCTAAATAAAGCCACTGCTTTTACTAAAGAACCCTTGAAGAAAGATTTTTTTAAAGAGTGTATCACTATAAATCTCACCTAAGTTAACCTACTTCTTGCACTGCGAACCTAACTGAGGACAGGCCTGGGGCTTTCTGTTGAGTTTTTTTACTATGTGTACAACTAGTCAGGACTAAGGCCTAATGAGTCGAATAAGCTCTGAGACCTTGCAATGTTCCATGCAGATGTTGTGTTAACTTCTTTTCACTTAGAAAAACAACAAAACGTGCGATTTGACCAGAGGTGCCTAAACTTTCACATACAGCTGTATGATCCCGGGAACACTTATTGTAATTTTAACAATGTTGTGTTAAATCAAACACACATGCAGCAACCCACTTGGTAATACAATCAAAACATACAGAAAAAGGAACCATCAGAAACAACACATGTCAAGCAAAAGAACAACATAAAGTTGCTAAATAAAGACAAAATCTGTGCTATTATTTGTTGAGCTCTTATTGTTTTTAGATGCAAAACACCTAACTGACTTGGCTTGTAACTCACTCACTCACACTTGGCAGGGTGAAGATTCTAGCACTAGCTTTTGGAGCTTTATAAGAGTGCATCAGTGACACTGTGTGTCCTTGTTCAGGTAACTTATTATAAGACTTATAAAGAGTGAAGAATAACACCCCCCACCCATTTTCCTACCGCACAGAGTCTCCCGGAACTTGGAGGTGAGCTTCTCGATGACTCCATAGGTTTCCACGTAAAAGACGTGGTCATCCAGCGGGTTGCTAGCCATGAGCTTCAGCGAGCCTATGTCGGCCCGATCCACTCCCACAGCATAAATTTCGATCCCCGAGGCCCGGGCTGCAGCGGAAACCTCCTCTACCTGGTCCTGAGGACGTCCGTCTGTGACAATAATGGCCACCTTCGAGATGTTCTTTGACTTGGGTCGGGCTCCTGACTTCTCGGTGAAGGCTTCGTCCATGGCCTTCTTAATGGCCAGGCCGGTCATGGTGCCTGCAGCCAGGGGCTCAATCAAGCTGATTGCTTGCTTCAAGCTTTCCTTCCTGAGATGGTCCTTGAGGAAGAACTCAATTTTGACCGTGCTGGCGTAGTTCACCACGGCAACACGAGTGGCATCTGCACTGACGTCCAGCGTGTCCACCATGTCTGAAAGGAAAATCTTGACCTTCTCAAACTCACCTGGCCGCACGCTACGGGAGCTGTCAATGATAAACACAAGGTCCAGTGGGCGGCTCCTACACTGGGAGTCAGTAGCTGAGAGTGAAAAAGAGACATTTTATTACTGATGATTAACACTATGTGATGAAGGCAAATAAGATTAGAGAGTTAGTAAGACATGCTGAACCACTGTGGACATCCCAAGTGCGCAAACTTAAAGTTGGACACAGAGTTTAGTATGATGATGTCCAGGAGCGCTATCTGACCCAATGCCATCAGAGGTGAAAGTAAGGTTCTACAGACTATGCTATAGTTTGATAAGTTCAAAGGTTTGTAGACATCTGCTTATCCAGCATTTCCTCTGAAATCTGGGAGGGTTTTACACTACTAATGTTCAAACATTGCTTTAAGGATTTGATTGCAGGTACTGATGTTGGGCGATTAGTTCTGGATCACAAACTCCACTCCAACTCCTCCTAAAGGTATTCAGTGGCCTATTGCTTCAGAGACCGCAGTTCCACTGCTCCACAGCCCAATGCTGGAAGGTTTCATATCCCTCCAGTATCCGCAAAGGGCCAGTGCGGCTGCAAGGCGTGATTCCAAACAAGCAGGAGCATGCCTGATTCCTGATTCCACTTGTTTCCAGCCTTCAAACAACTGAGCATGTGCACTCCTGCTTTGTAAGAATGAAAACCTGCAGCCACACCAGCCCTTTGCGGATAAGATTGAACACCCCTGCTCTAGCCAATGGGCATGGTGACCTTAGGCTTGTGTGCAGCTGCTCCAGAGTGTCCCATTCTACTGGTCAGTGCTGTACTATAGAGATTATACAAGCCATGTGGTCACAATTATACAAGCCTGTAAAGCAATGAGTTCAGCTTAAAGTAGGTAGTTTTGGACATGCAAGTGTATACCTGATTTTTTCCAACTTCTACACTTGTTTCAGTTATTTCTTGGATTTTTATCCATAGCTAAGGTATTGTTTATACATAAGGTAGAAAGTAGATCGTTTACATATTTGGCATTAAATGTTAATAGAACGGCCTAGTTACTAGCTGGCAAAAAGAGCAAAGCCCTAGCATCTTACTTTGCATTCAGTCGAGTACACTGTCACTTTTTGCTTTTTGGTGTAGAGCTAATCTATTCAGTGTTGTTCAAATAGAACAAACAAAAATGCTATGTCACACTCTGAATAGAAAGTCTGAATAGAGGCCTAGAACTATTTCCTCAAAAAGTGCATCTGACTCTCATGCTGAAAAAACTACAAAAGCACAGCATGTGTTCTTGTGGCATTGGGTTGCTTGTAATGCTGACAATAGCTGCTTTTTAGTTAACTTCTACTAGCATTTGGCAGTTATTCAACATTCTAAAAGCCAGTTGGGTTTTATTTTTAAAAAATGGTCACCCCCATTTTTTAAAACAGTCTTAAAGGAGGATTCAGTAAGATGACATCATTGTGTACAGCATTATAAAATATACATAACAGAGAGATTAATATTATGCTGCCCAGTATTGCACTCTGAACAAATACTATGATTGAAAGTGGTAACTTTTGATTTTTTTTTAACCTTATCTAAACAAACGTCTCGCTGGCGAGCCATTCTGAGAATTTAGTGATGGTCCCTTAAACCTTTTTAGAAGAGTTACAGCGTCCACATTGGACACAGTGAGATGTATGAGTGTGTGAAATAGGGTGTGCTTTCTGTGTGCTACCTTGTTTTTATTACTGTACGTAAAATACAAGAGGCTTCCTTTATTGTTGGATGCAGTGAGATTTGTTCTGAGCGAGTGCATGACCTCATGCAGACCACAAATCAGTATAAGCTTCTTATTGATTTGTTTAACCAAAGTAATAATAGAATGTGACCAATGTGTCACTTATATTCATGCGTTTTCTTGTTTGAAAAGATTCACACACTAAATAAACATCCACAGATTCTCAGCTTTGTATCAAATAATTGCAACAACAGCACTGAGAAATCACTCAATTAATGGAGAAGATCAGATTAAACAGCAGAAACGCAGACGTTTTTGTGTCACACTTAAAAGATTAAAGCTATTATTTATAAATGTTCTACAAAATGTGAAATTACATTTTAAGTCAGGAGTGTCAAACTCAACCACTAAAAGGGCCATTTTAAAAAATCTCAACAAATCTGTGGGCCAGAGAACACCGATGTTTTTATTTTGTTTTTATTTAACATTTTGCCATAACCCATTTCAGACCTACCTATTTGCTTGAACTAAAACACCAAGTTGATTAATTCTTGGGCCCAAATTCTGAGCTGCTGAGCTAATGTTAAGCGTTTATGTTGGTTGAACTGTAGCTGAAACACAGCTTGTGTGTTTGGTGATATCACTGGTGTGGAATTGTATAGAATTGTGTAGAATTAAGGTGTAACTGCTAGATTGTTGTTGGGGTAGGAGAGTCAGTGTGCACATTGCATTGCAGTGCATGCTGGGGCTGTAGTGTAGTGCATTGTGAAGCGAGCTAATATTAATAGAAAATTAAAAGACTTTTACGAGCCAGATAGGATTGCCTCATAGACCTGATCTGTGGGCCTTGTGTTTGACACATGAGTTTTAAGTAAAGAAATCAATATTGTGCACATAAAGTCAATCCAACATAAATTGTGCTTGGTGGTGCAGTATGGCCTGTCTGTTAATCTGTCAGGATGGCCAGTAGTTTTTTGTAGTATGATACAGTTTGATAAATACATTTCTTTTTTCCTTTTGAAGAACGAGCTCTAGTGAAATTTCATTTGCTTTTCTGCTTTATAGGGCAAATTTTGGCAAATCATTGCTTTTCACCAAAACTTTAGATACATTGAAAATACCTCTCTCAGTTTTTTCTGCGTTTTTCCCAGTTTACAGACAATCTTCAAAATAGAAGTTAGTTGTGTATGGTCAGTTCTTTATCTCTAATTGAGGACTCTTTGCTTTATGGTTTTGAGGAAAGGAACTGGTGGTAGTTTGGTAGTCTATCCTCGCATCTTTGGTTAATAAAACCTCTCATAAAGTCACAGCCACTTATTTTAAACAATATGAAAATACTGATTATAAAAGCAGTATAGGCTCACTGATGTCATTTTGCTAAATCTGCCTTTAACACACTGTGTTTTCGAGTGAATGAGATGAGGATGGACTTCTGCAGAGTATTCTACCTGTCCTCCCTGCGAGGGCTATGTCACCATGTGCTCTGACTGGAGCCTCTGGTTGGCCTGAGGGTCTGTGAGGATATTGCTCTGGTGCCAGAGTGGACATTGGCAGGGATTTAGCTGATGTGGCTTCGGGGTACAGTTCTGGTGACAGAGTGGACTTTGGCAGCCAGAGATTTGGCAGCAGTGGTGAGGTTACCCAGGCCCGGGGGTAAATAGGAGAAGGCGGTGGTTGGAAATGTGACGCTGGTGCACTGGTTGCCACAGCAGTCTGTTTAATAAATGATTGTTCTTGTGCTGCCTGTGACTGTGCTGGACCTTCCAGTGATTGCTCTGGGTCTGCAGGTGATGGTTCTGGAACTATGAGTGATTGTTCTGGAGCTATAAATGACAGTTCTTGACTTGAAACTGATTGTTTTGGAACTGCCCTTGTTTGTTCTAGACCTACATGTGATTGTTCTGGAACTGCCCTTGTTTGTTCTAGACCTACATGTGATTGTTCTGGAACTGCCCTTGTTTGTTCTAGAGCTACATGTGATTGTTCTGGAACTGCCCTTGTTTGTTCTAGACCTACATGTGATTGTTCTGGAACTGCCCTTGATTGTTCTAGAGCTACATGTGATTGTTCAGGAACTGTCTTTGTTCGTTCTTGAGACTGTTCTGGAACTACACGAGAATCTTCTGGACCTGCCAGTGATTGTTGTCTAACATCAACTGATTGTTCTTGGCCTGCATGTGACTCTCCTGTAACTGTGTCATGTTGTTGAGGACCTGCAGGCATTTGCTGAGGAGCTGGTGCTTTGCGGCAAACAACTGGCGCCCATTCACCTTTCAGCTGCTGCCTGGCCTCTGTGCCTACTGGTGCCAAGTCTTTTTTCCATTCATAAACCTTGGGCTGGAGAAGCACTTGTAGGTCCAGGATAGGCTGCCATTTGTGGCAACATCCTTGGCTGGTCTTTGTGAAGGTAGTGGTGTCGATTAAACCTGTAATTACTATGTACTATGGACCACCAATGGGTAGACGATCAAATTAGGTGCATGAGACAAAAAGAGGACAGTAAAACAGTTGTTAGACAGTATAATTCATGCCTCCTTAATGTTACAACCTGATAAATGTCATGGAGGCATGGAATTTCTTACTGAAACACATTAAAAGGAGACGCCAGCATTTTGCAGCCTAATCTTGATCTGTCATATCTGCAGCATATGACCAATTGTGTGTTTCTTGTTAAAAAGAATTCTGGTATTTTCCTTAATACAGGGACATTATTGTCTGTGGTAATTGATCTTATGCTACAGGTGTGACAGATAGAGATTACGTCAAAATACGCTCGAGTTCCTTTAAAATATTATATCAATGCATGTTACATGGGTACAGTTTTTGTAAACATACATGCACTTAATGTTTACATGAAGAAGGGTTTGAATGCATTTAAATCTGTGATTGTGAACATCAGATTGGCATTCCTTTATGGTGTAAATAAAGCTGAGAGATTTGAACTGCTTTATGTGAAAAGCGGAGAAGTCATGTTTGTGATCTGACGAATGTGGTGCATCAAGAACAGTAATGGAACAGTTTGTTCCCCTTACTGTGATGCAAACTGAGCTGAAATCTAAACATGACTAAAAGGTTTCGCAATGGAGTATCCACAATCAGTCCAGTCAATCCAATCTAGCCTCTGACTAGGCTTAAAGGAGAATTCCACCAGTTTTTCTAAATTTCTAAATTAAAATGCAGTCATTCAAAGTGGTATAATGTGAAATGCTCTGTTCTAGAGAAACTCATTGAGTCAATTGTTCACTGTGGTGGTGATAAAACCCAGATGTCTGAAAAGTTTAATGCCTCTAAAAGCTACGTCACCGAACATTATCACATAAAATGGTTACTAGTACACTGCCCGATGCCTGAGACCTTGTTTTGCGACAGTTTGGAGACAAGCTTTTGGCCTATAATGTATTCTTTTATAATCCCTTTAGGACAGAGAGGTACGTGCGGGGTGTGGGAAAGGCCACAACCTACCGATATAAAATTCACCACCACTGTAAAGAAATCAGTCAGTAAGTTTCTTTACAATTAACCATTTTACATCAAAACACTCTGAATGAACCTCAACTGTTGAATTCTGCTTAAATGTTCCATTTAAAGTGGCTAAAAAGACTCAATATGTATTGTAAACACATAACACAAAACATTTTGCGTCCCTGGTCAAATTACATGCGAGTTACATGTCCTCTACAGAGAACACACTTTTGCACATTTTAATGCACAATTATTGTTTATTTGCTGAATTTAATATATTGTGGGGAAAAAAACATAAAATGTGGCCTCTGCAAAAATTAAGTCATATTTAAAACGGTATATATGTTATATGTTTTTTCATGTTAAACTCAAATAATCTAAAATTGTGCACTAAAATTTGCAGAAGAAAATACCATATTTGTGTGTTCTCTGCAGAGGGTGTGTAACTTATGTTCACTTATAAAATCAATAAAACGTCATTTGAACAGTCCTGTTCAAACTTATGCATATGACTCTGAACATACACTGTTGCTCACCTTACAAACTATATCAGAATAAAAGTAGGTGACACAAATTTACAGGTAGTTAACTTAAAACACACCTGCTGGATTAAGTGTCCTCTGTGGTGGTCTGGCGTTTGGTGGATTCCCGTAATTTCTTCTTTGTGCATAACTCTGGGCTAAAATCTCTGATGGAGTACTGTAGCTTGCAGAGATATCCGCCAGGAGAAATGAGAGGCAACAGAGAAAAACCCCAAAGAAGGACTTCATTGTGTCCAGGTGATCTGCTCACTTTGCTCTGTCTCTGCTGTCGACTGACACCAAAGTGCCGGTGAGTACTGTCTATTTGAAGACCTCAAATGAAAACGTGTAAAATTCTTGTCCAATCCAAATATTAGAGGGGTGGATACTAAATGATATATGATCACCCCTCACTGCCTGAAAGGCTGTCTTGTCTAAAGATGTTGTATTTGATAATGCATTTAAACATGTGTGTACAGTTCACTTACAGTCATTTATTTATTAGTCAGTTAATTTTTAAAGACATTTCTATTTGATTAAGGCTATAATATTAACATTTATAGAATAAATGGACTTTAATATAATATGTAGTCTGTATACATGTTTACATAACGCAGACAGAAAACAGAGACAGACAAACAGACAGATAGATAGATAGATAGATAGATAGATAGATAGACAGACAGATGAGAATTAATTTATGAAAATGTTAATGTCCAGAATTAATTATATTTCAGTAGTAGTAATAAAATCTCAAGGCAGCCAAAAATTATTGGAAGTATATAGTTACTATATTTATAAAATATATAAAATGCATTTTAGATGTTTTAGCCAAGATATTATATTCAGTCACTTCAACTTTGTATATAGATATATACACAGATATACATACACACATCTATAGATAGATATACATATATACATAGTATGTCATTATAATATATAAAATAACAAAATTTGTTAATATGACAAGTGATCCCAAACTATGGGTACCATAAGACTGTAGAAAACTATTTGAGGTCTAAACTTAAAAATCTTGCCTTTTGAATGTGAAATGTGGGAGTTTCCTACCAAACAAATGAGATTTAAAGCTTTGAATATTTTTTTACCTGTATCACCGATATGAAAGAGAACCATACAACCGACGATAATAATTAATAAAGCCATATAAATTGAGAAGTAAAACCACAAATTGGTCATTAATTTGATTTGAGAGGTGGATGAGAGAGGGATGTGTGGGGCCTTGTGAACCAGCCTCTGCTCCTGCCCAGCAGGTGGCGCAGTTTGTGGAAACAGCTGCAAAACCTCCTACACTAACCGAGAGAGAGAGTCCCTCAGCTGGAGCTCATGGAGGATCCGCTGCTGACTGGGAGCAGAGATCTGTTCTCCAAAGCTCAAGAGGAGTTCAGCAGAGGCAACCACAGCCGGGCGGAGGAGCTCTACACAGAGTTCATCAGCATCTGTACCACAGCCAGGTTCGCTCTGAATACAGTCCAGCCTGACTCGTTTCCGAGTATGATCAGCTGTGATAGTCCTCAGGCATGTTAGAGAGCACAGAGCGAGGCTAAAGGTGGATGGAGGTGGATTCTTCTTCGGAATTTAATTCAGAGTTTGCACCATGTAAGGTGGAACAGGAAGTGCTGAAAGAGAACAGATTGAACCTCTTTAGTCGAACCACTGTCAAACACAAATCTGCTGAAACGGACGAGGCTGAAGTTCGTTTATTATTTGAGTTTCCGTTCCACCTTAACTGGTGTAACTAGTGGTGTATCTTTACAGACTGAAACGGTTAAAAGCAGTGCCAGCTCGCTTCATTAATGAATTTGAGTGGTAAGATAAAACGTGAAGTAATTTTAGAAATATCAGAAATGCCCATAATTCTCTTTTTTTGTTTGTTTGCATTGCAGCTTGCAATTTAGGTCCAGGTGATTAATCTAATTTTATTTTCAGTTACAATTTTGGCTTCCAACGATTATGAAAACAAGCTAATCCAGAAAAATGATTATTGAACCTTGTACTGTTTTCGCTAAAAGCCCTCAACTGATTTATTTTGGTCTGATTTATTTTTATTTATTATTACTTTTTATGTGTTTAGTATTTTTCAGTAGGTTTGGAAGTGCTCTATAACTATAACATAGTTGATCTTATTTATTTTTATTAGATATTTTTATAATATTTATAGAATTTATTTTATTTAGCATTGTCTTTTTTAATTTGTTTTTCAATTTATTTTTAATGTTCAAGGAAATCCACTGTTAGACAACTTTTATTAAAGTTCAATAAATGCATGATGACTTTTGTGTAACATATGTTCTGATCTCTTTACAGAGATTGTGACCGTAGTGAGCTGGCTATCGCCTACAATAACCGTGGCCAGGTGAAATATTTCAGGGTCGACTTTTATGAGGCCATGGACGACTACAGCGAAGCGATTAAGATGAACAGCCAGTTTGAAGTGCCGTACTACAACAGAGGATTAATACGCTATAGACTGGGTAGGTGTACATTCTCCTTTGCTGTTTTACTGTCTTAACTTTACCAAAGGAGCACAGAAACATGGTTGATCGTACTTATCCTCTCCATGTTGTCCATTCCCTACCCCTGTGCCAGCATGGATGGTGCCATGTGGTCAGTCTTGTTTTTTCAGGCTTAATGAAGAGATAAAATGCTCATGTTGGTTGTAACCCACCAGCTGCTGCCCTCACAGACTGGTGGTAGTGTCTTATTGTAGGGCTGCAGAGGACTATACAACTGACGAGAATGGCTTTATTAAACATATACGTTTAGAAGTAATACCACAAATTGGTCATAAATTTGTTTTGATAAGTTGATAAGAGAGGGATATTTCAGAGGCCTTGTAAATTGGCCTCTGCTCCTGCCCAACAGGTGGCGCAGTTGTGGAAACAGAGCTTGTGGTAGGGGACAGAGCTGCTATGTAGGGCTGGACAAAATGATAATAATTATCAGTATTATGATATTATGCTTTTCTGCACATATTGTGGTTATTGTCAGTACTTGAAGACCAAGTGCATATTTCATTATGAATAGAGAATAATTACTGTAGCACAGTGTGTGAACCGTTACAGAGTATAAACCGTTATAGAATAGAAATCTTTATACTTGTATTTTTTTAATAGTAGCACTACTGGGGCTTTTCTTCAGGACCGTATCATGATTTCTGTCGTATCACGTACCACTACGACTATGTATAAAAAAGAAAAGAAAGCAAACAAACAAATAATGTCTCTGTATGAAACACTGAAAGCTGAAGGAAGTTCTGGAAACCTCTTTGAAGCCTGATTTTGAGAGCTTATAGTCACACAGAGTTGGTTTATTATGTGCTTTGGTTTCATGTTTGGGACAGTAGAAAGGAGACTGGATTCGAGTTGGGCAATGCTGCCTCTTTAAATAAGCAGGACAATATGTAATAAGGTGTTGATAAAAAGAAAAGGATTAATCTTACATCCGTTTAAATATTTATGCTTTGCTGTATTTTCCCTCTTGCAGGTTTTTTCCAGGATGCAGAGAGTGACTTCAAGAAGGCCCTGGAAATAAATGCCAATTTTGAAGATGCCAAACAAAGTTTGCGTCAGACGGTAGTCGACCGAGAAGAAAAATTAAAAAGAGGATACTGATGGCATCCTACAGCTAGAAGGATGTTTCTGTTCTGTCTGGCTGTACACTCTTAAAAAGATGGTTCTTTAGGGGTTCTTTAGTTAAAGGGAATAGTTCTATTTAGAACCATGACTTCTATTTAGGACCACTTCATGGTTAAATTGTTGTTTGTATGGTGAAATCGCTCCTCAGATTAATGGAGAATGTGTTATATATGGGTCTGTATTAAAGCTTTTTGAAAGTGGTTCTGTATAGTACCGAAAGATTGGTAACAACAGAAGAGCCATTCCCTTTACTAAAGGACCCTGGAAGAACCTTTTTTAAGAATGTAGGAAAGCACTACATGAAGTGATTATTAATTCTGATCTAATTCAATATGTTTGATTGTGTGATTGTGTAATTTGTTCCTGTGTAAAGATTTTATTTTTTTACCTTAATTTCTTGTAAATACTTTGCTGGTTGTCATTATTGTATTGTAGTGTGTGTCATGAAGACCTGTGTAGCTCAGGTAATCTTCAGTCTGAGGGCAGCATTTTCAGTCTCTGTATTTGCATATTCTGGGTGCACTTGACCAGCGAGTTGTCAGTTGCACCTGAAGCACTCTAGTACGAAGACAAGAAGTGGCATTGTACTTCTTATATCATTTAAAACTAAATCAGTTAAAATGTACCAATGAATGTGACTTACTGGGGGAAAATACATTTTAATAATTTGCTTTCTTCTACTTTTGTGGAATGTGTATTTGAACTTTTGCACTAATGAAATCTTAGTAAAAAATCATGTTCTATATGTAACATGAAAGAAACTGTCAGGTCATCTATTATTTCATCTGTCTGTCATTGGTTTCTTGCGTTGTTTAAGCAGTTGTTGAAAAAAATGTCTTGAACATAAGACCGACCTTTCTCCCGAAGACCTACACTGTGGTTAACTTGTGAACCCATTCATTATTCATTACATAGAGTTTGCTGACTAGAAAACAACAAAGATTTATCATTGAGAGGCTGAACAACACTACAAACTGGCTGGTATCTTTTACTGAATGCTGTTAAAAGTGCAAATGCAGAGAACAAAGCTCTGTTGTCTTCCTACGACGGTAGGGACAGTCTGTTTTCCTCAAAAGCACAACAGTGAAGGCCATCACAGCCAATCCAGATCAAACTAATGACCTCCTGAGGGCCATCTCAATCACAAAAGGCTGTGCAGAATGGTAAACGCTACACCATGACACTATGAAGACTTCTATTCAGAACTAAGCTGCCACCTAGTGGACCTAGTGACTCATTTCTTAAAAGGCCCATATTACGGAATTTTTTTTTTTCTTGTTTTTTTAATTAAAGAGCTTGAATACATATATATATATATATATGAGCTTGTATACATATATATATATATATATATGTATGTATGTATGTATTAAAGGCAACAGTAACAAAAACAGCCTGTTTAATCCAAAAGATAAAGAGAGATCCAAAAATGATGTTTTTGGTACATAAAACCACACAAGCTTTATAAGTAAACCTCAGGGGAGAGAAGTAGAATATAAGAAAAAAGTAGGATGTGGGCCTTGAAAGTAGCCCCAGAAGAAATGGTCTAAAATGGTGTCTGTATAAAATATAGTTTTGCTGTGAAAAAGAAGAAACCTTGCTAGAAAAACAGCATAGACCAGGATATGTTGTGTTTTGGATGCTGTTGGTCAGCAGCAATGAAAGTTAATATGCTCAAGCAAAGCCAGTATATGTTGTGTTTTTGATGCTGGTATGCTGGTCAACCATCATGACCTTGCTGTATGCCCAACTAAACCAGCACTGAATTATCACACAAAGGAAGAAGAAAGGTAAATTATATCCTGTCAGGCCTGTTGTGGATGTTTTGTGTGAAAAAATAACCAGATGGGATTGTAAACTTATCTTAAAGTTTCTTGCCAAGCCAGTTCCTTTGCTGAGTAAAAAGAGGATCATGCCTTCACCAATCCTGTTAATTATCAGGGTCATTAGGATCACCTGTGTTTGGTTGGCATAGTGGCTTTACATAGCTGGACAGACTCTGGTTATCTGAGCTTTGCTACTCTGAGCTTTTGAATTTTGAGGTTGGCTAAGTTCTCTAGTGTTCTTCACTGACTGGCCACCTAAAAATTCACAATTCTTTTCTTCAACTGGTTTCACCCCCCAAACAAACTCAACAGTATAAGGTTATGAGAATCATTTGTGTAGAACTATAGATTGTCCTGGCTGGTGAGGACGCAAACTCTATTAGTACTTTTGAGGTGAGATCGGCCATCCACAAACTTTCCTTTGACAGAAGATGGTTTTGTTGCATGTTATATGTTGGTAAGTTCTGCATTTATCTTTTAAGTCTCCTAGATTTTCATCATCTTAAACTTTTGACTTTAACAACTATGTATTTCCTTTAGTACCTCATGGCTTGTGATGGCTGCGGCTGTGGTGTCAGCTCAGAAGACTTTCAACCAAAGTAAGGACACTAGAAGACTCTTCTAAGTCTTGAACTCTAGCTTGAGACTTGTAACTAGGTGTGTAGAAGTGAAGTAAATCTTCTCAATTACATGTACTCAAGCACTATTTTAGATGGATCCTTGCTTGCTTATGTTTTGTCATTTAATATTTAGTTCATAATTCACTTTTGTTTTTCATGTAATTTTCTTTAGACTTAAATAGGATCTGTGGTTTAAGAACATCTTAAGAAAGAGGACTTTCTTAGGACCTTTTAAGAGAATTTAAGAGAACTTAGGAAGACATTGGTGAATGAGGCCCATTATTCTCAGACTTAACGATGCTTTTACTGGAGTATGAGTAAGTTAATCCACTCCCCCCTACTTGTAACTTGTGATTCTCATGCTTTGTAGGAGCTGGCTTGAATGCAGAATGCCTTGGGAATGTTATGAGGCTTACTGCTGATAAATCTCTAGCTTCTGGAAGTCAGCTTGAAATTAAGGCCATCAGTAAGTATGCTCAGAAGTGAGATCAGGCTTGGAAAGTGCTGACATGCAGGATGTGAACATGAGTTTTGTTTGATTTCAGATGGTTCACAGGTAGTGCCTTTAACACCTGCCCTGGCAGCTAAATGTGGCTACAGTATGGAGTCTGATCCTTGGGGAAATACTAAGCTCTACACATCACTGCTGAGCTGTTTTACTCAGAACCAGGTGAAGAGGTCATGATACTCAAACATCTGATGTGCAAAAGTGAACATGGGGCTGCTTTTCTGTTTCCACTGTGACTCTTTAAACTCAATCCAACAAAATGTTTTGTCCTGCAAAATGAGTGGACCGTTCTGTAACTATCACTTGTATGATGAGTTTAGTTTTTGTGTAAATGGTGTATATACCATGATGGGGCTGATTTGTCATTATCATTATGCCTGATGTTAAATCTATAATAAATTGCTTTCTAATCAAAGACCAAAATCTACATTTCAATTAATTGCAATTTATAGAAATTTGTACTTGAACATATTCAACAACAGTTGTAACACTGACCACCAAACATGCCCTTGTGACACTTATTCCATGTTCCCCTAATTTCTTCCCTCACATTCCCTCAGGGAGATCAAGTATTTGATATCAGGCTGCGCCTCCACCTGTTTGGTAACAAAGTGTCTGAGGAAGATGTAACTGAGGTCACACGCTCATGTGAATTTGAGCAGTGGGCTTCACGTGAGATTCTCTGTGAACGCAACTTCATGGAGGTAACCTTCTCACAGCAGCACTAATGAGAACTTACAGACCCTTTTCCTTTCTTGTTATGCAATGTTTGCCACTTTTATACGCTGAGTTGCCAGTTTTAGGTACACCGAATATGTATCTACATTCACTGGCCATTTTTATGAAACACCTACTATATCAATGCACTTTGTGGGTTTACAGTTGCTGGCTGTAGTCCATCTGTTGCTGCCCTATTTCTGCCCCACCCACCTCTTCCATCAGTGGGAAGGGAGAAGCTGACCAATAATGTAGGACTGAAAGATGAGCTGTAGTCTCTAATGTACATGTCAGTAGGTATGTCTAAATTGGCCAGTGAGTGTAGTGTTTAAAACTCTTAATTGATAGACAGGCTGGAAGGGAACTGACAAATACTTCAGCAGCAGAAGGGCTACGCAGTTTTGCACACAGTTTGTATAATCTCCATAGAAAAGCACTGCCAATAAAATGGGACACTTTGGAGTAGCTGCACATGAGCCTAGTCGCCATGCACAATGACAAGCCTCAGCTTTAGGGGGAAGGGTATAAAGCCCCCCCAGCATTGGTCTGTGAAACGGTGTTCTCTGGAGTGGTGGTGCTCCACTCGACACCTCTGGCATGAGTTGGAGTGGAGTTTGTGGCTCAGAATTATTCCTCAAACATCAGTGCCTGACCACACTAATGCTCCTGAGGCTGAATGCAATTATTCCTCACAGCAATATTGAACATCTAGTGTAAAGTCTTCCCAGAAGAGTAGAGGCTGTTATTGCATTAGTGACACTTAATAGTCTTGATTTTAGAAGAAATGTTGGATGAGCAGGTGTCAAACTTTTGGAAAATATTGTGTATAAATAACTAAACTATAAGGAACTACTGTTTAAGCATTCTAGTTGTAATGCAGATCATTTTTCTCCTAGGTCTCTGTAAACAGGTTACCCCCTGAGATATCCCTGCCTAAGCAGCAAAGGCAGGACGCCAAGGGTAACAGCTTGTTACCAGAGGTAAAATAAAAGGTGTTGAGCAGAATCGTTATGCCTTTTGGGCTCAGTTTTAACTCTCCTTTTTACAGGTTCCTACCTCCCTACACAATATTTGGAAGATGGTCTTTTACACACCCAAAGAGAAGCCCATGATGCTGGGGGACGTCCAGAAAGCTGGGTATGGTGTATCAACAACACCAACTCGGTTAGTGGTGCGAAGCCCTTACAACATGGCTGATACTTACTCTCAGAATGTAAGTGAAGCAAAGTAGAAGAACTACAAATACTGTTACATGTGTTTGTTTGTTTTTTTTTTGTTGGGCTAATATTTAGATTTTGCCTCATAGGTGGATGGAGTGCAAATGGAGGTCTTAAGAGTTACTACTTACTTCAGGAGAGGGTGGTCTGTAACATTGATGGACACTGCTGCGGCCTGTCCAACTGGTAAATTCTATTGATTTGATGCAGGATTTTGCAGAGGTCTTTAAATCAACAACTTTAACTCCACTTTCTGGTCCAGGATTTGGATAAACACTTGTTAACGGAACTACCGGATAGGAAATACCTATCGTCAACTTTTAAAATATCCAGAAACTGGATTTGAGGTCTGTTTTTGAAGATCAGTATTGGTGCATGGTGCTCCTCTGAAGGTGGTCATTCAACTGCATTCCCTCTGGAATACTGTAGTCAATTAGTCATCCTTAAATATGTGTGCTGTAATTTTGGGGGAAAAATAGGGTCTTTGCCCACTAAAAAGCATGGCATATTTTGTGTTTTTCCTGTGTACATTTTTCAGTCTTTTTTCAATTATTTTAAAGTTGCGCTGTAAGTTTGAGAGTGAGACTTTTTGTGTTTTAATCCTGAACCTACTTTCTTTGGAACATTTTTTAAATAAACAAATCATAGAGCAGCTTTTAGTAATTCTGAATAACAGTTGAACTATGGGGAAATTAGGCTTTGTCTTGTGTTGCATCCTAAAGAATTGTAAATAAATTAAGGATGCACCAATATGGGTACTTTGGGCTGATGCTGATGTTTTTGTGTAGACATCTACATTTTATAAATATATAAACTGGGAATAGATCCAGTTGGCTTAGCATTATGTAGCGAGAACACTTGTAGAGGATTACAATCAAGTAAAATGCAGAAATCTGTTTAACTTTACAGGTGGACTCCATTTCACTGATAACATGATCACCTGGTATATGCCCAGATACATCACCCCAGTAATGGTTCAAGAGCACAGTATCCTTGAACTGTACATGGGCATCGATGGCAAGAGGCTAGATCCAGCACAGATGAATGCTATGGGCTACACGTTATCTCTAACTGACTCCCATATCATAATCTCCCTCCCTGTGGGTGGACCAGATGGCTACTATAAGGTAAGGTGGTTTGCATTACTGCTTACTTCTAACTGTAAAAGTAGTGTGTCAACTTTTGATTTAATTGTTGCAGAGTCATGCTTTGGATTACAAGTACCATACCACCTACAGTATCGAACCAATGCTTGAGCTTTTGTGGAAGAAAGGGGTGTCTGACATCACCAGATACAAAGTCCACTACCCCATCGCCACACCACCCAAGCCTCAACCACCACAAATCACAGACAGTGAGTTCCTCCTGAGTGATGCCTAGAAATTAAGGAATTCTCCAACTAACATTTATCTACTGCATTTGTAGCACAGTGAGTTACTATAGACAGTGACTGACACATTTCTCTGTACCTGGTAAAAGAACTGAACCTGCTGACTCAAAACAATCATAACCTTCAGCACCTACGTTGGTTTCCATTATAAGTGACTACTACAATTTCTGTGACCTTGAAATACAGCAGTGCTACCGATGTGGTCGAGATTGGCTTGAAAAGTGCTGGAGTATTCAAACTTCCCAGTTTGGGCTTTAGTAACTTCAGATACACTATTTTCCCTCTGTTACAGATACAGTGGCAGAGTTGGGTTTTTTCAACATGTTGTTGGGCACCTTCCTCCATGATGTTGAGTTGATAAACATCACTTTTTCAACTGGAGTGATGACTCTGGCAGAGGCCAATGTCAGAGGCTTCAATGTGCAGCAGCATGGATTTGCTAATGGTTCCAAGGCTTTCACCATCCAGATCCCATTTTCTGATCCTGTTGTTCTGAAGGCTGTGAGTACACATTTCGTGACATCACACTCGCTTCTATTGTTGCATGACCAGTGGCATCAGAATAGCTGGAATTTCATTTCCTAGCTGCTTTCTTTGGTGTGTGTGTGTGTGTGTGTGTGTGTTGTGTTGTGTTGTGTGTGGTGTTTTTTTTTTTTTGTTTTTTTTTTTTTTTTTTTTTTTTTTTCCCTCTCCCACCCAGATCTGTAGTCCATTCAGTAAGCTCTTGAAATCATTGGCTGGAAAATCAGACAATTAGTGAAAGCTGATTGGGGGAAGAGGGAATATCTCATGTAATACCAATAATATTTGCTCAAATATTCCAGTAGATGCTGATTTACAAAATAGCAAATCAGTGGTTAACAAATTAGTAATACTAATAAATTACTAATTGCCTGGGGGGGAAATGCTACTGCTCCATCTTCTGCAACAGACAAAATAGTTGTTCTGTCACAACGTTGCTTCAGAAATGCTGGTTTTAGGGGATTTTAACGACAACTTTGTCAAATGTGATCATTTAAAAGAAATGTGGCAGTCTTTCCCTGACACTGCTAATTACTGAATCAGCTCACTCAAACCTAGAGGACCCCACCAAGTCTGCCCTTATTTGACTTCTCCAACAGAATGGGCAAAATCACTGCCTCAGGAGTTTTTGATCTTGTTTTCAGTGTTTACCATTGCCTATTGGCTGTATTAAACAGTTGCATCATGGGAAGAAAAAAGGCTCTTTTGAAGGTTCAAAGATGCTCTTTAAAAGTTAATGAGCAAGCTTACTTCCGACCTTCCAAAATTCACTTTGCATTCAAAATTGCAGACGTTGATTGTGCTAATCATTTTTAGTAAACCATTCCTAGCAGTGGTAAACAAACACCCCCTATAAAAAAACTAAACCAGAGATTGAGTCCCTGGTTTACTAGTTAAAATATCTTTATTGCTTAATGCAAGTAACAAAGCTTGGACGAACAACGACAAGAGAGCTGGCTCTGTTTAGGCAAGTAGCTCTGCTGTTAGAAATGCAAAAACATTGTCTAAGCTTGATCAACTCTTACATTTTTCAAAATTTCTGAAAAGCAGTGAATTTCCTCAAGCAACTCTTATCCCAACCAAAATCAAAAAGAACTTTGCCAAGCTTTTATTGTACATTTTTCTGCAGCTCATATTTAAAAAAAAATAAATAAAATAAATAAAAAAATACTGACTTAAAGCTGCTTCTGAATCAATCTTACATTAGTTCTACTGCTACCCAGAGCTATGATCTCTTCACACTCCAGACTTTCTCTCCATGCCTAGAGCCTTATGCTCTCGCTGCTATTAACCTGCAAAAAACTACAGGGAATGATGGTCTGGACCCCTATTTCCTGCATCTTTCAACCCTGGTTATTTTGGAATGTTACAAATTTTTAATCTCTATTCTATCTTGCAGAATTCCTGGTATCAGGGAAAACAGGTCATTCTGCTGCATAAAGGAGGTGGGGTGACAGATCTAAATATCTACAGAGCAATTTCAATGTCTCGTTTAGCTAAACTTTAGAATCTTTAGTGAATATCCAATTCAAATCATTTCTTTGAAAGCTCTGTCCTGTTTAACCTTAAATGATCTCTATGCTGCCTTAGACAGGAAGCAAATTGCTGCTACTTTTATTGATTTAATGAAAAGCATTTGACTCTGACCACTGCCTTCTGGATGTTCACAAATGATTGGCTTTATTAATAAACTCTGTGCAATGGGCCAAAAATTCTATAAAAGTTCTATAACTAAAGGAGTCCCACAAGGCTCAATACTGGGTCCAGGTTTATTTTATATATATATTAGTTGCTGTTCCAAAGTCTCTCCCTTTTTTGTTGATTTAGTTTTCTGCATAATTTGAGCACAGGAGCTGTCCTTCACATTGTGAAAACAAGTGACCAATAGTGCTCCACATTTGCTTGGTATTAAACTCTGCGTTTACTTGAATTGAAACCATTTTTTGCTATTTTCTGTAAACTTATCATTTTGGAGATACTTGTTTTGTACACAGATGCCATGACTTTTTGTTCAGCTGAATCTGCTCATGTAGCAACAGGAAAAACTCCAGTGCTTATTTAACACCTTACAGACTGCTCTGTACAAACACAAACTAGTTTTAAATGCCAAAAAACTATATGCTGTTCTTCAGATATTGACTTCAATACTGCAAATTTACTACCCTGACAGAATCCAGCACTGAGTCAGAGTAGAAGTACCTTGGCGTTTGGCTGAATGATGAACTTGTATTTAAATCTCATTAATAATCTAGTCAGTAAGTGTAGGCAGAGGGTTAAAGTCTTGTCTGCCTGCATATACCAGATAGCCGTGGAGGCAACCTTACTCTCAGTCTTTGACTACAGCATGTAGTTTATAGACATGCATCTGCCAGTAGCCTCAAACCACTAGACTCAATCTATCGCTCTGCTTTTAGATGGATTACTGGCAACTCTTACTCACCACTGCAGACTGTATGAAATGTTTCATCTCTGTCCACCTTTGGACAGCTTTTAACCACTTTTCACTTTATTTGGCTGATTAAAATCTTATTTTCCTTATTTGATCTTTGTTTTTACTTTTCACAATCCGTTTACATATTTTTCAGTGTGCCATACTTATACTTTTGTTAATGTATTAACTATCTTGTTCCCCTTAGAAAAAAATTTCTCTTACCTTTCCATTTATTTTGTTTGATTTTACTGTAAATTCATGTAGTCGTTTTAGTTTAAGCTAATTAAATTACATTAATTTTTCAATCCTTTTGTGCTGTAAATGCTTGTCTGTGTTGAATGAGGGTCACCCCCTATATGTATTTAAAAGTAAAGGTTTATTGACTTCTCTCTTTTTGAATCTGGTATTTAATCTTGTCAGTGGTCTTTGACCTGTTCTAACCAGTTGCCCTACTTCACTACAGAATATTGACCAGGAGACCACTACCTATACTCTTCCACTCATCTTTGGCTTGATAATCCTGCCTGAATACACTCCTTTTTCCCAGCCTGCTTTGCTGGAAGTTACTCTCCAGGACGTCAGTAAGTATTTGCTTGCATGGGGGGGTGTTGCGGGATTGTGTAGCAGGCGTCTTTGGGCTATTTTGAGCAAAGTCTTTTGTACTTATAGAGGCACTCTGGGCAAAATGCAAAATATAACCATGACTACATCTGTTGTGAACATGCTTACCACCTGCAATGGTGCTGTAGTAGTCTCTAGAGTACGATTTTGTAGTTTAAGGATTAGGAAAACCACCTGATGTCTTGAGGGTGGGAGGATGTTTTTGAAAAACTTGTACATATGTAAATGCATTGTTTTGTGACATAAAAACTGAATAAATGGGCAGTTTTAGCATCTTAATTTTCGTATATGGATTAAGGAGCAAAGGATGTTTTGGAACTTTAACAGTGTATAAACTCAAACGCTTTACACAAAAAGCAAAGACTTTTGGTTTTTCATGATATGGGCCCTTTAAACTTTGTGTACTGAAATATTTGCAGTGTTTTGCTGTCTGTGTGTAGATTAGCAGTAGGTATTTATCTCACTGAGTAATTGTTCTCTCTGGGTTGTCTTTGTGTCTGTCTGTGCAGTTCCACCAACTGTGAGTGGGAACTGTGATGATGAAAATTTCTATGTCACTGTGGCGTATGGGAACCAAGGCAAGAACTTCAACATTATGGTGGGCAGAAAGGACCTATCTGCTGACCTTTATGCAGAGTACAGTGTCCATGAGAACTCCACTCACTTGAGCATGACTGTGCCTTTCCTGGCAAATGAGGTCACTTTTGAGGTACAGTGCTTCTTTACTTGCCTCAAGGCATATGATTTTCTGGGTTTTTGTCTACACGTTTTCTTCTGCTTTTTCCCCCCCCTCCCCTCTAGCTGGCCCATCTGTCTTCAATGAGGGCTCGTCTTGATGTGCTGCTTTGGGAACCAGTCAATAACTGGCACCTCAACAACTTCTCCTTGGCCTGCAGCTTTCCCCTGACAATGACCGGTATTGTTTTATGGATTGTATATCTAGGTTATCTGCTCATTATCACTAGTTTGTTTTTATCTTATTTAAGATTAGTATTAAAGCTGTATGTAAACTACATAAATCTTTAATACATTTAATATAATTTTCACCTCCCTTTGAATGTTCTCAATCAGTCAAGACATGTTTGGTGTCTGAAGCTTTGTTTTGCACTGAACATACGAGTAATATGACAAATCTTCAGTACTGCGCAAAAGTCTAAGACCACCTTTCATTTTGATTTCCAGTTAGAACAGCCATAAAGTACAAGTTATTCATTTTCAGGAGATATTTCTGCAGAGATTACATAAATGATGCACTTCCATTAAAAATGGACCTGGTAGACAAAAAACTGTTCCAGTCAGATAAACGGTACTTACAGCTTTCATCTTTCAGTGGAGAAAATAAAGCTCCACTTTTCAGATCTGAAAAAACAGGTATTTGTCCAACTAAGCAAACAACTTATAAGACTGAACTTTGGAGGTGTGGAAAAATATCCGTGCTGGTTATTTGACTATTCCTCCAAATGTTCATTTAAAATAGCATTGTTTAAATGTCTAAATTGTCTTAGTTATGTTTAGCGGGGAGGAGCGCTGAAGTCATGCTTGCATTTAGTACTTGGATACAGTGAGCGTTCACATGTAAGATTTGAGGTGTGAAGTTACTGGAGTGTCTTAATTATATAATCCTGAGCTGAATTGTGTAAATAGACCAACTTTTTCTGATTGCTTCTTTTTCCAGAATGTTTCTCCAATGGAACAATGACTGCATTGGCAGTGAAGGTGGAATCTGCATCAGAGATGATCCCTGGCCAGTTGACACTGAAGGATCCCTCGTGTACACCCACTTTCAGCAACAGCCGCTTTGCCTACTTCTTCTTCGATGCAAGCAGCTGTGGAACGACTAGAACGGTGTGCCTGAGGAAACCCCCTCTACTAACTGAGCATCTCCATGTTGTAGTGTCTGTTTTAATTACTTGGAATTTTTTATTTATTTATATTTTTTTTTCCCTCCAGTTCTACGATGATGTCATGATGTATCAGAATGAAATCTCGGTGGTTAGCAGGAACGGCGCTGACCTTAAAGATGCTGTCCAACCAGATTATCGGTAATGCACACATCTTTCCTCTTACCCATTTGGTGTTAACTGCATTCATGCATACTGATTTTAACTTTTCATTCAATGCTAGCATGCTGGTTTCCTGCTACTACATGCTGAATGATACGCAGACAGTGACTTTCTTCACAAATCCACGAAGACATGAGCCTTTTGCTGAATCTGGTGTTGGAAAACTGCACGTCAGAATGAGACTTGCTAAAGGTATGTTTCATTGCACTCTCTAAGGCAGAGTTTCCACTTTTATATATAATTACATTTATACATAATTACATATAGAATTGTTTTCCCCTTAAATTTCTGCTAATTCAAATGCTTTATTTAGCAAACTGGAAAATTATGAATGCACCTTCAGTGAATGCATGGCTGAAAGTTTTCTTCGTTTCTAAGTTTGGAAAGAATAGCTTGTGCAACAAAATGTAAATTTGAGGTTTTTTATAACATGGAATTTGTCTGAAGTAGATATTGAGTCAGCAACGTTGAACACAAATGTATTAATTTACTCTATTGGCAGCATTATTTGCTTTTCTTTTTTTATTTTCTTTTATAAATTTTAATTTAAAAGTGAATCACTGTTTCAAGTATGGGACAATTGTACATTTTTGCAGTAATGCCATTCTGAGCTGATGCTTTATTAGATGGTGGAAAGTTTGGGAGAAAGGGTATAATTTGACCTGAATGTATGAATAATTAAAAAAAAATAAATTAATAGTAAACCTGTCAAATGCAAGTTTCTCAAAACTGTCATAAATCAGTGTGTCCAGTGTATTTGTAATGATTTCATGTAACTACTTCCTGTGCGATAACTTTCACCTCTGCCCTGAATGACTGTGTACTACTTTTTACTCTTTCTGAATTATGCAGAAATATTGGTGCAATTTCCCTTTAAATGTCAGTGGTTCAGTTCTGTCCTGGCCCCTCATTTACACTGTGCACTTACTTCCTAATACACCCAAGTTAATCTGTCAGGTAGTTATAAAGCCCATGATGGGCACTGTGCCAGCAGCAGAAGCACAGATCTCTGCAGGGTAGAGCTCTATTGCTGAATGAGTTATTTGAAATACTCACTGTTACTATTCACTTGACAGATTCCTCTTATAATACCTTTTATATGGAGGAGGACTACCCAGTAGTGCAGTATTTAAGAGCACCGCTGTATTTCGAGGTGGACCTGATTCAGTCCACGGACCCTCGAATAGAACTGGTCCTGGAGAACTGTTGGGCTTCTGTCAATGATGGAGTCTCCACAATGAGCTGGGACCTTATTGTGAATGGGTAATGTTTCAGACAGAAGTTCTTAATACAGAGAAATGGAACTGCCCTAATGTGTTTTTGCTGCTTTCTGAACAGCTGTGAGAATCCTGACGACCATTATCAAACCACTTTTCACCCCGTTGCGTTTGATGAGCAGGTTCGGTATCCTCCCCACACAAAACGCTTTGAAGTGAAGATGTTCACCTTTGTCAAGGATGACACGATCCTCAGAGATCAGGTAACTATTACTCACTGTTTAGCTCATTGGTGACCGGTCTTGTTCTGATTGGTCTAAAGCCCATACTTCAAACTCTAGGCACAATCCTATCCGGCCCACAAAACTATTTTATTTTTCCATTAATATTAGCCTGTTTCATAACGTGAGGCACTACAATCCCTTGCAAGCTGTAAGTGGCTGTTTCACTGTTGATGTTTTGGTGTATTTTGAATAAACAATGGATTGGGTTATAGCAAAATGTTATTTAAATATGATATAAAAACATAGGTGTTCTCTGGCACACAGATTTGGTGGGGGGGGGGCGTGGCACATTTAGTGGTTGTTAGACACCCCTGGTCTTGTGACTTACCTTTTGCAGTTATACCTTGAATTAACATCTAAAGGGACTTGTGAATTATTTTAACTTTTTATCCTTTTTTTTTTATTCAGATGTATAATTATGGGCAAATTAATGTCCATACATTTCTCAACATATCTTTTTTTTCTTTTCAAATCCACTTATTTATGTGGGGGTTTGTGCCTAAAACATTCATCTCTACATGACTATCTTCTATAAACAGGCTCTTTGTACTGTCTAAGATTGATATGTAAATTAACTTTGTTCTGATTGGCTGCCCTATTGTGCCCCATTCAAAAAGCAGTCTGGGCTGAAATGCTCTTTATAATGTCTGGGTGGGGCTGAACTGCTGTAGGCCGAGTGGGTGGATATATTTAAGTGTGTTTGACACACAGTGAATTCAGAATGAGCTATTCATGCTTCCTTAAGTGGACTAAAGTTTTGAAGCTTTCTGTTTTTATGTACTGTTAAACTCCTGAATAAAACTAATTAAAATTTCTATTATCTGAGCCCTTTTAATTTGACATTCCACTTTCTATGACCAGAAAACTAGATTTAGTGGGATAAATGAAGTGATTCATTTAGCTTTTAGCTGTATGGTTTGATCAAATGTGGGATATTTTCTACAGGTTTGTGCTCAGGTGAACTTGGAACATATGAACTTTTTTTACATTTCCTGATATAAACATTTAATAAAATGGACACATTAAACCCAACTTCTAGATCTTTGTTCACTGTGAAGCTGTGATCTGTGACATCAACCAGCCTGATGCCATCTGTAGGAGACAGTGTCCCTCACAAAATGTGGGCAGAAACACCAAGGGTATGAGCCAAATTTGTCCTTTCCCCCTTCTGATTCTCTGCAACTGAACCTGCTTTAATTTGTCTCCTTTGCCTTTCTTTCCAGTGCGCAGAGGTACAGCTCCTAAGCAGCTCCGCAGGAGGCATATCTCCTCAGGGAGAATTGTGCTTTCAACCCTTAGATCTGATTTAAATAAAAAGCTGAATTAAACCAATGGTGTCCTTAGATTTTGTTCCACTACATGTTCTGAAAGCCTTTTTAATGTGCTGCTTCCAGATGAACAGTCACTACTTGTCCTTTCCAGTCAAGTCTGCCCTCGGTCCTGCTTCTGAATAACAATTCACTCACACCTGCTTTCAAATTGTTCAACTCACCAGACTGAACAGAACCCTTGGTGTTTGTGTGCGGGTGCCTTAGGCATGTTCACAGAGCCAGCTGTGGTGAAATGCCATGAACTAAATTGCAACAATCTCTGCATCTCATTTCATTCACTTTATAGGATGATGTTTGTGGGTATGTCAAAGGGAGTATAAAGGATATCTGACATTTTAATCAGCATGTGCTTGGCCAGATTTGAGTAACAATTATTCTATGATCATGACCTTTCATTAAATGGGAGTTCCAGCAATTTTTCAAAATTCCTGCTTAAGTGGTTAATACATGAACAAAGTTGTTTTGAGTGTTTTAATGTAAAATGCAAAGTTCTAGAGAAACTCAGAATTGTTCACATGATTGTGATGGGAGCCACATGTCTGAAGAGTTTAATGCCTCTAAAAGCTCCATTGAGGAACATTTTAATACAAGAAATGGCTAACAATACACTGCCTGATGCCTGAACACTTATTTTATGAAGGTTTTGGCCTAAACATTTTTAAAACCTTAATGGTGGAGAAGCAAGGAAAAAATCTTTTCAGATTTACCACTATTAATAATTATTAACATTACATATAAAAACTCAAGGCACTTGTAGTTTTGCTGGTCATTTTGGATAGTAAAAATAGTTTATATCTCAATGAATGATTTATGCTGGAAAAAAAACATTTCCTTAAAAAAATATTCTTTCTAAAAATTTAAATTCATTCACTACCAGTCAAAGGTTTGGTCACATTTATTCATAGAAATATTTTACTTTAGTTACCATGTTCAACTTTTTTGAATAATTGGGAAAGAAACAAAGTATAAGAATAACATATGCAGAGAACAAGCCTTCAATCTAAATATCTTCTATTTTAGATTATTTTAAGAGGTGGCCCTGCTTTGTTGAAAAAAAACCATTCAGTTGGAGGTGCCCAAATTTTGACTGGTAGTGTAAATTTTGTTAGGATGATGATAAACTTGTCCCCTTAAATCAGATTCTCAATACAATATCTCAAAATAGTACCATGTTGTTGCATGGCTTACTTTTGCACATGCCAGTGTGGTTGTTGATTGGTGCTGTTTACAAACTTTGGTGCTCAAATAATGCATTTGCACTCAATGCCATAATTAACAGAATGACTGGTTTACACAATGCACATGATAGCACAGTGTCACAGTGCACTGTTACACCTATAATATTTAGGCTTCTTTGGGTGTTTTGATGTGCATTGGATGCCCAATTCAAAAACTCACATTTCAGAAAAACCTTTTTCAGTTCACTCTGGCAGAGCAACTTCAATAGCTGCTGGTGCTCTGTGGTTAATGTCTTTGGCTAATTCCTCTGTCTGAGGGGTTATTCTGAAGGTGTGAAACCTGTGTCTGTGAAGGCTGGAGGCCACTCTGTTAATGGCTGGTCATTATCTGCTCCAATTGGTTGTATGAAAAGGCCAGGAGTCTGCTGTTTGAAGTTTTGAGGCTCATTTTTAAATCACATCAGTTTGCTATAATTCTGATCAAAGTCAAAAGACTCTTTGTTGTACTAAAAATTCCAAACAGGCAGATCGGTGATTACTTTTAACTACCGGAGGAAAAAAATCCTGTTCAGAATGTGTGTTCAGAAAATGGATGTACTTTACATTTCCTTCATATCAGACTACGGCTGAAGTTCAGTTAATACTCCAGCTTCATGAGTGAATATGAATGAGTAAAGAGATAACAAAAACAACTGCTAACCAACACATTTGTCGTGAACTAAAAAAATCAGGTGTGTGTGGACAGTGAACTATCTAGACTATAGCTGTTGACTGCTTTTGTGTATTGAAGAGTCTTTGATTCCTGTTTAGCAAATCTATTGAGCTGTCAAGAGGATACAGGAGAGGCGAGACAAGATGATAAGATGCTGATCTTGAAAAAACACCTAAATATTCAAGAAATGTAAAAAAGATGTGAGATAATATATACAGACAGACAGATACATAAATAGAGCCCCGTTTCCAAAACGTGATGTCAGCAACACGTTTTTATAAAGTTAGGATGGGGCAACAAAAGACTTGAAAAGAAAAAAAATACACCTGGTGAAACATCTCACAACTAATTAGGTTTATTGGTGAAAGGTCAGTAAAATGATTGGGTATAAAAAGAGTATCCCAGAGAGGCTGAGTCTTTCAAAAGTAAATATGAGGAGGGGTTACTGCTGAAAGACTGCAGGCAAATTGTGTAATAATTCAAGGACAACGTTTCTCAACAAAAATTAGCAAAAAACTTGGGGATTTCAATATCTACAGTACATAATATCATTAAAAGATTCAGAGAATCTAAAGTAATCTTTGTATGCAAGGGACAAGACCAAAAACCAATATTGGCCATCTTCAGGCCCTGAGGTGGCACTGCATTAAAAACAGACATGATTCTGTAGTGCAAATCACTGCATGAGTTCAGCAACACTTCTGAAAACTACTGGCTGTGAATACAGTTTGTCGCTGTATCCACAAACACAAGTTAAAATTTTGTCACGCAAAGAAGAAACCATATGCACATATGATCCAGAAATGCTGCCACCATATCTGGGCCTGAGCTCATTTAAGATGGACTGAGCTGAAGTGGAAAAGTGTCTTGTGGTCCAACAAATCAAACTTTAAAATTGTTTTTGGAAACACTGTTCCTTGAGGCTAAATAAGAATAGTGCACATGGCATGGGTAACTTTCACATCTGTGAAGGCACCATTAATGCTGAATGATATATACAGATTTTGTACCAACTTATGCTGCCATCCAGATGACATGTTTTTCAGGGAAGGCCTTGATTATTTCAGTGAGACAGTGTCAAACCACTTTCTGCATGTATTACAACAGCATGGGTCCGTAGTAAAAGAGTCCAATTATTTTAACGTTGCTGGCGTCACATTCAGAATGGGTATATATTTTTGCATTCTATTTTTATTTACATTTTACACAGCGTCTCAACTTTTTTTTGGAAAAAAAGGGTTGTAGAGAGATAGATAGCAGGTATACATAGATAGATTGTAATTAGAATGTATGTATGTATACATAGCCCAGAAATACACAAAATTATGCATAAAAAATTTACATAGTGTGAATTTACATCTGTGCACAAACATGATAAAGTGCTAAAAATTGTAATAAAATTATTTTAAATAAGCTAAAATGCTTTTTTTCTCCCCAAACTGCAGTAAAAGCTGTCTGAGCAGGCAGGCATAGCCGCTTCAGGGTCTGTAGGTGCTACGCTGTCAATGGATTCAGGATGTGAGTAGCCCACAGAAGACTGTATCTCAACCAAAGACGTAAATGTTTTTTCAGCTGATGTGTATTCGAGGAGGGGATTCCATTACAGTCACATATGAACCTGTAGGCTCCTGGTGGATGCCACATTCACACCTACAGCCCATCAGCCGCGCAGGACAATGAGCTCTGAGGCCTGGCCTGCTGCCGGTGCGGTGCTAGCCGCAGTTTATCACACTTCTCAAACCACTTTGATCACCTGCCTGCAAATGGCTGGGCAGACTGGTATAAATGCGGCCGCCTGCACGGACAGCTCACTCGTTCAGTCGCAGCTGAGCTGGGATAAACACAGATGGCTATGTCGACCGTACACGGTAAACTCCTGCCAGGAGACTTCGCTCAGTTCCAGCCGTTTCCAGCCGGAGTCCTCGAGAGGAGCACCAGCGCTCCGCTCACAGGTGGGTGAAGGTCGTTACTGCTCTCATGTGGATGTTAACAGCGAGATTACAGGGACATGACAGCAATAACAATGCAAAATCTCCAGAAGTTGTGCTAAAAATACTCACCCATAATTCAGTAACCCGATAATGTGGTGTAACTCAAATACTTCTACTTTGAACCTGAAACTGGTTTCAGCTCTATGCACATTGGAAGCCTATGGGAATTCATTTTTGTACAGCAGGCCTATGCTTTAAATAGCTATATATATTAAAAAAACTAGAGACCTCAGAGTTTTTATTTATTTATTTTTATATTTTTGTGTGGAAAACATATCGCTTTTCTCATATATTCTATTATAGAAACTCACTGTGACTTTTCTCCCCAGACTACATCCTGCAGAACAGAGCGAGGCAAGTAAACCCCAGCAGGCCGATGGAACCTAGAGTGGACAGCATGGCCCTGCTGACACACCGCAGAAAGAGAACCAACTTCACTCAGCAGCAGATCGAAGTTCTGGAGAAAGTATATTCTGACACCAAATATCCTGACATTTACTTAAGGGAGAGACTGGAGGCGTTGACTGGTTTACCAGAATCTAGAATTCAGGTAAGAATTTTTGTATTACTGGTTTATTATGTGTTAAAAGAATTAGCCAGTGTCCCCCAGTAATTATCACAGACAATTTAGCCAAATTATTTCTTAAGTCTGCAATAGTATAGATAAGGAGAGGATTAGGTATTAATGAATTCATAAACAATTTTTTTTGTCTATTCCAAAAAGGTGTGGTTTCAGAACAGACGTGCCAAGTCCCGACGCCAGGTAGGAACGCCCATTCCCATGAAGCCCAGAGGAAACAGCCAGATCTTGACCAAAGTGCCTACAGCCTCATTCTCGGTGCTACAAACCCAGCCTGATCTTCAGCGGATGGCCAGCTTCGCCGTGAGAGACTCCTTCACCCAGCCAATGATCAGCGCAGAGCAGAGGCACTGCAGGGCTGCAGATCACAGCTATGACTCAACAGCCATATCAGGGCTGTTCAGTACAAATGAAAATACAATCAAAACAGACCATGCCAAGCAAGACATGACACCCTGCAGCAACCTCTATCAGTTCCACAGGGCAACTGGACACGTACCAGCTCACAACAAACTGGAATCTGCACCTAAACACATGTTGGTGGACTATGATAATTTCCCTCCAAACAGGACCATCGGCCCCGACATGAAAGTGGTCATTCCTCCCATTCCAACACAGATGAACTTCTGCAGGTCATCACCCAAACAGCTCACTGGTCCAGTCCAGCACATGCCAGTCAGAATGCCACAGGAAAACTTTGGTCATTTTTCACCAATTCGTGGCAGCGACGCAGGCGAGTTCTCTGATTCTGACTCTGACTGGGAGAAGGAGGCCATGGCTGGTTTTGCTGGTTTTATATAGTAGCTTACAGTTAATATTTGGACTGTTGTCACACACTGCCCCATCACCACAATGAGTCACAATGGTAACAAATACAAAAAAAAGTTTAGATTTGGAATCAATTATTTATTTTATATTTAAATAGTTGCACTGTATCACTGTTGGAAAAAAATATATATAATAAAAGAATTCAAATGTACATGAAAAGTCTGCCTCACTACAAAAATGCAGGAAAACTATTTTCTGCATCTGACATTTAATAGAAATTAACAAAATGTATATACACATTTGCAGTTTACAGTTACCAGTTAAATAAAAACAACTGGTGAAAATTACCTAAAAGCAAAATCAACACCTAAATGAACATACACCAGTGATGTATTGGCAATTACTCCTCAGATGGGGAGGGTGTAGCCATGTGGAGACAACAATCTGATGGGTGCCACCCACATAGCTGTCTACAACTGTATGCTGGGTCTTTTATAAATCAAATCTGATTCTTTACAAAAATACTTAAAAGTAGTTATAAAACATCCACATTGACACATACACAGCCAATGCATCAACAATGTGAGTAAACTGTACAATTATCTACAATGTACATTTCAAAAATGGACAGTGCGATTATCTCTGTGGGGAGCACTCAAAAGTGTAGAGGTTGCAAATCAATTTCCCTTTTTGCGAGGGAGCATAAAAATCTTAGTGTAAGCATTAACAGTTAATGGTGAATGAACATACTGACTGATCAGTAAAATTACTACTTCTCACTTCTGCAATTTAATAGGCTGCTCCACTGCTCAAGCATATCTGCTTGTTTAAGACAGGGAAAAAAAAACAAAAAACAAAAAACAACTTCTATTTGACACATGACCTGCTCAAGGTTTCAGTCAGTGAACATATGAGCTTAATTTCCTAAATATGTCCAAGAAAATGTGCACAAAAAGTGGCTGTGGGCGCAGAGATGGCTCAGAGTCCATGTTTTGAGACAGGGGTTTTGTCTGGTCTCTGTTTCAGTCACGTTCTGTTGGTGTTGTTAGCAGAGAAAGCATGGAGGTTACCCAGCTGGCTCAGGCCACTCTGGATGTGTGCTACATGGATCTCCACATTGTCCTGGAAACAGCTGGAGGAGGCGGAGACAGAACAACAAAATGAGCCATAAGAAAGTATGTCTAACAACTATAATTTTGTTTAAAAGTTTACATCAAATGGTCACCATATCAACCACATCTAACCTATGATTAATGTGCCTTGCTTAGCCTTGGTTGCAAAGTTGGCCAAATCATACACTCTTACACCAAACAACCTCAACTGAATGAGACTGGCATGACATTACCTTGAGAGAAGTTGAATTCATTATATATATATATATATATATATATATATATATATTTTAACTGGCTCAAAGGAAGTCTTACTGAACAGCAAGCCACCTAGCTATCTTCTACATGCTTATTAAATGTGACGGGAAGAAATAGCCACATCAAATGAAAAGCCTTTACTGCAACTTCAAACAAAACACAATGAATGTTAGTAAGATAGGGTCATATACTAAAAGTTTTAGCATCCCATCCTCAAATTGTTTTACTGCAATTTAATTGGCTGTTCCACCATTTAAGAATATCTTGTTTAAGACAGTGGGGGGGGAGCACCTCTATTTGACACAAGGTCCTGCACCAGATTTCAGTCAGTGAACATGTAAACTTGCTTTCTTAAATATGTTAGAGAGAATGTGCATTAAAAGTAGTTGTAGGCACAGAAATGGCTCATAGTATCTGGGTCAGTCACTTTTGCGTAAGACTGTAGCTATGTCTGTATTTGGACAAGTTGAGCAGCAAGGTCATTTCATTGTGTTGAATGAGGTATCACAGTAACAGCACAGGACAAGACAGTGATCTGTAAATCATTCATACCAGCGTATAATTAACATCAAGTTCCATAGCTGTGACACAAACCCTGTCAAAGTTGGCAGGTCTGCTAAAGATAAGTAGAAACAAGTATGTTTTACCTGAGATTGGAACTGTCTATCGAACTCTTAATGTCGTTCAGGGAATCCGTTAACGACTTAAACTCGAATGAATTCAGGTCACCACCTTCTGCCAAGCACTGCAGCGACAAACAAACCACAAAAAGAATGAGTCAAAGACATGTTACAAGTTTTGTTGTAAAGCTATGAATGCATACAAACAAGTATCCTACTTGGCCATCTATGAGTACAAGCAACTATGTTTACATGTACACAATAGCCTTCTCTGTCTACAAAACAAAACAAAAAAAGGGACCAAACCAAGATGTTTACATGAGTTATGTGAAAGACGAGCCGATTTCTAGTTCTGTTTACATGCACACCAGCATTCTTTTAGCTAAGCCTGAACAATTAATCTTTTTATATTGAGATCACAATTTGAAAGAATGCAATTATCAAATAAGATCTGTTATATAGCTGTTCTATATTCTACACTGTTTAATGTTGTCTTAAGTTTTAAGTGGTTAAATGTAACCTAATAACGCACAGCTTTTGAAGTGACAGTCTGGCACACTCAACATTCAAGCCTCAAATACAGAAATACAGAAAACTGTCACATTTAAATTGCATTCATAATACTGCTTAGAAAACTGCAATTACACAACAAGAAACACTCACGTCATTACACATGCAAGCTTATACAACTTTGAATTTCCCACCTTCAACCTAAACATCTCAAGGTGTCTATTTCTGTCATGTTTAACTAAGCAGTACCCTGATGAGAATCATAGTATTTACATATTTTAAATATTTCATCAAACTTTATGGTATACCAACAGCTTATTGCACATTTGGCACTGAGCATTTTTCTTGCTGTTTGGTAATTTAAAATGCTCTCAGGCTCTTTTAGCTTCAATGACCACATGAAAAGCAGGCAGGTCCTACCTGATCATATTAGATTAATTAGAATAATACTGAGCCACTGGTGTGCATTTAAGCGTTTAATGCCTCACCCTGATCTGCAGCAGGAGGGCAGTGAGTCGAGAAACGAGCTGAGTAAGGCTGGGGCTCTGGACACGCTGTTCCCCATCCGGCAATGCATTGGACAACCTCATCACATCCTGAGCTTCCTCCTCACAGCGCCTCCGCAGCTCACTGGGCTGATCTGCAGGCTGCATGCCTTGATCTGGGGCCAGCTGTCGAGCAAAGAAGTTACAACAGCAGTAATGAGTTACATAGACAAGTCCTAAAACAGAGACTGATGAGTGACTGAACTGTGGCTTCCTATAAAAGCCAAGAAAACATCAAGTACCAAGCTAAACCAACATATTTTGAATAGAGATCATATAACATTTCAATGAGAGTAAGGCCATATGCTTCTCATTGAGGCTCATTTACCTCATAACAGAACTGCTGAACCTCATGTAGGACTTTGTTTAGGTCTTTATTAAGCTGCTCCAGGTCCAGTACTGTGGTCGCATACCTCTTCTGAAAGTCTAACCCAATCTGCATGGAGTAGGACTTCTGCAGAGGAATGGAAGTTATGACATGTTAAATATGTTAAATAAAAGGGTTTACGTGATCACACCAGTAAATTAGGAAATACCTTCAACAGCACACTTGATTTAACCTAAAGTACTGCTTAGCCAAATCAGGTAATGGATGACAACTACAATTAATAATAATAAATAATTCCCAGAGGAGGGGTTTGTAAAACAAAAATCACTGACATATTTAAAAATAATACTTATTGATTTTAAGTAAGCCTATGAATTGACAATTAAATGTTAATTAATTTATTAAAGTAGTTTGTATTTATTATATTAGTGTTTATCTGAGCAAATACATGCTTATTGCCCAAAAAACACAGGTAATGTTAATTTAACACGACATTCTGGTGAAAACTGAATTACCCCTAATTATGTGTTTAAAGAAGTCACCAACAACGTATCATGAGTATGTATATATTTCATGTCTTCAATCTGCAGAAAACTAATCTTTTTTTGCAAAAGTTCCTCAAGTCAATCTGATTTAGTTAGAATATCAGGACACCACACTAACAACTGTGAGATAGAGCCAAGAAAAAAAAAAGGCGAAGAAATTTTCCTCATGCAGAAGAGGAGCTTAGTGAACAGTGAATGGCAAAGAATGCAATCAGTGCATCACTACCCTCCAAATAACAGAATTTTATGAGGAAAACATACCAGTTTTTCAGCTTCAGTATTCATCTCTTTTAGATGCTTTATGTGTTCCTTCTTTATCATGAGGATTTTGGACAATCGTGTCTGAAAGGAACAAAAGTAAAATAAATTTGAGGGCTCAAGCAAGTTCACATAAAACGTAAGTATTAAACAGACACTCACCACCTGGACAAGAAATTTGACAGGAAACCCTCCCAGGGTGTCTCCATCACCTCCAGTCAGTTTACTTCTCCAGGGTGACTGACTAAACAGAGGATCATTGTCCTGCAGAAATACAGTTGAGAGAAACTATGGTTCTTTTTCCTTTTATGCTAACTTAGAAGTTAGCATAATAAAATTCAAACATGTGGGAGTCACTCAGTGTGTTTAGGTGTTAAATAAGCTAAAGAAAGAAGACATCTTTCCATGTTACCATTAAGATGGGTTGGGTTGAACCTGGATAAGACCCACGTGGAGGAGTCAGAAAGTTCTGAAAGCGAGATGGACGTTGTTTCTGGGCAAAGGCGGATATGGGCATCGTCTCATGAGGCTCATTACTCTGTTTAGATGGAGAGAAAGTGGAGAGAGAAAGAGAAAAAAAAATTCAGGATTTTAGGAATCAAAATCTGGTGTGTAAAGTCAGCCAGAGACTACATAAAAATAACAGGCTTACAAGCACTTCATAGTCTGGAACTGTATGTGTGCCAAGTCCACTTCTGTCAAAGGTAACGCGATACGTTGCTGCACTTGTATCCACTGCATCAATCTGTCCAGTAAACAGGCCGTCATGGAGTCCTCTGAGTCGAGCTAGGGTAAATAAATAAGTCAATCACTTTAAATATGGCACATTTTAATACTAGTTACAATGATTAATTATACTTTCACCAGGCAATGCAGTCTCTGACCAAAAAACAAAGCAACATGGATACTGGCATTTCTTTCTTTTTTTCCCCCCATTTTTTAAATATTTCTCACAAAATGCATCAAAACATGGTGCAATAACCATAATCTCATATCATGAAACTTCTATAGTTATTAGAGGTGTTACGGTTTGATTTGTTTTAACCTTATGATAATCTAGTCAATACTATCCTGGTTTCACTATATTTCAGGTGACTTCCACCTTTTTGTCAAAATTTCTGCATCATTTAATGGTTGAGATGTGAAATTGTTCTCTGTAGAGAAACAAAGCCACTCAATTTTTTTCTTCATTTTACAGTGTTGGTGATCAGAACTAGGGGTTGTGATGTCTACAATGCAAATATGGTCATTTTATTTACTATCCAAAACCACCAGTAGACCTACATGTAAGTTTTTATATTGTTGCTTAAAAAAAAATTAAAAAAAGAAAGAAAACGTGTCTAAAATGACAACTTTACAGACACAAAAAGGTTCTTCACTTTTAATGTTAGCTAATGTAAAGAGATGTTTGCCTCAATGCCTTGCAGGTACCCTTCTACCATGTATGCACAAAAAAAAATTGGGCCAAAGTGTTCTCAAACTATTGTTAATGTCTCAGGCATCAAGCAGTGTATACATAACCATTTCATATAAAAAACTTCTGGGAGGGGGCTTTCAGAGCCATTAAACTATTTAGACGTCTATCACCACTACTGTGAACAATTCTGAAATTCTTCTTCTGGGATAGAGTACTGCATATCGAACCACTCTGAATGACTCTTTATATCCTAACCTTTTCATCATGCAGATATTTTGAAAAATATCTGGTGAAATTTAAGCACTTCGTAAAAATGTAAGAAAAAAATTATGAAATATGAACACTCGTGCATTCGATATATAATTCGACATTACATTGTATTATCCTTGAAAGGTTTATTCTGAACAATTTCTTTTTCCTTTGGACAGAATGTTTTCCCATGTATTAAACAAACAAAAAGCAAAAGGAAACAAAAAGATTTAATCTCTAACCACTTTTAATTTTTTCCTATAAACAAAGGCATAAATGTTTTCCTGATATATTGGTCAGGTTGGGGAACTCTGGGGAATCATGAATGGTGGCTAAACAAAAAAAGATAAATAATAATAATAATAATAATAATAATAATAATAATAATAATAATATATATATATATATATATATATATATATATATATATATATATATATATAAAATTAGAGTGGCTTGTCCTTAAAATCTCCTTGCTCAGGGATATGCCGTTGTCTAAAACAGACTGCCTGAGTGACTTAAATAACTATGCCATAAATAAATAAATAAATAAATAAATATAATTTAAAATGTAGACATATAGCTTGCATGTAACGACTTAATCAGAATACAAAAAAACTTGTTACAGTAAAAAGACAGTAATCAGAAAAATGCATTATTAAAAACAAGGTGATTACCAGTACGACTACATTGAACATGTCTTTTGCTGAAAACAGTCATTTTTATAAGTAAATCACATGAATTGTGTAAATCTGGAGAGTTTTTAATTTGGATAAGAAAAGCAAGCAGGAGGATCATGATTCCAGGAAAGATGTTTTGAAGTATTCAGAGTATTTTATTTTTCTTGGTAAAAGTAATCTGCCGTGTTTGAAGATATTTGAATTTACCCTGGTTTTCCATACTGCCAGATTCTACTGCTTCAAACTGATCTGACCTGAAATAAGTTCTTTTATTCTCGTTTGTGGCTGATGCTTGTGGACTAGACATAAATCAAACCTTTGCATGCAAACTAACAGTTCCGAAATGTGGAAAGAAAGCAAAGCAAATTTCTACTGGCTGCTGAAACTGCTGAAAGTTAAGGAACTGTATGTATGCGTTAACTACAGACATAAGCTTCAGAGCTACTCTACCCTTCCTATTAAGTTCACCTTTATGGCAAGCCAGAATAAGAAAGCTGCTCTAATGTGTATTAAGGCGAATCTAGAGAGAGGGGATTGTGGCCAAAATAGGCTGAGAATCACTGGTATGGTTAAGGAAACTAACTCAAACACAAGAATTTTTATCCGTAGTTGGAAAAGTCAATGGTGAGGTTACCATCTGACTAAACACACTGTGACTAACCATCAAATTACAAGAAACCCTGATCGTTACACCTAATATGTATCTTCTAAATAGCATATAGCACAAGGAGACAAAGGGCAGATAAATGGTAAATGGTAAATGCCACAATTCATATAGCACTGTTTAACGAAAAAGGTCCATCATGGATCTTTTAACATTGGGCTGTAGGTTAATGATGGCCCTCCATGTAAATGTTTCCCCAGTTAAAAGGTATAAACACTTCAAACTCACCAGTGACTTTAGTGCCAATGACTAATGGTAAAGGGATCTCATCTGGCAGATCTTTGCAATGTGATATGTCTGTGATCTTTCTCTGTTGCAACAAACGCATCTTCTGCCTCTTCTGCTTCAACGCTGTTCGCTCCTCAGCAAAGAATGCAGAGGAACACCTGGTAAACAAGTCAATGTCAGCACAGCTTTCTCCAAACAAACAGGTCAGTACAGTAGTTACAAAACAGCTAGTTATTTCCTCACTGTCACTATGATGAAAATGCACTACATAAACATTCTTGCAAAGCATCACTGAACCTTCTGGGTTTGCCCATTAGTCGTCTGATGGTTCCCCATTCCACCCTGGTCAGCTTTCTTGTTTTCAGATTAGGGAAAGACTCCTTCAGGCACAAACAGAAGTCATTGTCTCCTTCAAATAATGGTCTATGAGGAAGAAGAGAATGGTTAAAGCATACCTAATTTCCATCTTGAATAATGGCTTTAATATACTTTATACATCTCAGTCACCCTCAAAACAGTGGCACGACTTACTTGTCAATATTAGAATAAAACCACTCATAGATGCACCATTTGTGAGCTTTGGGCAGTTTGAGCAGGTTTCGTAATCTTAATCCAATCTTCTGTGAAGCCCTTTTATCTGGTGTTGTGACATTTGCAAGTTTCTATAGGCGGGGGACAAAGATCCATCAGTTTTGTTTTGCATAAGCTGTTATACTATATATCCAAAGTAATGTAGACACCTGTTCACCATGTTTCTTTTGACATCAAGTGTGTTAATAGGGAGTTTGCCCCTCTTTGCGGCAATAGCAGCCTCTAATCTTTCACGAAGGCTTTATACTAGAACATTGCTGTAAGGATTTGATAAGACCATTAAAAGGCGTCAGGCACTGATATTCGTAGATTAGTTCTGGAGCTCCATCTCATCCCAAAAGTACTGAATGGAGCTCCGTCACTCCAAAGAACACTGTTCTACTGCTCCACAGCGTCCCATTCTATTGGTCAACGTTTTTCTATGGAGATTACACTGTTTGCGTATGCAACTGAATGCTGGTGTCAGCACTGGGTGTACCTTAAAGGATCTGAATTCACTAATTAGAAGAGGTGTCTGGACACTTTTGGACATATAGTGTACATCAACAATCGTTTTAAGTCGAGTAGGAGGACGCAAAACCTGAATAGGCCACCTTACCTGAGGCACAGTGGTGACACGCTGGCTCCTCCTGGGGGATCTGGAGCTGAGCGGCCGCTCCTCCTCCTCAGAGGAAAAACGACTCCTCTTTGAGCTTCTCGTCGGCTAGAAATTCAACCAGAGAGGATTTAAAAAAAAAAAAAACATCAATAAACAAAAAGATACAAGACACTTTATCTTTGTGAGATTACCCATGTATGTGTTATCATTCTGAACATACTCCAAGTAAATTATTTGAGCCTTTATACGTTTTGCTGTACCATTATAAGCACTTGAAGAATAAGCAAATTCAACAGAAACTGTGTGTGGAGGAGGGTGTGTGACTGGCTCTCCGTCCTGCATGTGAGGCTCAACCACACCCCTTGCTCCACACTGTGCAACCTAATTTTGTGACTGCAAAGAAGGACAGATATTGGCCTCCTTTCCACTGCAGGGCCAAACAGTTCTGAGCACGAAGGTAACGGTTCCAGTGGCTTTTCCACATGGACACGGGTTCCAAGGTTCAACACGGAACGCTTAAAAACAGGACTCGGCATGTTTTTTTTCTGCATGGTTAACTGTATGTAGTGCCACAGGTACTTACTGACTGGTTCTACATTGATTGGGAAAATAAGTTCAATATGTGTACAAAGATGTCAAATTCACTATTCAATAAACAAAGTTTCAATCTAACACCAGTTTCCAACTGTTAAACAGTGCTGATAACCAGGAGAGTAGCTCACTAGCATTAGTTTAGCTAGCATGCTGCCAGCTCTGCTCGCCACCTCCTCTTTCCTAGTTAACTTAGTGTAGCTAAAGAGATTTAAACAGGTTCGATTTGACTAATTGGTGCTCACTGCACATCTGGTTTCAGCCAACTGATGCTTAAACACCCATTTAGAGGGGGGGAAAAAATCTAAGAAAAACAAAAAACAAAACACCTCATAAGTGTGAATTCGAATGACTGGTGTCGAAGTGACAGAAATATAAAGACTTGTCATGCCTTGAGCAGTACCCTGCTGGTTGACGCTATGCTAGCAAAGTTAGCCGGCTACAGATTCAACTCACTACAGAACAGTTTCAGTTTCAGTAACTGATGATCAAATAACGCCTCGTTCAGAGGATAAAGAATCTGTGAGCATGCCAAGAGAGACTGGTTTTTGACATACGTAATCAAATGTGTTTTGTAGCAGGTCAAATGTAGGTAGCCATTAACATGTTAGCAGTTAGCCACTCGTTTGTGTAGTTTTCTTCCGTATTTCCTGGTTTCGATTTAGCAATTTGGCTCAACCAAAAGAGGTCACTGCCTACCGCCCTGTGCACTGGCCACTACATTTCACACTTTGGCCATAAACAAAAATGCATGGCCACTTTCCCTCTTTTTTGGCCATTTTTCTTTTTAACAAACCACCAGACCAGTTGAATGTTCATACCTTCACAAATATCCACCATTAATAACAAATTAATTACTTTTCCATTAGACCCATAAACTATTTGGACATGGAACAATTTACCAACTGAAATGTTGGCAATAAGGTTACTACCGCAATAGCTACTTGTGAAGGCAAGTGAAAAACGAAAAATGAAGCATTTCCTCATAGCCTACCAAAAAAGGCTGGTTTATTAAAATACAACTTCACTGTGAGTGGCAGTGCTGGCAAAAAAAAATAAAATAAAAAGAAAATAAATAAAAAAAAAAATCATCATAACTACAACATATGAGTGAAAGAAAGAGTGCATGTGCCTGAAGTACAATACTGAGAAGGATATGATGTGTCAAGCGTGTTGTCAGTTTCCATGACAGGCAGACACCATAAGTTCATTCTTAATCAGGAGTAACTTGTTGAAAAAACTGCAAGGCTGCAGCTTTCAAAATATTTCACTATTTAATTCAACAAACAAACAAACAAACAAACAAACATGATTGTGGTTTGGAGTAGATGTGGAGGACTACATAAAATAAATAATACTTGACAGGTTTTTGGCACTGAAGCATAAATGTTACTCGAAAATACAATGAATATGCAGAAATAATCTTTCTATAACTCTGGCCACCAATTCTTAATTCTAGCTGTGAGAGATATTGGCATTCGAGTAGCCCCCGCAGGTGAAAATCAGGAGAAAACATATTTAGGGTCAATAGCGTACTGTAGCAAACCAACATGTCATTTAACACCAGAACACTAAACATACAATGCGTTCTGTGAACAAACATCCTTTCTTGAAAAATAATCATATTATATTACTAAATATTACTTGTTTAATTTTTTCATTTTTATATAAACAAACAACTGAATAAGCTGCTCACCGTTTCCATAGACATGTAGCTGCTCCTTCCCCTGGTGTTCTGAGATTTTGGTAGGTTGTTTTTCTCATTTAAAGTGTTTGACAAACTTCCTTCTGTAAACACAAACATAGTAGTGAAGTAGTATCTTCATTTAAATTATGTCAGCTTCACCTCATCATTTTGTGTGTTTTTGGAATGTTTAGCCTTATCTGACTGCTTAAAAATGCCCTAAAGCCTGTTCTATCAGCAAGATGGCAAATATAGATTTTTGTATTTCTCTAAATTACAAACATAAGAAACTCTGAACTGGTTTACAACAATGAATTTGAATTCTCATACTGAGTGTGGTCTGGTCTGACAAGCCCAAAGAGAAAACTAAAGATTTACCTTTCAGACTGACAAGAGCTTTAGCCGAAGAGCCTGAAATTGAAAAGAGAAAAAATAAAATTATCTGTCTGTAGAAGAGCAAAACAGAACATACAATCATATGCAAAAGTTAGCACACCCCCTGCCTAATTATAATTTTGTTGAAAATAAGTTAGCTTAAGTTTTATTTTAACAGTTAAGTTTTATTTACCAAGTAGTTTCTAACTCACTGTATAAACGCAGTTTCCCTAGAACCTTAAGAGTCACACAACTTGTGAAATGAGATTCTGTGCTATGAGTTTAAAGTCAAAGCACTCACTTTATGCACAACACTAACTAAAACTAAAGCCTTGTTAGCCTCACATTTATATACATTACTGGTTCATCAGCACTGACAATTAATTTAAAGAAAAATACTGCAAGTTAAATTATAATACATTAATCAGACAGTATCAATATTGCAATCTTTAATTGTAAGTAAGCTGGATTATTTCAACAGCAACAACTTTTCTGATGAATTCACAGGCAGGCATTCCATTTTTAGTCCACTAGGCAAACTATGGTCCATATTCCTATCAACGGAATTATGAATAGCACACCCGCTACACACTTCCAAAACAGTTCAGTTCCACTGGAGGGTTTTGTTGCAGTATATTGCTGGACAACATATTTTCTATACTGGCATACCCTGATAGACAAACTGTGATACCATTTTTCCGTTTTAGTGATATTATAAGCAACATATTTGACATATAATGAGCATCACATCCATGATAATGCCCATAAAATAGTGGCATCCCAGGTGCCAAGTTAGATTTTCATTTTTAAAATTTTATTGTGTGCTGGTGGTATCCAGGACCTGACAGTTAATTGCAATACATGCCATTTATTCAGTGCTTCAGATTGTTTCGCAATAACAGTTCCAAATAAATAGCAAATTTCCTTTCTGTTAATGCGCCCTCTGTCCTGTTAGAGTTTACAGTACTGTGTACGGTTTCCTATGGTGGGAGAAAAAACAGACAAAAACATTCCAACTACAGGCCTTTTTAGACTTGTAAAATATTTTTAATCCCTTAAATCCCCAGGCATATTATTCAGCAATTACATAAAAACAACAGGTTTATGTAATATCTAACATCATAATATTTATTTAATATCAAATTTTTTTAAATATTGCCAACCACTATTACCGTCCAAATCTAAGACATCTAATCAATGGTTCCAGAAACATCAGTGTTAGAACTAAACTGCAGACAGTGAGTTACATCTCCAGTACTGTTTTAACATAAATGATCCTTCCAGAATGAGAACATCGATGAGACATTGTTTTACGATAGTTCTGTGACAACGTTTTGGCCTAAAACATCTTGTTAGTTCATTTATTTTAATCTTTTCACGGAGGAGGAGTACTTGCAGGGCGTTGTAAGGCAAAACAGTTCCCAAAGAAAACTTATTTTTTCAGAATTCCCACTAATTTACCATCATCAGCATTAGATTAAAAAACTCAGGACACATGTAGGCTCACTGGTGGTTTTGGATAGTAAATAAAATTGTTATATTTATGTTGAGCCCTGGCTCCTTTCACCACCGCTGTACAAAAACTAAGTCTGAACTTTCTCTACAACGAACCATTTTGCAGCAAACCACTCCGAATGACTTTGTTTAGACTACATCGCAAAGTCGGATTTATACGGATTCTGAAAATGGGTGGAATTCCTCATTAAGTTAAGAGACAATAAACAATAAAAACAAAACCAGCCAAGCTGACTCGTTTACAGACGACACTCAACACAAGCGAGAAGCCGGGGTGTGGATTTGTCAAAACAATAGGTTAAATGAAACGCACTACTTGACAGTCCAGTAGCTACAACCGCAGCTGCGTGTATTTACTACCTTAACTTCTGTCGCTGCATGTTACCGATCACCCTGATAAAGAGGTTTTCCCGTCTAACGAGAAAAACAAACCAGCAGCTGTCACCGATATGCGGAGATACAAACACCGAGCCGAAGCTGAAGCTGTCTTGTTCGAATTCCACGATCCACCTTAAACTGTGCCGCAGCTACATTCTGGCACCTTAGAAGAACGTAACTGCTGCACCATTTAAGGTGGAACGGGGGAATTTGAATAAGAAGACAACTTCAGCCTCTCAACACTGAGCCCGAGCCACATGAATGTGAACAACTGAAACCTTTGTGGACATCAGTTCACAGTTAAACTCTTTAGTTTCACAGACAAAGCAATTTCACAGCCATTCAGCGACACGGTAAAAGGCAAAAAGTCCAGCTGAACAGCTTTATTTTTAGCCGATGCTAGCGGGGCTAGCCCTGGCTAACACCTAGCTGGTTAGCAACACAAAGCTAGCAGTGAGATTAAGTTCCCGTCTGAAAAGCGCAGTTACAACATACAGACACCGAAGATTTAACACTTCTCACAGACGACAGGGCGTACACGACCGTTTCAACGGCTACAGGAAACCTTAACGCGGAGGTCGGTGCTGTTTGAGCCGAAGCCGAGTTCAGTTTTGTTACTCACTCTCGTCCAGCAGCTGCTCGAGCTCCGCCATCTTGAAGGAGCCGCGCCGCTTTTCAAAGCCGGAGTGACGCGAGGCATTCTGGGACAGAGACACAGAGAGGGCCGTTCAAACAGACACACAACAGGGACACCTAAACACCCAGCATTGTTACCATACAGATGAAATCACGTTTTTTATTCAGTCAACTTTACAGCAACTCAGCTAATATAGCTTTTTGCTGGCTAGCTTATCTTTACATTTACTGAGCTACTTAACTTCAGTTTTTAACTAGCGTCATATTCTTTCATTTACCTTCCTTCAGTGGGCCACATCCCACATTCTTGTATTTTACTGTGTGTATGTATAAAACAGTTCATTTTCAGACTGTTACTACTGCACTTCATATATAGATCCTATGGACTGGGGAGTCAACAGCATGCTTTCACACTTCAACAATGCTAACATGCTACAGCAAAATATTTCCATGATATGGGTCCTCTAACTTAATTCCATATACTCACCTAACCTTATTTTACAAACCTAACTCTGCTTTCACTCAGCTAACCCTTACTAACCTTAAATTACTAAATTCCCTCTATATTTAATCAGTTAATGCTACATTAACTCAAAAAAATTTCAAATTGTGTTTGTAAATGTTGATGACAGTTGCCTTGCTGTAAATGTAACACTATAAAAATAGAAAAACATATAGGGGTAAAAAGCCGCATGAGCCTATGGTCTCAATGCCCAATGCCAAGCATTAGCTAGAGGGGTATAAAAGCCCCCAGCATTGGGCTGTGGAGCAGAGGAACTGTATTGTCTGGAGTGATGGACCTCCATCTAATACCTTTCCAATAAGTTGTAGGGTCATTTGTGTGTGGTCTTGTGGCAGAATACAATCAAATTATCACAGCAATGTTCCAACATCTAGAGCAAAGCCTTCCAGAAGAGTAGAGGCTGTTACTGCAGCAAAGGGGAACAAACTTTATTAATACTCCTGATTTCAGAGGAAATGTCAGCTGGGCAGGCGTCCACAAACTTTTGGACATGCAGTGTACTTTCCCTTATTTACACTTACCAACATTAGGTAATTCTACTTTTACGTTGCTAACTTTAATGTATCTAGATATGAACTTTAGTATCCTAACAAACTACTGCTAATTTAGGATGTACTTTTTATTTTTTTAGAGTATCTTCAAATGGTAAAGGCGGTGAAGTAATGAGGAAAGCATTTTTTTTACTCAGTTAAGTTTTGGCCAGTCATGCTTCCTAATTCTTTTTAATGTTTAATTTTACTGTGTACTGTCTTGCTTTTGCTCACAGCTCTCACTTTATATAAGACTTTAAGAGCAAATGTATCACAAACACCATTACCAAAAAATTCAGTGTTATTCATAACATTGAGCGATGAACCCTTTTTTTTCCTTTGTCAATGAGATCCTGCAACTGAAACATATTACAACAGTAAATAAGGAGTTCAGAACCATAACCAGTATAGGCCAAAGCACTGATTTTTATTCAGGGTTTAACATGATAAAAAAAAAAAAAGAAAAAAGCCAGTAAGAGAGACAAAATAAGCAACTTTGTTTTTGTCAGAAATTTAGAGCTCACAGAAAATAACCATCTCACAGTGACCATTACAAGATGGCATGTTTACAGAGCAAGCATACAAGTTTAGAACAAGTGAAGTCAGTTACTGAAATAATGGTCAGCCACAATGTTCAGCGCCTTTTTGCTTCTACCATATGAGACGTAACAAAGTATGAGACAAAAAAAAAAAGACAAAATCAGGAAGTACAAAGAAAACATCTTTTTTCCCTATCGGTCCTAATACTAGAGATCCTAGTAAATGTGTTCCGTTTATAAAACAACCAACACTAGCTTACGAGAAACCATTCATTTCTAAAACTGTACAGTATTTTTTCTGTCTGTTTTCATTAAAGAAAACAAAAATGTCAGTTGACACTTAGCAGACTTTGCAATGACAAAAGATTTGAAGCCAATTTAAACAAAGGCTAACAGAAGTAAAAAAAAAAAAAAGGTCTATAAAACCAATGGAAGACTGCTCTACCTAATACTTCTGGCAGAATCCAAGGAAGAACTTCACTGGCAAGTTAAACAAGGCCCTCAAAATACTTGCATTCGACCAAATCCCACAGCGTTACATCTTGTCAACAGAAATGACAAGTCTTTTACAGCATATTACTGTATCTGGACATTTACAGTGTGAGACAAATCCTGTTATTTACTCCAAACTACCACACTAAAGCAGTGGAGAGAGTACTCCTAAATGAACTATAGAACTGGCTTAATGGTAGGAACTTTCCGGGGCTTCTTGGTCTTGAGCTCTGTGCTGCGTTAGCAAACAGTGGTGTCAGGAAGCAGGCTTCACCAGCCCCCTCACCAAAGGGAGGTCTGGTAATTAAAGCGAATCTTCAGAAGGTATTTCAGATTCACCTGAGCAACATCATACACAATATACCTGAAAGAAGGGAAGTTAAGGCAAACAACATGGCACACATTTCAAAATTTTTATATTCAAAACTCCAGCCCCACATATCTCTGTCTACTCAATCTGAAGGAACTACACAAAAACCAAGCTATAATTCTTGAATTAGGATGTGAATAAGATCTTACACACAACGCAGACGGAGAATATTACATGAAAAAAGTTTTTCATTTTCATTTTTATTAAAGTGCCTTATGCTTCTACTGCTATTCTAAAGTCCCTGGCTTTCCACAAACTGGATTCATACTCTCTCCTGTAATTTGTAACTGTGTTTTTAATTCATGTGTTTAATTTCAACCGCAATGTCTTAGTGTTTCCAATGTGTATTATCATTATTATTATTATTATTATTATTATTATGCAGATTGAAAATAATCAGCAAAATAATTACATTATCATTACTAGCAATAATACATTTTAAACACACTATAATATACACAAAAATATTACAATTGTAATTATGCCATATTGTATATAATAATATAAATGCGCTATCATTATTCATACACAATTTTCTTCTTTTACTTAATAATAATAATAGTAGTAATAATAATAATAATAATAATCATCAACATTTATACAAGATTATTATTAATAATAAACTATACCACTTATTAATTTTTCATTAACAATAGATGTACTATTATTACTATTATATTTATTGTTTGTTTACTATTATTATTATTATCTTACAAAAAGAACAAACACGGGAAAATCAAAGCCCCTTTGATAGGTAATAACCTCTGAACACAACACGGACAATGCAAAGGATACTCGTTGTAGAGCAGACTTGTGTCATCTATGTTCGTGTTGACTCCTTTACCCAGCGGGACGTCCACTCCTTTCAGTGAAACGGTGGCACCCGGATCTGGAGCAGTTCTGCCCAAACCTACGACATCCAAAACAAACCAAATTCTATTAGCAAAAGCTGTAGACTTTTTTTGGCATAATAATGTGAGCAATCTCACCTATTCAGCACTACATAAAAAAAGGTATGTATGTGATTTTTTCTGAAACTTTACCTTTTACACTGTGCTTTCCCTTTGGCAGCTTTGTGATATGTGAGGCCTTTTTCAGTTCATGCCTTTAAAAATAATAATACAAGACATTTTTATCAAGATCAAAACAACAGACAAAACATAAGTAATATTAATAAGAACCAAATGCGCTTACATGTTGCCCAGGGCGACCTCTCCTAGCAGAATCAGGCCTACAGGGTCAGCCTGGGATGTGTGGCAGTAGTTAGCACTCTTAGACACCATGTCAGCAAAGTATACACCTTTGCCGAACATATAACCTGTCTGTGGAGTACATGAGAAATGTCAGACAATCACCTTTATTATTTTGTTAGATGAATAAATCGATAAAAAAATGCAAATGTGATCTCGCATTCAGCCTTCACTTAACATTAGCATGTGACTCCCAGTACCTTTATTTCTTTAAATATGAACAGATCAAAGAGTGAAATCGCATTAAGTGCCAACCGGTTTTATAAAAAACTTGGGGCTTCACATGCTTTTTCCAGGTAACAATGTACATGTATTGCTATGGTCTTCACAGGAGCTTTTTAATAAGGGCCATAGGGGGCACTACAAGCTTCGTCCTTCCATCTGCAGTCTGCTGCAAGATTTTCTGCAGGATTAGGCAGAAACGAAAAGAGGATGTACTGCTTTGCCATTTCCATTGGCTACTAGAGCTAAAGCAATAGTACTGTCAAAGCAAAACACAAGATTTTACTAGTTTGTGCAAGTATGTGCCAAACAAACTGACAACCAATGAAAATGATGAGCCAGTGTAGGCTAGATTTGCTTAGACTATTTGAACATGGCCAAGAGCTAAACAAAAATCGTTCAGCACTCCTCTTTTCTGCACAAGTCTCAGCATTTTACAAAAACTGTGTATAACAAACGATCAACTTTAGGCAATCGCTTTAATAAAACGTGTGCAGCAGGGTCACCGGTGATCCCGCAAGGCTCAAAGGGTCATTTTTTGTACTTGTAGTTACTGCTTAAGAGCAGCAGGTGGCACTAAGACATTAGTACATACCACTGGTGCTTCAGGTGGAGCAATGCGCAGACCCTGAGACAGGATACCCGCGTAGTTGGTGGTGCGAGAGCCGTGCCACAGCAGCTGGCGGTTGGGCAATTCTTTGAAGGGCCGATAACGCTGGTACTCACCCTCTCTATCAATCTTAAAGATCTAAAATGACAGAGAAAACCATATGACAGCATATTAGGGCACTATTATTAGGTACTAAGCAAGTTCACTGAGTGTGGTCCTTGGAGATTCCCCGCTGAAACCAATTTTTAGTCCTTATAAGTGAAATGAGCACACTGTATTGTAGGCTTAGTGATTTGTAATTGGTTTAACGACACAATTCAGATAAAAATGTTACAGCAAACAACCCAGCAATGCTATGTTTCAATAAACTTTAAAGAAAAACGTCACCATTTTTTTTCCTACCTCTTCAATTTCAAGTGTGTAGGTATTGTGAGTTGCAGCATGCGTATTCTTTACATACTGGTGAATAAGCTGAGCCTCTTCTGATGACTTATCAACCACCTGCAAAGAAATCACCAGTGCAGATAT